CAATTAGAGCTAGAAAAAGCTACCCAGAAGGAGCTACAACACAACCAGAAGCTACTACGAGAAAAGCAGCAGCAGCAGAAGCGTGAGGCACGGGCGAGGGAGAAGGTTGAGCGTGACCAGAGGCGCGCGGAGGAGCGCGCTCAAATCGATGCACGCAAAGCAGAGAGAGAGCGTCAAAAATGCAATAAAATTGAGGCCAGAAAAAGTAGTCAATTGCCTAATCGAGGCAAGTGCAAGGTCTCAAAATCTACTGCCTCCAAGAGGCAGAGGCGTGGTGCTGCTGCTGCTCGTAGTCGTGCAGTAGTACCCAGCGAGGCTCCAGTGGCTCCAACTACAACCACCCGCCGCGGCCGCACCTCAACACTGCCAGCACGTTTTGTATGAGCAATAATCATCGCATAGGCCTGTAGATTAATCCACCAAAAAATCTGGCGATAATAACTATTGTATGTGGCTCTACAGCCTCATTTTTGTGAGGCCTATTGACTAGCCGAGGTGCGCGTTGCGAGAACATGCGCGTTGCGCGCACAGACACGGTAGCTGGGGTTCGCTTGGCGTCGGCTAGACATAAGCCAACGAACCGTCATCGGAGGACCCTGAACGACGAGCGTAGTAACGAGTGCCGTGGGTCCTCAACTTTCTATACCTGCGCTGGTGTTTGTACTACACCTGGAGTGTGCGACCTCTGATTTCTTGACAGAATGGCAGGCGTTTCCATACGCAAGTCTATTCGGTGGCTCCCGCAAAACGCACACGAACCCACCTCCACAGTGGTGCTCAGTTCCGCAGGGAGAAAGTTCGTCGATATTCGGATCTTGAACTCCCTGGATAAAGATGCGGAAGATCAACCTGGTATGGTTATCATGCTGCATTGCTGCTGAATGTGCGCTGCAGCATCTTGAAATCTCGAGCTGACCGCCGCAAGCAGAAATACTAGACTCAAGTCGATTAGACTGGGCTATTGCCGGAACGTCTTCATCGATCGCAGTACCTGATCGCGGCCCAGATGTAAGACTTTCAACGTTTAGGCATTGGATTGATTCACGAACTCTCGACCTAGCCTCAGCAACAGATGAGGGGATGATGTTCCCTATGGAGACCGATGGAGAGGATGAGCTGGTGTTAGAAATTGGAAAGATGGTTAACCCCAAGACTGGCTTACTGACGGATTATGAAGAGGTCTGGATTGAAAAGGCAGCCGAATCTGTACCCAGTGACGATGGATGCCAGATCGTAGTCCTGGAATATGATGGTCCGAGTTCTGATCGCCGGGGCAGTATTGTCAGAGTCGGAAGGCTTTGCCAAGGGTTACTGAGAATCAAGGACCAAATAACTGCCGAGCGCTGGGAATGGAATGAGGGAAAAGGATGGTGGCGGAGCAAGGCGATCGGTAATGGGTCCGCTTTACCATGTCAGAAGGTCCTTGAATCGTTGCCTAGCGATACCGTCGAACACGAGGGGATCTCTTGGACCTTAGTTGAATGTAGTCAGATCTGATACTTGTTTTCACTCCTGACTATGCTGAGCTCCTGTGCGGCTGCCTTTCATACCTCAACAACTCAGACATCCCAATTCGCAAAGTATCTAGCCCTCTAGCCTCAATAGTCGCACAGAATTTCCCTCAAGCATACCCTACGCGTTCTCGTCGTTTCCAGGAAAGGGCCTTCAAAAAAAGCCCTGTAGGTTACACTTACACCATGCCACTTCTTTCCATCCACCTCCAGCAGTACTACAAGCGTACGACCAAGGCCATCCCAGGAACGCTTGAAAAAACAGGGACAAAATATAAGCGTTGCAGCGGGACTGCAAACACCCAAACCTGTCTACATCATCTATAGACAGATGATTGTTAAGATTCTATAAATCTACTCTCTAGGTCTACTACTGAACAGAGGTAGTAGCAAATTTCGCGTTTTCCGCTGCTATGTCCTGTGAAGCACCCGATACCAGTACAGATACGCAATTGCTGCTAACAACGGGATTGCAACAAGCCAGAACACCCACGATTCTGCCTGATCTGGTAAGAAATTCCCACTCGTGGAGAAGATACTTGCCACTGTAGACAAAGGAATGAACAGCATTGTCAGCACTGTGGTGCGGGAGAGGCTTTGCGCATTTCCACTTGATGCGTAGATAGCTGTTTGCGAAAGCATCGATTGTTTCTGCAACGACGGCAGTCAATTTCTTGATTGTTTGCCAGCCATTCCTTTCCCACTGCGGTCGCGATCGTTCAAAGGAATTGAGGCCAAGCGCTATGATGTTGTCTTCCATCTCGCGGGCAAAAACCTTGACAGCCGCTTGAGAGCCGACAATGAAGTCAAAGAACTCACTGCTCCAGCTCGAGTAGCTGTTCTTGGAGAAGCTAGCAAGATAGTCTTGGCGCATGATCTGCGGCACGGTATCGCTTTTTTGAATGTCGAGGAGATTCAGATAACGACGTCGAAGATATGCTATAGATATTGATATGACCAGTTTGCGGGAGAAGTCGGTAGCGCTCAGCGGATCAAAGGTCATGACCACATTGGAATCAACCTGCTGAAATGCATGCATTGTGTCATCGAACATCGAGCTGTACCCTGCCGTTGCAGTCCATGCTGCCCATTGCGAGTAGTCTTCCGGCAGCTCCTGCCGCATCTCTATCTCGAGATAGAGGAATCGTTTTGGCATGGATGGTTCGTTGACCAACGCTGTTCGAAGTGGATAAGACACTCCAGTTTCCAAGCATCTAACTTGGGTTCCAGGTGCAGGATCGACTAGGAGAACCGCATCCCAGGATCCATCGTTTCGTGTGTAACTGTTTCAGAACGACACAACGTGATGGCTTTTTGCTTCGTCGTAAACTCGACCATTGCGATCATAAGTAAATAGATGCCGACTGACCCTTGAGTCAAATGCGAAGATGTTCGCACTGTGACCTGACGGAGCATCCACTTCGACTCTGTTCGACGTCGCGTAGCGCAAACGGAAGTGTGGTAGCGTACATCTCCGAAACGGGTTTCGATAAATGAAAGTTAATGAGCAAGGGTCGTTCCAATGACCTGCGAAGAAGCTTGGTGGTATCCGTAGGTGGCTACCCAATGCTAGTATGTGGTTACGCGGTAGGTCTTCCAAGATGAAAAGTCTGCGACGGGCCGGTGTTCCATCGGCCGCTGTGAGCGGCAGAGGTGGTGAGTTTGTAAGGTAGGATTCCAACTTTGTGGCGGTGGTGAAGGACGTTATTTGACGACTCTGAGGGTTTGTGAAGTCTATAGCAGCGCATCTTCCGTGCTCCTGCTCTCCTAAAGATTGACCGACCAGAGACTTGACGAATCTCGGAAAATAGGGCTGCACTTGATGCTGGATTAAACTAGAGTACCTTGTCTTCTGTTCTTCTGAGATTGATGGGACAAGACTGCTCTGGTTGAGCATGGTGCTAGGAAGTTCTGATTGCCCCTGTCCATCGGAACCGGTCAGACAGTACGCTTAGGTGAAGCTCCACGACTGGCGCGTTCGGGTTTTCGAAGGCGTGCGAGAGAAGAGCAGGGTTCAGATTCAGAATGCAAGCAGTTTTCCGGTATACATACAGCTCTGTACAGCACGTCCACACGTTCGAGAACTCCTTTCGTACGTTTCGCCAATCCACACTTTTCACAGTGTACGAAGTATACACAATGAAGGCAACACGCGATCTGATTGGTTTTCGCATCGTCGGAGGAACCCTGAACTAGGATAGTAATGAAGCGATGTCCGCAGTAGGTGTGGCTGAAACGTAGGATTCAGTGCTTACTCCTGTGCGCCTTGTCTGTTTGAGGTAAATTGGAACAGTGCAAAGGACAGCAGCGTACTGGTACTTTCCAGTTAATTGAGACGAAGAAACAAAAGTGTAGTATCTGGAGACTTAGTCTTCCAACCTCAATATTCGCACCGCATTGTCACCAAGTACGCCCTGAGCCTTGTCGTTATTTCCACCGAGTGACTTCGAGATAGCCCCGTAGTTGGCATTGACACTATGCCACTCTTTCGCATCCTCCTCCAGCGGTGGGAAGAAGGGGTGATCCGTACCAAACAGCAACCTATCAGCTCCGGAAGCCTCCACTGCCGCATTTAGTCCGACTTCCGAATAGATGACTGCATCAAGGTAGATGTTCGTCTTGAGGATATCCCATACATCACGGCGATTTTGAGTCTTGCCGTGCGCCTTCAGATGTCCATCGTGTAAAATGCAGCTCTCGATCCTGCCAGCCAAGAAAGGCAGTGTACCCCCAGAATGTGCGAGCAGGACATTCAGGCCTGAGAATCGATCCCATACACCACTCAGCAGCATCCTCGTCACTGCAATTGTAGTCTCGAGCGGGAATCCCAACGCCAAAGGCAACACATGGCCATACTCGCTTGCCCGGGGTCCGTACACAGACGAGGGCAGACCGTAGTGAGGGTGAAGGAAGATGAGTTGGTTGTGTTTCTGCAGTGCAGCATATACGGGATCGAGTCTTGTGTCATCGAGACCTGAGCCGAGTCCCGAAGTCCCGAGGATGACACCGCGCGCGTACTTTAGCGTTGACAGGCGTTCGATTTCCTTGACGATGATGTCTGTGTCGCTTGAAAGAGGGAGGGTGCCGAAGAAGTATAGTCGCCCAGGGTACAGCCCACACTGCTCATTGACATCGTCGTTGATTTCGACAGCTTTCTGCCCTGCTTCTTCTGCGGATAGGAAGTCTAGCCATGGATTTGCGAGTGAGATGACACTCTTGTCGATTCTGTGCTGGTCCATGAATGCGATCTTCTTGGCAATGTCGAAGTACTCCGGGCCAATGGGGCGGCCGCGCGATGTTGATGGAGTGGAAGGGTCATCTTCGCCGGGGAGAATGATGAGGCGTGAGGAGTCGGGCGCGTCGGGGAAGGTGCGGACGTAAGGGACTTCTGTGCGCGATCGCAAGAGGTCCATGTACTTTGGAGGGTAGACGTGGGTGTGAATATCGACTATGGGCGCCATGGTGATAATACAGGGCGCTTGAGCGTCAAACGTGTTGTATGAAATGATTATGGTCTCCAAAACTTGAATTCGAGCTGTTTTTTCCAGAACGAGAGAGGCGTTAAGAAGGGTTGAGTGTACGTTAACAGGGAATGTGTTTATCGTGAAGCTTGAACCCTGGCGGGGTAGCTCCACACGAAAGCCGCCCCACTTCATTCCACCACGTTCATCATCCCACCTTCCCTAACAAGCATGGAGCTATGGGGCAAGCGGGTAACGGAGATGCCCGCAGATATCTGGCCACATCTAGTCATCATGTTGGGAAGCCTTGCATTCGTAAATGAGTTGGCAATGCGATGTCTTGAACTCATTCGATTGGACATGTAGGACCGGATTCCGAGCCTTGATGGCGTTGTATGCTCTTAAGCACCAGTTCGTAGGAAGACGTTTGGTGGCTTGTCCCAGTCTTTGAACTCGTCGTCGACTTCGAACACGATGTCTCCCTCGCCTTCATCCTTGAAACCCAGCTTCCTGTAGACTGCTCTTCCCATGGCGCTTCCTTCCGTTGTGCACTCCAAGTTCCCTCTCCTCTTCGCCTCCTCCAAACCCCACTGTACAAGCTTGCCGGCAACGCCCCGTCGTTGGTATGCTGGGTCGACAGCACAGAGATCCAAGGTAAAGATGGCGGGTGGGCTGTTGCGATCTTTCTGTTGAGCAACCTCCATGATGTACGAAATGCGCCTCTTCCACAGTGACTTGAACACCTGGTCTGCAAAGCGCTTGTTCGTATCATCTAGCTTTGCCAATGCCTCGGCCATGTCGCCTGTGAACTTGTCTCCATAGCCTTCGACTTCAGAAAACTGCTGCCAGATGGCCATGCCTACGACTCTTCGCTGTCCAGGGTTCTCCGGGTCAGGTAATGTAGCTTTGAGATAAACCTTGTTGGGTTGGCCGTCCTTGTTGGTAGTCCCGGACTTCCAGCGCTTGATCATGCCTTCGGCGTGACCAGCCTGTCCTTCTTCGGTGTCCCATCCTGGGTTCATGAGGATCCATACAGCGTCCTTTGCTTGACGGCCGAAAGCTTCTGATACACAGTAGTTGGCTTGTCTGATGTCCTGCTCAGTTTCGACGGGCGCAATGACGATGTCATCCTGGTTGGTGGCCATGTTGCTGATTTGTACGGCTGTGCAGAAGACGTTCTTGTTTGTGAGAGGAAAGTTGAAGTAAGTACCTGATGTGCCTATTTGCGTTGGTATTTGCTCAGGCAGACCTTAGCGAGTGGACCAGGCTCGGCCTTCTATTAGCTAACAGAATGCATCGAGAGCGATGAGTGCGTGGGATTAAATGGTGCGAGTCGTCTCAAAGTCATTGTCCAGAGAGATCAACGAACTGTTTCTACGATTGAGTTGGCACGAAACTATACGTCTGCGATGTGTAACGTAGGAAGTGAAGAGCGACACGTTGAAAACTGTGGCCTTGGCGTTTCCAAGCCTATCGCACTGCGAGAGCGACATCGAGAAATTTCCCTGGGCAGATGACTCCTGGGAAACTCAGTCTGACAGCAAGTGGATCGCTCGCAGTCAGATGTTGAGGAAAGTTGTGGTTGGCGTGAGTGCCCATTTACACGTACAAGGGTGTCGCGCACGGGCATGACGCGGTCGCGCCTTCCGCGTTCTCACGTCGCCCTAAGGTGGTACTTTCCGCATCTTCTCCACAACGCATCAACGCGCCCACAACAACACAGCAATACATCCTTTGATGTTGCTTGTGTGCTGACAACTTCTCACATCACGGAAAATGGTTGGTCCTGTAACGAACACGCCGGCAAAGCGAGCCCTCGCTGAAGCCTCGAACAACCGCGTAAACGCATCGCCCCGTTCCGCAAAGAAGCTCAAACTCGAGAATGGCACCACCACAAGAGGGCCACTGGCCAAAAAGGTCAATGGGTCGTTCAACTCGAGCCAGCCGGGACCGAGTCAGTTCGAGAACACGCTGGAGCAGATGACCCAGGACATCGAAGCCCTGAAGACGAAGAACGCAGAGAAGGACCAGCAGTGGAAGCGACCGCCGCTACCGAAGGACTTCAGCGAGATGACTTCGAAGGTCGTCTTTCAGCAGATCGAAGCTGAGGAGAGTGTGCTTAACGGAGGGAAACCAGCTGTCAAGCTGTTTGGTGTGACGGAGGTAAGTCGCGTTCTTGCTCTGCAAAAGACCAGGTACTGACACTGCACTTGCAGACTGGCCACTCAGTCCTTCTCCATGTCACCGGATTTCTTCACTACTTCTACGTCGCCGCACCGATCAACTTCCATAAGGAGGACTGCAAGCCATACCAGATCTTCCTCGAGAGCGAATGCCAGAAGCAGTTCAACCAGCACTCAGCCGTCATTGCCTCGGTTCAAATGTGCATGAGGGAGAACATCCTTCGCTTCCAGGGCAACCAAAAGAGCCCGTACCTCAAGATCACCGTCAACGACCCCAAGATGATCAACCGCGTACGGATGATGGTACAGAAGGGTAATGCCAACTACAAGAGGCTTTGGCCGGCCCGAGAAGATGGCATCCTTACCTTTGATAACATTACCTACGTACTGAGGTTTATGATCGACACAAAGATCGCCGGTATGTCGTGGGTAGAAGCACCTGCTGGGAAGTACAAGCTCTTGCACCCACGGGACCAACACTCCAATTGTCAGATTGAGGCGCAAATACATTATGCCGACCTTATCGCTCACCAGTCAGAAGGCGAATGGGCGAAGTCGGCTCCACTCCGCATCCTCTCCTTCGACATCGAATGCGCTGGCCGCAAAGGTGTCTTCCCGGAGGCGAACGTCGACCCTGTCATCCAGATCGCGAACGTTGTTACACGAAATGGTGAAGAGAAGCCCTTCGTAAGGAATGTCTTCAGTCTGGACACAGTCAGCCCCATCGTGGCCACGCAGGTCTTTTCTTTTGCCGACGAAGGTGACATGTTGATGAAGTGGCGCGACTTCGTTGAGGAAGTTGATCCAGATGTGATCATTGGGTACAATATTGCCAACTTCGACTTCCCATACTTACTGGACCGTGCAAAGCACCTCAAGCTTGCAAAATTCCCTTACTGGTCACGGCTCAAGACTGTACAATCCAAGGTGGAAAGCTCGACCTTTTCGAGTAAGCAGCTTGGAAGCCGAGACACCAAGACTACTAATACAAACGGTCGTATTCAGCTCGATCTGCTTCAGCTAATTCAGCGCGATCACCAGTTGCGAAGTTACACACTCAACTCTGTTAGCGCCCATTTTCTGAAAGAGCAAAAGGAGGATGTGCACCACAGCATGATTACAGAATTGTTCAATGGTGACCCTAACTCTCGACGGAGACTGGCGGTGTACTGCCTGAAGGATGCCTATCTGCCACAGCGACTCCTGGATAAGCTCATGTGTCTGGTCAACTACACTGAGATGGCCAGGGTCACCGGTGTACCTTTCAACTACCTGCTTGCTCGAGGTCAACAGATTAGGTTCGTCAGCCAGCTGTTCCGAAAAGCCCTTGATCATCAACTCGTTTGTCCGGATCTGCCGAACCAAGGCGACAGTGGTGATCCATACGAAGGTGCGACCGTCATTGAACCGAAGCGTGGATATTACAAGCAGCCAGTCGCTACACTCGATTTCGCTTCGCTGTATCCGAGTATCATGCAAGCACACAACCTCTGTTATACAACCTGGCTCGACAGGGCGACCGTGGAGAAACTCAAAATGAAGAAAGACGAGGACTACATCGTTACACCGAATGGCGATATGTTCTGCACTGTGAAGACACGCAAGGGTCTGCTTTCACAGATTCTTGAAGAGCTGCTGGGTGCCCGTAAAAGGGCTAAGAAGGAGCTAGCCATTGAGACAGACCCCTTCAAGAAGGCTGTGTTGAACGGTCGCCAGCTGGCTTTGAAGGTCAGTGCCAACTCTGTGTATGGCCTCACGGGTGCTACGAACGGCAAGTTGCCTTGTCTGGCAATTGCAAGTAGTACGACCAGTTTCGGCCGTCAAATGATTGAGAAGACTAAGGAAGAAGTTGAAGCGAAGTACACCATCGCAAATGGCTACAGTCACGATGCGGAAGTCATCTACGGTGACACTGATTCCGTCATGGTCAAATTCGGCACCTCTGAACTGCCGGAAGCTATGAAGCTGGGCGAGGAGGCAGCAGAGTACGTGTCTTCAAAGTTCATCAAGCCCATCAAGCTCGAGTTCGAGAAGGTCTATTTTCCTTATCTGCTCATCAACAAGAAGCGTTACGCTGGTCTTTATTGGACGAATCCGAACAAGTGGGACAAGATGGACACGAAAGGCATCGAGACGGTTCGTCGCGACAACTGTCGCCTTGTGCAAACAGTCATCGAAACATCACTACGCATGTTGCTGATAGATCAAGACCCTGACGGTGCGCAAGAGTAAGTTGAGCAATTCACGACCATCACAAGTTCTTACTAACACAATCCAGGTTCGTGAAGGACACTATCTCGGACCTCTTGCAAAACAAGATTGATATGTCAAACCTTGTCATCACCAAGGCGCTGACAAAACAAGAAGACAAAGAAGGCAAAGGTGGCTACGCCAACAAACAAGCACACGTCGAGCTCGCCGAACGAATGAAGAAGCGCGACGCAGGTTCTGCTCCAGCTCTCGGTGATCGTGTTGCCTATGTCATGGTCAAGGGCGCCAGCGGCTCGAAAAACTACGAGAAATCCGAAGATCCTATGTGGGTGCTCGAGAACAATCTGCCTATCGACACCCGATACTACCTCGACAATCAGTTGGCCAAACCACTCGGTAGAATTTTCGAGCCTATTCTTGGTGAGAAGAAAGCGAACTCCCTCCTCACGGGCGAACACACTCGAGCCATCTCTGTTGCAGCACCCACGATGGGTGGACTGATGAAGTTCGCAAAGAAGACGCAAACATGCATGGGGTGCAAAAAGCCGCTTACTGCAGCGCATGAGAAGGAGGGCGCTGTCTGTGAGAATTGCCGGCCGCGCATTGGTGAGCTATATCAAAAGACGCTGAGCAAGGTTAGTGAGCTGGAGGTTCGCTTTTCGAGACTCTGGACACAATGTCAGCGGTGCCAGGGCAGTATCCACTGCGAAGTCATCTGCGCAAGTAGAGATTGCCCTATTTTCTACATGCGCATGAAGGCGAGAAAGGATGTCGAAGATGCAGGAAAGGAGATGCTGCGCTTTGATAAAGATGCTGCGCTCTGGTAGTGTTGCGTATGTGAAGAGGAAGAGGATTATATGGCGTTTTGTTGCATGGGCACCAACTGGTGTACTGTCGATAGGATACGATGCATGCTACTGTACTTTGTTATAATGATGCATACCTTCAGTTCGTACAGCCTCTACACGGCGCTCTATCGTATTTCATACTATGCCATATATCATATCTCATACTATGCCATATATCATATATCTCATGCTGGAACTCAAAGGTGTCAATCAAAGGACGCAAAAAAGGATGACCTTAACGCCAGCTCCGTTATGCTTCATGACCCGAAAAATGCAATGCAACTCCACCTCTTCCCCCTTTAGACCTCTTCTATCTTGGACTCGAAAGCGCCCCATAACTCCTCGGACTCGCATGTCTAGATGTCCCCAACAACGCCCTCGCCTCGTCCAACGCCCCTCCCGCACCTCGAATCGGTATACTCTGACTCCTGCTGCCCTCAGTACTCGCCGGACTTAGATTGCGTGGTGTCGGTGTCTGCGCAGGCGTTGTCGCTCTGCTAACAGACGGTGTCGCAGCGACACTAACCGCAGGCGCCCATCCGCGCATCCACCCGCTCACCCTCCTCCAATGGAGTTTCCTCCGCTTCGGAACCCCGTGGTCGTCAACCGTCACGATGATCTCGTCGTCCCGCAGGATGGGTCGGCCGCGTGCATCTTTCAGCTCCCCATCCCCGAAATACACGAATTGCAGACCGACTGCTGCGTCCATGAGCAACACGCCTGCAGCGCCGAGGAAGAAAGGAAGTGCGCGCAGGATCCATTCTGTGCGCTTGGTGCCTTCTTCGGTCCATCCGCTGTGCGGTGGGAAGTCCTGCCACGCTGAAGGGTTGGTCAGGAGCGAGGTGCTGTAGAACAGGTTCCCGAAGAACGCTGCTGCGAAGAGCGAGGGAGATAGGCCGGCGGTGCTGCGGCGGACTTGGTTCTTGTAGAGCTGTGGGAGTCGGCTGCCGAGGTAGAGAAATGTGCTTGACCAGGAGAAGAACTTGCCCAGCAACTCTCGCGTTGTCATTCCTGTGTCGCCAGATGCGGAGAGCGTGGAGATAGGAGACGGGCTGGTGGGATGTGCGACTGTGCCATGCGAGAGGACGGCGAAGATCATGCTGATGTAGAGCACGGTTTTGGGCGAGGGAAAAGGGGAGGACGAGGCTGCTACGCGCGGGATGTTGCGGTTTGTTGGCGTTCCTGGGGCTTCTAGCAATTGAGGGCCTCCCATGGGGGATACTGGGTATGACTCCTTGACGCCGCTGGTTGAGCGCGCAAAGTTGGGGATTCGGAATGCGTCGAGCGGGGCTGAGTGCTGGACTTCCATGTCTTTCTTATCTGACTTCGTGTCTGTTGGTTCTGGCGTCTTCCCCTTCGAGACTTGCTGCATGCCACTACTTCCGTTTCCGTTATCGTTCTCTCCGCTCTTCCAGCGTCCCCAGATTGGTCGCAGAGGTCTTCCATGGTGCAGGAGCTCGTACCAAACCCACTGCCCCGTCAGTCCACAGTCTACAAGTACGTAATACCCAGCAATGACGATCTGCCAAGTCGCTTGTCCCGTAAACAGACAACCTAGGAGGTTGGTCAGATCGCCCAGCAGCCACTCCGTGAGGAAGTATACGCTAAGCCCGGAAGTCGACTTGAGCTTGTGGTTCTTGTATATCTGGGGCAGCTGTGCAAACAGCCATGATATGATACTGCATGTGCCGAGGAGGGTCGATATGAGGGCGAGGTAGGATGGTATGCAGGTGTGGAAGGTTATGGATAGGGCTTGGAGAAACTCGTCGGCGGGCTCGCAGTGCGGTGGTAGTGAGGGTTGGTCGATCTGAGGTGGTCGGTAGGGCAGCATGACGCCGCAAGTTCGGTTCGAACTGTTTGTATGTGAGGAATGAAGGATCCAGTCGTTCTTTCTTCCTTTGTTGTTTGGGAGTGTTGCGACTTGGAAGGTGGTCAGGTGCTGTTTCGCGGTGGCGCGTGGGTACAGCCACGAGGGCGCAGTTGTGACCCGGAGTTCAGCGACGCGAGTTGTCTATGATAAAGGATCCAAGACCTTAGAGATCCAATACCTGAGGTCTGGCGGGGTGTTCTCGACGTTCACGAACTCACTGGGCGGTGACGTCGGCCTCGGCTCTAACGTAGATAAGACTCGCTCGAAGATACGCGACACTACCCAACGCGCGACAGTAGAAGAGGTCGCAAAGTGCAGTCAAAGAAAGAAATAAGCCCAGTGTATGAGAGAGGAAGAGAAGTCGTCAATCATTAGCAGTAATTGAGACGGCAGCGCAAAGCGTAGCGGAGTCATCAATACCAGCATCAGTCAACCACACCCACACACAGACCAGACGATCCCCAGGCTCGGACAACCCGATATGAAGTAAAGCGCGCCATGCGGTAAACGGCGGGCTCCAAGGCACTGGTTGGCGATACACGGTGCGACAAGCCTGGGCGGTACAGGCGGACAATCCCACCCGTAATGTAACATCGAAGATAAATGATAAGAGATAAGCGGCGCCGCTTTGTCTACACGCGATCACCTCCCGCCGCTTATGGCTTGGCGGGGTCTCACTCTTCCCCCGGAATCTGCACCACGTGCTGTGAGGAGGCAGCAATTATTCATCTATTACTACGCGAGTCGATTTGTATGCAGGCGAGATACGCGGAGAGCAGTGATGCGCACAGCAGGGTGCTCGAGCATGCAGGGAAACCTGCCCCGCCTCCGTCATCGGCATTCATACAACTACTAATAAACACCACTAAGGCGGCAGCACAGCTCCAAAACGTAAGGAAAACGCGAGCGACTGCAGAAACATGTCACATGGACACTTGGCACGGGACGAGGTCTGGGTGATTGTCACGAGAAACATACCGTCCCGAGTTCGAGCATGATGATCACTAGTATACAGAAGGGCTGCGTGTGCTGGCCTTTTTGTGGTCTTCCCGGCGATTACACGGTATCAGCGTTCTCATCGACCCTCGAGTACGCGTGCTTCTGAGCCTTCCATCGTGGACTGCGACTCGGCAGCAGCGCTCATAGGTCTCGATACGCACTGCTGGACATTCTAAAGTAGTTCTTGAAGCCAACGATACCAGCCGTCATCGCCCCATACCCTCCCAGACGGTTGCCCCAGCTCGTTCCTGCCTGACCCACGGCCAGCTCAGCCAAATCGTACACCAGACATCCGCCGAAGATCCAGTCGCTCACGCTCGCCGCAGCTGCGAAACCAACCCCAGTCGCGATTTGGACGAGGCCTGAAGGTGGGACGTCGCGGTAGTAGGCCGCTGATGTGTTGTGCAGGAGATCGAGCACGCCGATGCCCGCGAACGTCTTTGCGACGATGTATGAGAAGAAGTTGGGCGTCGAGCGGCGATTGAGTGGTTCGAGGGCTGTCGCGATGTAGCCTAGCTGTGCCACTGTGTTAACAAGTACGAAGTTGTTGGAGGTTTCGAGGTCGTTCGAGTTCTAGAAGAACATCCATGCTGGATTCGTCAGTATCTAGCTGGGGGTGGTTTGCGCATGCCCAACGTAAAGCTTCAGGCATTCGGGGCATGGAAAGGCGAGGTAAGACGTAATCCCGATGCAAAAGTTCCTCCAGACTATAAGCCTAGGCAAATTTATTCATCGTACTCCGATCTGCTGATGTTCCTTCCTGCTTCCACAACTTCCACAGCCAAGCGAGCTGGAACAGCTGCTGCGAAAAGAAGAAGCCCGCAATCGCATACGGGTATGGAGAGAACACCACGCCCATCATCACCGTCGGGATGCAGTGCAACTCGGTCGCCGATTTGCAAGCTCAAAGGCGGGCATTGTTGTTGGCTGAAGATCTTTGAGTGGTAGATAGGCTCATGATGTCTATAGTGCTCTCACATGGTTTACGGAAGGCCATGTCGAGCAAGACCGGCGATGTCACATGGCTGTGATCGTGGTTGCGCGCGAAAGATGATGTTTTCGAGAATTGTGGTATTGAAAAGATTGGGACGTTAGGAGAGATGTGAGCGACACGCATGTGTCGTTGCTGTCATCATGATTGCAACTGCAGGCGTAGCCGCGGGAATACAATGGCGACTGCCACCTCGAAAAGAGGAAGGGAACGTGGTTGCAGTGCGATCGATTCAGGCTGTGATGGGTTTCGAATAGTAATGCATTGCAATGCGAATGTCTGTTTCGTGACTTTCTCCTCCAACTAGGACATACAAAAAGAATCTATCAACCCGCTCGCAAACCCACAGAACGCCTTAGCTCTTCCCAAGATCATTCAGACCGGACCCAGTATTACAGTGATACAATACAGAGGGGGTAGTCGCTGGGGAGGGTGATGGTGGTATATAGACAACGGTGGAACTTTTAGGGAAACTCAAAGGAGGGAAGGGTTTAGACACGCGACACGTCGCGACCAAAGACTTTAGCCTTGACCCAGTCCATGAGCACCAGGATCCTGTTGCGGGTGCTGAAGCACATGCTGAGGTAGGCGCTGCGCCAGAAGAAGTAGGTGATGGTACCGCCGGAAGCGATGTTGCCAGAGAACCATGAGATATCGGCGACGGCCTTCTCGGAACCAATGTAAGCGAGCGAACCCTGATGAGAGTACTCGAAGGGGTTGACGCCCTTCATCCTCCTCAGCCTCTTCTGCAGGTCCTTGATCTCCTCGAAAGCCTTGTTGCGGGCCTCGGCGTTGGGCGCCTTCTCCTGGACCTCGGACAGCTCAGTCAGCTTGGTCTCGATCTCCTCGGATTTGGCCATCTGGTTGAACATGCGAGCAAGGAAAGCACCTTCCTGAGCGGCGACCTGGGCAGTAGGGGCGTAGTTGGCGACGGCGCAGTCACCGACAGCCCAGACGTTCTCGGTGCCCTTGACAACGAGGTACTCGTTGACGGCGAGACCACGGCGGGAGTCCTTCTGAGCCGGGATCTGGTTGATCAAGTCCTTGACGAGCGGTCGCAGAGCGTTGCCGGTGGCCCAGACGAGAAGGCCGTAGGGGATCCTCTCGAGCTGCTTCTTGCCATCAGGACCCGTTGACTCAGCCTCGATGTACTTGTCTGTGACGTTCTTGACCATGGTCTTTGTGCGGATGTCGATGGTCTCCTCCTTGAACGTCTTCTCGGTGTAGTCGATGAGCTGCTTCGAGAACATGGGCAAAACGTTGGGGAGGGCCTCGACGAGGGTGACGTGGAACTTCTCTTGAATTTCGGGGATCCACTTCTTCAGGTCGGAGTGGAAGAAGTCCTGGAGCTCACCAGCGAACTCCACACCGGTGGGTCCTCCACCAACGACGACCATGTGCAGCAGACGCTGGCGCTCCTCCTCAGACTGGTCCTTGAAGGTGGCTGTCTCACAGCAGTCCATGATGCGGTTGCGGATGGCCTGGGCATCGCCGACCTCCTTCAAGAACAGGCCGTGCTCGCGGACACCGGGGATACCTGTTGCACCAGATTAGCCAGGTCGCGTGTCGGGCTCATGCATGACATGTATGACATACCGAAAGTCGCGTTCTCAGCACCCACACCGACAACGAGCATGTCGAAGGAGACCTGAGTCTGGGAGACGTCTCCCTTGATGGGCGACTCATCGTTGACGTACACGATGCGCTTCTCGTAGTCGATTTTGGTGGCCTCGGCTTCGTAGTACTTGACGGCGGCCTTCTTGTGGCGCAGGAAGTTGCGGATGGGCTCCATGATGGAGCGGTGCTCGATCGTGCCGACGGTGCACGAGGGGAGGAGCGGGGTGAAGAGGAAGTAGTTGCGCGGCGAGACGACGATGACATTGTAGTTCTCCGTGTCGAGCTTCTTGAGGAGGGAGACGGAGCCCCATCCGGTACCTGCGCGCGCCCGTCAGCTATCATCATCCCAGTCATCCATTGCAACAATTGCAACATCGCTTCAAGACATACCGAGGACGACGAGCGTCTTCTTGGTCGGGTCGGGCGGCGGCTGGTCGACGGGGTTGCGCGTCTCGTAGATGCCGTAGCCAACATATGCGAGGCCTGCAACGGCGGACACCCAGGTGAGGCGCCACGTCCAGCGCAAGATTCTGAAGCCGCCCTTCTTGACCTGCTGCTTGCCGGGGGTCAAGTTGCTCTGCTGGCGGAAGCTCTGGCGCAGGGCAATCTGGGACTGGACGGGACGCGGTGTCCAGCGCGCTCTGCTGCCGATCAAGGACGGGCGCTGTGTGCTGTAGGCGCGGCGGCCAGCCAGCTGGGCCTGCGAGAGGAGGTTCGCCGCAGCGAAGGGCCGCATGGTGGGAGCCATTGAGCTGTGGAGCGCTTCACAGGTGCACGCGGCGATGCAGCCTTGTTGATAGCTGATGCTGGAGAGGCGGGCGGAGGTGGTGGGAGGTGCGCAGTCCCCACCGAAGCCCGTGAAAACTACTTTTTCTTTGCGATGACGAGCAGCAGCTTGCCGAGCGCGCAGACAGGGATGCACTCTGCGCCCCAAGATAAGCTCGTTTCCAATTAAAGCCCGTTCTTTCGCATCCGCCGGGACCGTGTGCACAAGTCACGCTTGTGTCGAGGCGCTTGCACGCCTCGAGGTGCCTTGCTCCCGCGCGTTATCTTCAAGTCGCACTGCTCGCTATCCCCCCCGTGTTGCTCGTCGCGACACAGCACCAGTCCCAATTGCGTGCATTCCATCGCTCAACACATGCTCTGGACATGTCTCAGCTCAACCAGTCCCTTGCGCTCGGCGTCGGCGCCGGTCCGCTATGGATCCCTTCACACATCGGACAACAGGCGACCGCTAGTCCGGTGGGTGTACGGACAGTCATCCTTTTACGCGCACCATCCACGCGACCCTTTCACCCTTGCAGTTCGGTCCGTCTGATGCGCTGAGGCTCAAACATGCATATATGCTCCGCTGTAATCCTAGCTCAGACGCGCCGCCGGCCTGGCACTCACCAAATCTTGGAACATCGAATTGCAATCTACCAAGGCGATGCACAATGTGCCTTCTAGATTCTCTGCTGTCTTGCCGTGCTCGACGCGAGCAGGCAGAATGTCCTGTGCAATCTTGTAATGCTGGAGCGTCAGTCGAGCTTCGGCGCGGCACCGCACCGAGCGTTTGAATGAACCCTTCGAACGATCTCAAAATATCCTGAGCAACATCTACGAGCACCCATCTTGACTTCTCTCTGCAGCTGTTTCATCAGAAAATCGAGATTGGCTTCCGTACCATTGGATGCCCCGCGTGTAGCGCTCTCGGCCACTCAATTACCAGTAGCGTACATCTCTCGGTGCTCTCGCTGATGCTGGCCCGAACTCGGATCTCATGAAGCCTTGCCCGCACCATCTCCGTGCAACACCGAACGCTCTATCGATCACCCCACACCTCACACCTTGTCGCGAGCGCGAAACCACGACCATAAAGAATGCCAAAGCTTCACATCAATGCAATGATCCGGAACCTGCCTATTGACGTTGTCACTGTGGTCCAGGGCACCCAGAGAAATTCAAAAGATAGGTTCTCGAGAGATGCATGATGACAACCGTCACATAGCTCTTATCGATAACATGTACTCCGCATTCAGTGATGACAACCACAAGCATCACAGCTCGGAAGCCTGAGACAATCTCTTTGCCTTGCATATACAATCTCACAAGCCATCCAACATGCCCCAGGCCACAGCAACAGTCAACGGCGTCGAAGTCGCCCGAACCTCCACTTGGGAGGTAGTTGACGGAAACATCTACGTACGCTCACCTCCACCGGACTCCTCCTTGTACACGCCATCATGGCTTGCTCAGTCAACCCCCCTTCCCCGTGAACTGAATGCCAGCGGACTTCGTTATATTAACATCCGACCCGCAGTTCCCGCCCGACTCAGTAACCAAATCACACTTCACCCCAACCTCAACCAGCACCTACTGCCCTTACAAAGGCGAGGCATCCTACTACACCGTCACAACAAACAAAACCGAAATCCAGGACGCGGCGTGGTACTATCCGGAGCCGCTGCCGAAGATGGAGAAGATCAGAAACCATGTCGCGTTCTATAAGACCAAGGGGGATATTGTCATTGGCGTTGAGGAGTAGGCTGATCGCAGGAGTTATATCACTCTGTCTGGTCGGCGGCATCGGCTTCAACGCTATTAGGAAGAAGGCCTCAAGGCGAAGGATGTGATGCAATATCCATCAATGCAATTCGCTACCTGTGTCCTTGTCTCTCCAATTGTCCTGCAATCCTCCTCTCTGTCACCACGAACTGAGGCCTCGGGATGCAACCCAAGAACAACCACTTCTTGTCGACAGGCTGCGAAACAGGTTCTCATGCGTGTTTTTGTACTTCTACATGCGTCATCACGTCACGACTTAGCGCACTTCTGCAGTAGCACTCGAGGCCAAGACGCAGGGTCTGCGGACCAACTGGAAGATCCAGTCACAAGAAGCCAACCGAGTTGACGAGACGCGGTCGACCGAAAAGTGAAGACAGAAGATCTGGTAAGATACCCTCAAAGCGACTATTCCAGCCTGTTCCGACTGAATGCAGGTCCTGGAAGCAGTCTCTTTTTGGCCAAGCGAGGGAGGCGGCCGTTGCTGAACGAGGGCGCGGTGGCGGAGAAGTGTACAATCGTAAAGGCCGTGCTTGAGCTCTGAGACGCCTAGTTCAACCGAACGGTGACCTTGCGAAGCTCCATGACATGATTGTCCTCCACCAAGTGGTAAGCCAAGGAGATGGCGTTTGAGGTCTCGCATCCGCACTTGCATTGGGGGACTGCTCTTGACAGTGATGCGAGAAAGGTCGCGAGGAGTTCGTCAGTCTTGTTTGATCCGCTTGGTTGCTGGACAGCGCTCTTCGTCCAGCGGAACCTCGTCAGAGGCAATCCCCAGAAATTGTATACGGGTATGTCAAGCTCTGGAAACGCTTGGAAGATTCCAAGAAAGGTGTTGAGGGCATCTGAGTCTCGTGAGAGATGCCTGCCAAGCATTCCCGTATTCGTGCCTCGATCTCAATACCTGTCCTCTCAATGCCCGGCTGCGGAAATGCTCTGAATCTGTGCCTGATATCTTTGAATCGCTTCATATACTTGGTGTGTGCTCTCTTTACGCAGAGCCAATAGAACATCTCTCAGTGATGCTACTGCTGTGACGAGTTTCAGCTGCGTGCCTGTCGCCTGGTCGCAGTTGGCGCACTTTCGAGAAGGAGACACGTCAAAACCTTCAATGAGTGATGTCCATCCCTGCTTGAAAGCCGCCTCATCCTAGAAACACGGCCCATCGCTAGATGCCCTGGACCAGGTCGGCGCGCGATATCCGCTTGCAGGAAATTTCCAGGGTGATCGGTAGCGCGAGTGCCAGAGGAGGTCCCGCTATAGGTCTGATTTCCAGAGACCGAATATGTAGACATCGTCAACTATGTCTCTGAAGGCTCCCGCAAGCCCTTCCATCACTGGCAGCTTGTCTTCAGACGAAGACAGATTTCTTCCAGTGTACGTCTCAACAAATTTGTACCAGCTCGAGTAGCAGTCCTAATTCTCGTCGGCGCTGGAAGCTTGTACCCAGGATACGTCTTGCCGCATTCTTGCGACTGTCGCATGACAGTATCGATGCTGTCGACTGAGAGGGGAACCTTTTCCGTGCCTGTGGCTTCTGTCCATTGTTGGCATCCTTCTTCAAACTTCCTCATACGGACGCGCACGTACCTGACGAGGATTGAAACGAAATGCCGTACGACAGTGGTGCTTTCCAGTTGCCGTCCTTGAAAAGAACGCCCACTTGAATAGTATGCGGTTCCCGGCTTCTGTACATCAAGAGCATGGATCGATCTTCCATGGATGCTCTCAGAATGATATGCACTCTTCCCTTCTCACGCTCGGACCTCCTCTTGAGCTTTTGACATTTAGCAGTAAGCTGGTTCTAATGAAGGTGCCAAAACCGCAGCCATCAGCGGCCTGTTTCTGCATATCAGGGAAAGCCAGGTATGTGTCTTGATACTCTTGGTGTATGTTGTGCTCGGCGATGACTTGACTGTACAAGCCGCTTTCGGCGTGTACATCAGAGAGCGTCCTGATTTGGAATCTTGCGCACAATGTATGAATTTCGCTGGTTGGGCATGCTTGAAATATAAGGTGAGCATTGATAGCAAGCCATGCTCGGGCAGGGTTCCAGCTTGGTAAGAGTCGATATTGTCTTTCGGTATGTAAGAATCCAACAGATTGGTACTCATATTGTACTTGAACCCTCGGCGACCGGTATCAATGAAATACTGTGGTATCCCGTGCGGAAACTCTTTCGGCCCGCTCAGATCCAGCGCACTTCCAGAGCACTCGGTCGAAAGCAAAATGCAGAATCCGGGGCGCCAGCGCGCGTTCCTGAAAGATCCAGCCTCGAGGAGCCAGCCATGTTGATGTGGCGCGATCGGCCCAAAAGTGAGGGTCGAAGATCTGGTAGATTCCTGTGAGCCGACCTGTCCAGCCCGGTTCCGACAAAGCGTGGCTCTTGCAAAAAATCCTTCTTGGCCAAGCTAGGCAAATTGTCCTTGCTAGATGAGGATGCGGCGGCAGAGAGGTTCAGGAATGAGTTGCTGTACACTTGGTCCACGCTGCCACGTCATCGTCCTGACTGATGCAGAGAGAGTCGATCTAGAGAAAGGGAGTGTCGAGCTTCTCCGCCATGTCAATAGCACCTTGAAAGCATGCTGGTAATCAATCCCTAGAAATCCCTTTTTTGGTTCGTGTCTGATAGTTGTTCCGCACTGGTCGGTAGATAGGTCGCTGGTCTGACCCCAGAGGTGGCTGAGCATAGCGTAACGGTGGCCCTCTGGAGCGACTCCCGTTGTCTCGATGAGTCGATAATGCTTACGGCCGTCAACCCCAACATCTGCTTCGACCCTGAGTAGACGAGTAGGGAGAAACGACGATGACTGATCAGCGTGAAGCGCCCTCGAGCATGACTTGTGGCGCTCTCCGTTGGCACAATCGGCCAACTAAGCGCACACCCACTTCTACAGTAACTTTGAATTGTCCTGCGGATCAGCGGTGGCTTGTTCGGCTGATGGGTAGAGATCGTTGAGAGAGAGCGTTAATAGTCTCTCGCGATCTTCGTATCAGGCAATCAGAATCAGCGCCAGTACTCAGCTCAATCGAACCAGTGGGACTCACTAGTTTTCCTGAGATGAATCGCCTTTCGTCCACTTCATAAATCATGGGCGAGTTGATGGCGAAATCGAACGCGAGCACCACTTCGCCACCGGATCGGCTCCCCTAGACATCAGAAGTTCTGCCACGCCCGGCCGAGTCACTGCGCAGTTCAACCACCCTGAAGTGAGTACCCGAACCGATGAGAGCATGAATCAAATGCCTGATCAGGAACTCCTGTCCAAGAATCTACCCAGGTATAATACCGGCAGCCTATTGCTCCCGGTGTTTTCCCCTTTCGAACAAGTGCCGCTATAGCTCGCTGCACGTGCGACAACCATTGCGCGCCGAATCGCACAGCCCATCGATCTCGTCGTAGTGCGTTCGGAGAGAAGGCTACCGTCGCAGGTTGGATAGGAACACTGTGGAATCAGCTAACCACTCAATGTTAGTTTCTTTTGACAATCAGTGAACCCTTGTGACTGGTTGAATGATGAGCCACTTCAACAAGCGCTTACGTTGCAATGGATGCAAACGCGAGGGAGGTACCTATACGAGTGGGCCGTGTGGCGGTCTCGCAGTCGCGTCCTCTGTAGGCCGTGTTAGCGCAGTGGAAACAACGAGCTGGAGAAGAGAAGTCATGGACGAGAGCCAGTGCTGGAGGGCAGCAAGTTGTTAAACAGACTCGTTCAGATTGGGTAGTCACCAGCCAGTCTTCCGCCACGAGGCGAGACCTACCGAGCAAGAGGGAAATCGGGAAGATTGCAGGTCCGATGAACCAGGACTAAATTCGAGGGTATTGCTTTTCCATCTAAAACGCCGTCCAATGCACATGATCTCGTCATCTCGAGTAGAACACTTATCCCATAACCATGGTGTCGTCTCCATCCATGCCAACCGCAGCTGCGGGCTCAGCAACGACACCCCGCCCTCTACCCTCGAGCAACTCTCGTCGAACCTCTGGGCTGATGCCCTTGTGCCCTCTTGTCAGGAGGAGATCGAGCAGCGCCTCACGCTGGTCTTCTGTGATGTCGTTCCTGTACCTCTGTGCGAAGGCAAGCAGACACTGATGCCAGATGACCGGTAGCTTTCCCGTGCCACCCAAGTCGCCAGCTACAGACTCAGTGTCCATTGCATCCGCAGAGCTTGCGCCGACGGCGCGGAAGCGTAGGAAGTGGAACACTAAAGCATCGATGACCTTGAAGGGGAGCGCATACTTCTTCTCCAGCAATGTCTTGATGAAGATGTTGCACGGCCCGGCGGCATCAGGGTCGCTTGACATCTGCTCGGCTGCGATCTCACACAGCCGGTGCAGCGCAGCAGCAGAGTGGAGAACGGGGACGGAGACCTTTGCGACGACTGATGCGACGATTGTTGCTTCGCGCTGTGTGCAGCGGCTCTCGGTAAGCATGGGGAAGACGATGCCCTTGAAGAACGCACTGGGCTTGTACAACGCCTTCTTCAGCGCGTTGTACAAGTGTACATTCAGCTTCTGTGTCTCGGCGATGTGCGACTGGACGGCAGGCAGCAGAACGGTGTTGAGGAAGATTTGAGCGTTGTAGGGTTTCGAGGAGATGAAGATTCGGGTGGCCGCGTACATAGAGTTCGGCGTCCAGTTCTCGGGTCGCGTGATGGCGAGGAGGGTCTCCCAGGCGGGGATTGTGGGAAGGATCTTGAAGGGCTTGGGAAGCTTGCCGGCTTTGTAGCGGGAGAGGATGAGGCCGACTTTGCTGTATACTACACAATGTCAGCCGACGTTTGACGCGTGCTGCGAACTCGACATACCCTCAACGACCTTTGCTGGGAGCTCCACGGCATCCTCTGGTGCGCCGCCACCCATGATCTGTCTTGGCGCTTCTTGGTCACCTTCGCCAGCGCCGCCCTCGTGTGCGGCAATCTTCTCAAGAATGAGAGCTGCCAAATCTGTGCCGGGTCCTGATGGTGCCGTCTCTTGCCCGGGCCAGTGGATGGGGTTGTCGTCTGTGGGAATGAACTTGTTCCACGCCGCCAGGTCGTCTGCATCAATCTCGACTTCCTCGGCCTCTTCCTCGTCCTCGCCCCACGCCTCTTCGTCGTCGTCGTCGTCGAATTGGCCTGTGACATGCTCCTCGAGGTCGTCCTCGCCTAGCCGCTGCTCGAAATCGAATGCTGGGTTTGCGCGTTTTGGTGCGCCTCTCTGGCTCTCGCGCTCGTCCTCTTCCTCGAGCTCTCGTCCGATGTCCAAGATCTTGCGCGAGCTCTTTGCGTCTACATAGCGCTGCTCGTCTTCCTGGTCGGCCTTGTTGCGCTTGGTGCGCTTGGCCTTGTTCTTGTAGGCGTCGGACGGAAGGTACTCCTCAGCGAGAGGGTTGTGTCGCTGGCTCTGCAGGCCGGGCGACTTTGGTACTCTCGGCATGGTGGGCTTTCAATCGAAGCGATCGGGACTTGGTGGGCAGCTTTTCGCGGCAGCTGTCGCTTCGTGTACTAAAGTCCACGCCCGGCGCTATCGTCCAGGAAGGCTTCGATGGAGCAGTAGCGAAGTTCGCTGTGAGTCGGGCAGTCGCAAAAGTTTGGACCCCAACGGCAACAAAAAATCAGGCGGGGTTAGTGGACCCGAGGAAGGGGCCCGTGCAGATCGCCCTGCATCATCAGAGAGAGAGCTCCCGCGGTCAACAATCCTGGAAGAAGCCAACAACAGCAACAACACCAACAACACCAACAACACCAACAACCAGCATGGCGGAACCACAGCCCCCGTCGCGCTCGAACACGCCTACACTTGCGCCTCCGATGCGGCGACCACTCGAAGAAGACCATATTCCCGCCGTTTCGTCTCCGCTCAATCCCAACCCGAGCGGCGATGCGGCGGCGCGTTCACGACCGCGGGTGCCGCCACGCGAGCGCGAGCCGAGGGAGAAGCGCGAGACGCTCAAGAAGCGCGAGGCATCTGGAAACGCCCGTGCCAGTACACCCAATCCAAAAGCAAAGAAGGAGAAGCGCCCGTCCGCCGACTCGCCTATGCGATATTCGATCCCCGAGCCCAAAGCGGCAGACTACAACGCGCCCAAGGATGGCGTTTTCCTGTCGCGCGAGCCCAACCCGCTCTACGCGCCTGGTGGCGTTGCGGAGCTCAAGAAGCCGCAGGACTATGCTTGGAACAAGAAGGGCTACAGGTACACGCACTGTGTCGCAGATCCGCTCTTCAGGCACAAGCAGTACTACCGTCAGAGCGACTCCCGCCCCTATGGCCCTAGAATGAGCCACGAAGACTCGGACAAGTGGTTCTACTTCGATGACAGCGCCACCATTGTCTCTCAAGAAAAGGGCTGGCGCATGGGGAGAGGCAACGTCGTGGCAAGGGAGGGCCGCGTCTACTACGAAGTCAAGGTTTTGCGCGGCATACCAGCAGACGGCCCAAAGGACCCCGTCGACGCCAGGACGGGCGACACGAAGCCTGGACCACACGTCCGCGTGGGCTGGGCCAGGCGTGAAGCGCCGCTCGACGGACCTGTGGGCTTCGATGGCTACAGCTACGGCATCACAGACGCACGCTTTGAAGCCCAACACCGATCACGCGCCTCCAAGATCTTCAAGCCGCTGCCCAAAGGCGCAAAGAGCAAGCACATGAAAGCCAGGCCACCGCATGGCAAGCCTGTCCCTGTCGAGTACGTGACAGACCAGCACATCTCCGAGGGAGATGTCATAGGCCTGGAGATACAGCTGCCCTCGCTCTCCATGCACAGCAAAGTGGTCGAGGGTATCTACAACCCCGCCGTCGACCTCGGCGACGGTTTCGCCACAGCCAGCAACGCCGACCCTTTCGATCGCCCACTCGACATCATTCGCGACCGCATACCCGTGCCTTACAAGGGCAACTTCTATTTTGAGCAGCTCGATTACCAAGTCACGAAAATGGTCGAAGCGTACCACGACCGCGGCCCTGTACCCAAGATCCATCCCTCGCCGAATCACGAGGACGTCAGCCTTCGCTCGTTACCGCACTCGCATATCAAGGTCTACAAGAACGGGCAGGAGGTCGGTATCGCGTTCGAGAACCTCCTGGCTTTCTTACCTCCGGCGAGTGTACCCTCCGTCGAAGCTGTCAAGGCAGGTGCGCGAACGGGGTTCGACGACGGCATGGTCGGCTACCTACCTGCGATATCTGTCTTCAATGGTGGCATCGCACAAGTCAACATGGGTCCAGACTTCTGGTACCCACCTGAGGAGATCAGGAAGTACCAGCAGCACGATACGCAGATGGGCGGCACCGACTCGTCGGAGAAACCTGTACCTGAGGGCCGGAAACTACGTGCCATCGGTGAGCGTTACAAGGAGCAGATCGCCGAGGACGTCGTCTGGGATATCATCGATGAGGTCGACTTCTTCTCGCAGGATGGCGGATGGGAGTACAAGGGCGAAGCGCCGCAAGATGTCAAGGGAAGCGCCACGCCCAGGGCGCGTGGTTTCGCGAATCCAGACGAGAACCTGGGAGTTGAGGTTGGCAGGAGATACTGAGGTAGTCATGTATCTTCATGCTGCTGTAGGAGGTGGTGTAGGAGTGCAAAAGCGAATACCCATCGTTCTGACCTTGGATCATACAGTTTAGAGTCGAGTAACGGAAGATGGCTGTAGGCGGCTCGAGCCGCATGTAGCAGGGCCAACAGCAAAGTACCTGACTATGCGACCCCATCATCGGTCCACCATGCACTCGCACATTCTACGTCCGCGGGCACACGCCTATTTATATATAGCTGGGGTGCCGCTAGTCTTCTTCAAGTAATTGCGCCTCAAAGTGTCGCTGCAAAAGGTAACGCGTGATAACGTGCGCGGAACCGGAACCTACAAATTCAACGTTCCGGAATACCAGAACACGTTTTTACTTTGTCATTTTCACGCCCTAACATCGACCAGTCGAAGCTTGGATACCTTTCTCAAAGGTGGTTTATAGAGGAGGATAAAAGGACCTTTTCAGATCAATTGTCTCAATTCACAGCACCTTACATATTGCTCTTTTCTCGTTGCCAGTTACCCCCCCCCCCCCCCGCACCATGGACTCGAAACAATTTCGCGATGCGGCCAAGGGAGCCATTGACGAGAGTAAGTTCTCTTGAATTGCTTACTCACGCATGTGCAACGTCGTCTGACTGTCTACAGTCGCAGCATACTACGATAATATAGAGGAGAGACCCGTTTTGCCATCCGTCACTCCCGGATATCTGCGCCCTCTCATCCCTGACTCAGCACCAGAAGAAGGAGAGTCATGGGAAACCATCCAATCCGACATCGACCGTGTCATTATGCCGGGTCTGACACATTGGCAATCGCCAAAGTTCATGGCTTTTTTCCCATGCAATTCCTCCTTCCCGGCCATGCTTGGCGACATGTACTCTGGAGCTTTCAACGCAGCGGCCTTCAACTGGATCTGCTCGCCTGCAATCACAGAGCTAGAGACTGTGGTGATGGACTGGGTCGCTAAGTTGATTGCTCTGCCTGACGCTTTCTTGAGCCAGGGCGAGGGCGGTGGTATCATCCAAGGAACAGCCAGCGAAGTAATCGTCACCGCCGTAGTCGCAGCTCGCGAACGTGTCATTCGCAGACGCCTCAAGGACATGCCCGAAGGCGAGGAGAAGATGGATGCCGCAGCCGACCTCCGTGGCAAACTTGTAGCGATGGGCTCCGAGCACGCCCACTCTTCCACCCAGAAAGCCGCCATCATCGCCGGCACACGCTTCCGTACAGTATCCGCTCCCGCAGAAAACAACTACAGCGTCTCAGCAGCATCGCTAAGGAAGACCATTGAAGAATCAGAAGCGAAGGGCCTCATCCCGTTCTACTTCACCGCTACCATTGGCAGCACAGCAACCTGCGCCGTCGACGACCTCGCTGGTATCGCCGAGCTCGCTAAAGAATACCCGGATATCTGGATCCACGTCGACGCCGCCTACGCCGGCTCCGCACTCGTTTGCCCGGAGTACCAGCACCTCTGCCCACCGATCGCAGCATTCGACTCCTTCAACTTCAACCTGCACAAGTGGCTGCTCGTCAACTTCGACTGCAGCGCCTTCTTCATCAAGCGCCGCAAAGACCTCATCGACACATACTCCATCACACCGTCCTACCTGCGTAACGAATTCACAGAGGCCGGACTTGTCACAGACTACCGCGATTGGCAGATCCCACTCGGTCGCCGCTTCCGCTCGCTCAAAGTGTGGTTTGTCTTGCGCTCGTATGGCGTGAAAGGGTTGCAGGCTTTCATCCGCAATCACGTTCAGCTTGGCGTGTCCTTCGGACAGCAGATCAAGAGCCGGCCTGATCTGTTCAAGATCACAACGGAAGCTAGCTTCGGCCTGGTCACGTTCCAGGTCACGCCCAACCCGCCGACGCCCAGTGGTGGGAAGGCGGATAAGCCGAATCCAAGGCATGAGGCGTACACGAGTGACTTTACGCCGAGTGGGGAGGCGCAGTACAGAGATGATTGCAATCAGGTGACGAAGAGGGTGTATGAGAAGATCAATAGCCAAGGAGAATTTTACATCAGTAGTTCGGTGGTTTGTGGGACGTATATTATTCGCATTGTCAGTGCGAATACGGCGGCGGAGGAGAAGTATCTCAAGATGGTGTTTGATAGGCTTGTGGAAGCTGTTGAGGAGGAGAGGGGTGGGAAGCAGGCTGAGGACGCCAAGTCCGCTTAGGCAGCGAAAGGCCGGGAACCAAGAGTAGGAAATACACTAAGCAACATACAAACATGCTCACAAAGAACGTTAGCAAGCAGCAGAACTTTACCCACATGGTCACGGCTGAACTGTCCATTCAACACGGTCACTTGTCGTGACCAGCGCCGTGCCCCAGTATATTGCAGTTCCAGATACGAACTGCCCTCGAATGTGCACGACGATGAACGAAAACGACTAGCGCAGCATTTTAAAGTTGGGACAAATCGCTGATAAGGGAAGCTTGTGGTGATACAATGGGAACCAAGGTGCAGCAATGGAGGTCTGTTGTAGGCGTTGTGGTTGATTGATTCATTCTATCTACGTTGAAGTTGAAGATACCCCAAGGGGGTCAGACCTCATGCTCTGCTGATTGGCTGGAGGCCTGCTCTCTCCCATCCCAAGTCGATAGGACCAGACTGCAGAGGGTCCGCACGGATGGACTCTGTGCTTGAGGTCGCAGCTCTGTGCATTACTGATTTCGCAAAAGTGATGGCAATTACCTCATGATGGCGCGAACGTATTTTGTCGCGTAACACACAGTGTCATGTAGAGAGGTGTAAGTGTTAACAAAGCGGGGGACTCGTCCCAAAAAACAAGTGTTGGTGGTTTGGTTTCCGACCAATGGTGTTTAGTTGTGGCAGCGTGGGCCACTGTAGTACACTGATAGCTACCGTAAACCACACCGTAGGACTATCGGGTTGATGGAATACTGCGCTGAATGGTTATCTAGCTAGGAGAAGACGACTATATACCTGACCTGAAACATGCTAGTCCAGGGTGGTCTGACGTGTGCAACCTCAGGCCTACCGACCAACTGATACCATAACATCAATCGTCAGCCGTGGTGTTTGGCCGAGGTAAAATCCAGTGGGCTGTTGTGCGCCGTTAAATGATTTCGTGCCAAAATGATGTCACACCTGATGCACCGGGAGCATCATGTCTTAGGTCGCCAAGTACTAACGGCCGTCCAGAAAGCCGCGCTTACTCTTGCAAACGATCTCCTACTGCCCCCAGGCGGTCATTGACATCGAGGATATTCAATCAGGTAGATCCAGCCCTTTTCTTATCTCTAGTCCAGCATTGTGCCTTACACCACTCCTTCAACTCTGTGTCAATCTTGCTTCTCTTCTTGAAGGACTTATAAGGCAGTCCCAACCAACAGTACCTCCGCAGTTCCCGGCGACAAGGTGACCCTGATCAGCGTAGCAGAATGCTTTCTGCTCCTCGGGTATCGATATAGCTTTCCTGAATGTGGGATGTGCCTTGCCCAAGAACGTGATGTCGTGCTCCCAGTCGTCGCCATGATCATACTCGAATATAACTTGCAAGTTACCCGCCCATCGTTCGCCCCCAAAAATGGAGCGGAGGATCACTTCGTGGGAGAGCTTGGCATCTTGCTCGTCGCCTACGCCTGCGTCCAACATGATCTCCATATCGTACTCATTCCAGGCGAGATATAGTTGTGAAGTCCGAGTTCGGTGTGTGAATTCCATCTTCATAAGTGATCGGTTACAGGTTCGGTTCATAGTACAAACATCTTCTGATTCCAGGAATGGCTGTACGTCGCACGCCTTGCAAAGTTTACCACATCTCACAACAAAGCTGCCTTACCCATCTCTCTGCTTTCGCTCAATATATCTAACATACTGCACATCAGCCTCGATGACTGCCAGAGACACGCCGTCATGTGCGTTTCTTTGCCCAAGGTGTGATGCGATCAAAAAGGGGTTAGCGCCTTCTCGCTTGGGCGCCAGTCGGTGGCCTCTTTCGTCCACTTACGAATCGCTTTCCTGCGCGACTCAAGTTCGACAGCGAATGTATGCTTCGCCTCAGTAGGCCCTACAGTAGTTTCAGAATGGCGCAGGCGTCAAAGCAACCTTTGATCGCCGTCGTCGGCGCGACAGGCACGGGCAAGTCAGATGTAAAAATTACTCTCTAGATCTCTAGGCATGAGTACTGATCACAGCAGGTAGCTAGCCGTGGAGATAGCACGCGAGTTCAATGGCGAGATCATTAACGGAGATGCGATGCAACTTTATCATGGCTTACCCATCATTACCAACAAGGTCACAACGGAAGAGACACAAGGAATACCACATCACCTGTTGGGCTGCATCGGGCTGGAGCAAGAGACATGGACTGTCGGCAAGTTTGTGAGCAGTGCTTTGACTGTGGTAAGTCCTTCCATATGTCGATTTTTGTGCTCAAATCTTAATGTGAATAGATCGATGAAATTCGAAGCAGAGGCAAGCTTCCCATCCTTGTCGGGGGTACTCACTACTACACTCAGTCACTATTGTTTAAGGATGCGCTCTCGAAGGAGCCTGCGCTTAACCTGAATGAGAACAGTGAACACTTCCCGATCTTAGATGAGCCGACTAGCGTTATCTTAGAGAAATTGAGAGAGGTGGATCCTGTAATGGCGGACAGGTGGCATCCGAATGAAAGCAGGAAGATCCAGCGCTCCCTCGAGATCTACCTGAGGACCGGCAAGCCAGCATCGCAAGTCTACGACGAGCAACGCATCAAGCGAGAGATCGAGCAAACCGCTACAGACGGCAAACAAGCCGAGAGTAGCACGGGCCTTCGTTTTCCTACTTTGTTGTTCTGGGTGTATGCTGACAAGGATGTACTGTACCCACGTCTCGACGGACGTGTAGACAAGATGCTGGCTAAGGGTCTCCTGTCTGAGGTAGACGAGTTGTCGCGGTTCCGAGCCGATTATGAAGCACGCACGGGGAACGCCGTGGACCAGAGTCGTGGCATTTGGGTATCGATCGGTTACAAAGAGTTCCTTGGCTACCAGAGTGCGCTCGCCGACAGCACACTTCCGCCAGCAGAACTTGAAAAGCAGAAGATTGCGGCCGTGGAGAAGACCCAGGCTGCAACGAGACAATATGCGAACCGTCAAGCTCGATGGATCCGGATCAAGCTCCTCAATGCCTTGTTTGGAGCGGGGTACAAGAGCAACATGTTCCTTCTCGATGGCAGCGATCTCTCGAAATGGGAGGATAACGTCCCGCGACCAGCACTTAGGATCACCGAAAACTTCCTATCGGGCCAACCACTTGCAGAACCAACAACTCTATCTGCTGCCGCTGCAGAGAACTTGACACCAAAGCGCAACTACGATCTCGGGCAGCGTCCCGACCTGTGGCAGAAGAAGGTTTGCGAGACGTGCGGAACGGTGTCTATCACTGAGAATGACTGGAAGCTACATGGCCAGAGCCGCGCCCATAGGCGAGCTGTTGGGATCAAGAAGAAACAAGCGAATGCAAAAGCTCGTGCGCCCAAAGATCGCAGCGCTTGGCAGGCTGATGTGGTAGACGTTCTCGAGACATATCTGGATGGGCATCCGGGCGACAGTCACTAAACCTAAAACTCGACACCTTACAACCTGGATGACCACCAGTGATGTTCGTAATAGGTCAGCCTTGACGAACCACCAACTGTGTCCTTCACCTCAAGTCGCGAAAGTGTATCTACGACGAAACATTCTCAACCACTTATCCCAACTGCAGCTGCAGCGTCAACCTGCCTTTGCGACCCTCTCAACACTAGATTCCCATGTCAAGTACAACAAGGCCATTCTGAGTCTGAGCACAGATTACCTATGTTTGGCGGCATGCCTTTCAGATACGGCAAGGTTGGAAGCGAGAGCTCGACCGACGAAGAGCAGAGTACTCATCCCGGACCCGGCGGCTTCCTCCAAGTCCCTAGCCAAGCGACAATCTCCTTACCCCACCAATGCACTACGAATAAACCCCCCCCCCCTGCGCGGCAAAGATGTCTACGTGCTCGCCGTATTCCACCAAATGCACTGCCTGTACCACATGCAAGCCTACATGGACACTTTGGCGATGCAGATGCGCGCGGGTAACACGACGCTGGACGAGCATAAGCTGATTCACAACGATCACTGTTTTAACTATTTGCGGCACGCGATTATGTGCACGGCGGATTCGACGCTTGAGGGTCAGATAGAAGGGGAGGGGTGGGATGGCGAGACAAGCACGGATGGGACCGGCGCGATGCATGTTTGTCGCAATTGGGATGAGGTGAAGGCGTGGGCGGAGAAGAAAAGGCTGTATGATGGAGTGCTCCGTGAGAGCTTGATCTGATGGGGAGAGTAGTACAAAGTAGTGGTGTTGTGGACTGTGCGAAGTATTGTGTGTATGTATTGAGGTTCGGCGTTCAATAGGCGTTTATTGAACAACAGGGTCACGTTGCGACCTCCTGCAATGTGTTAGTAGCCCGTGATCAAAAGACAGTATTCGCTGTTGCGACAACCATCACAGCCGCAAAGTAACCGTGAAGAGTTTTCCCAATGTGGAAAATTGGTGCGTGATAACCGAAGAGATCTATGAACGATACAGGGCAAATGCGGTCGGGATCTACCAGTATGGGACTGACTCGCCACGAAAGGAGTGGAGCAAATGTAACAAGCTACGAAAGACGACGACCAAAGGGCTAAAACATAATAACAAGAGCGCAGGGGAGGAAAGAAAGAGGACGGAAAAAGCAACAATCTGGAGAAAGTCAAAAAACAGTGACAAAAGGAAAGTAGGGTAGAAACCAGCCAACCAAGAAAGTCATCATCAGTCTCAGGAAGGCGTCGTCTACCCCCGAGACGGTGACGCTCACATCCAGAACATGGTGTGAGCAACGCTGTCTCTCTCCACGGGTTCTTGTTGGCACCGTGCTTTTAGAACACAGCCTTCGCTTTGTCTATGGTATTCTTGCAGCAAGCCTCCTCGACTTCCTTGTGGTTACTGAGTTCTTTAGCCTGCTCAACGATACCTTTGACGCGTCGAGTGCCGTTGTTGTTCCGAATCGAGTGGCTCGAAGTGTAGCCCTGCGCTGCTCTTCGGTGTGCTTGAAGTTCTTCAGCTTCCGGCGACGGTCTTTGCCTTCTAAGGTGTTGACAAAGAAGTCACGGAGGTAGCAGCAACCGCGCTCGCAAAGTCGGTCAGCGTAGTAGGCTGGGGGAGCGTGGGTTATTGCTCCGGTTGCTCGGATGTATGTGAAGCACAACTCGTGAGTCTGAACCACGATTCGCAAATGCTCGACGTACATAGAGATTTGATACTTACCAGCTGTCGCAGCTCATCAACGCTTCTGTCCATCTCATTGCGCAAGACAAAGCAGTGCGCTGGTCTTGCCGTGCCTTGGAGTGGGGAGTGCGACTGAACGTAGAAATCGGCTTAGTATGGCGAGATAACCACATCATCGACATATATTCTGGGGAGGCAATTGCCATTCTTGGTTGCTCCTTCTTGCGGGTAGAAGCGAACGTGATGTCTTTTAGCGCATACAATGCCCGTCAGCTTGGGTGCTTCGCCGCTGGGAACTTTGCCAGGATGTTCATGACTCAGCTCCTGTAAGGCCTTTGGAAATGCGGATATTATCTTGCTGAGCTCTTCCTCGCGAATGATTTGTACTGTCCCTCTGAGACCCCGTCTTGATAATTGATGATGTTCTTGGGCAGACGGAACCGGTTGTTTTTGACCCAGTCCTTAATGCGCTCAACGACCATGTCCTCGACGTTGTCGATCATCTACCAAAGTTCGGATGTAATTTTCGACGGCCGAGGTATCCTTAGGATTGAGAAGTGTCTTGGTGCGAGTGAAGTGAACTCTGACAACCTCGTAGTTGTGCTCCGCGAATTTCTTGAAGAATTCATTCCCAAGTCCAGTTTATCCATGTCGACATTTCTTCTGTTCGGGTACGCTGTCCGAGCATTGTTCAAGAGTGCGAATCACTTACTGTTCTGTAGATGGGTGAGCACATTCTGCAGATTACCATTCACATCATGAAAGTTCTAGCTTCTAAGAGTTTTACCCAGTCCCTGAATTGTTTTGACCCGAGCTTGACAGGTGTTCAGGCAGGTAAACGTCGCTAGATCAGACTGTTTGTTACCGCGGCCTAGTTGGATGCGGACCCGCAATCCTCTCGAAACGCATTCCCGCTCCCACTGCTTGAAAGTCAAGGTGTCATTCATGACCTCACTTACCCTGATGTTGTTGAAGAACGCGCTTGTGCAAGGATTGATGTTGAGAAGTACATGGCGAACTCCAGCTTTGATGGTGTAGTAGTATCCTCTCATCGTGTAAAGTGCGACTGAGTTTTGGATTGTTCCGCCTACGTCTGTGACGCGCAAAACATGAGTCCCGCATTTGTCGAAGAACTTGTTAACCCCTACTTGAATCATGTAGTAGTGAAATGATAATGTTGAGTGCACGCTTTGTAGGTCCCAGATCAACTGTCGCGTGGTTGGGCATGGGTGTCCGTATGATTTAGCAGACTAGGAACGTCCACAAATGCCGTCATAGACAAACTTGACCCTAACGTGAATTGGGTCATCCAGCATGTCAGGTTGCAGTTGCCACGTTGAACCAGGGCTCTCGCCATCACCGTTGGTTCGGAGATGTGCGACCCTGTTGCTGAATGAAGCGACTTTTAGGCCATGACTGTCCTGAAGTAATCTGTGGCGAAGCATGCTTCTCAATTGTTCCTGAGAAAACCGTACGATCTCACTGCTGTCTTTGTTAGTGCACGAATCTTTCTCTAGTTCCTACCTGGGGGATCGGACTCGATGGTATATTTGTACAGCTTCTGTTCTGGTGGGAGCCGCGGTGGTGGTGGTCGAAGCTGGAGGCGCCGTACCTGCAGCGCTGTTCGCTATTGGAGGGACAGAAGTTGGACCGGTCGGAGCTGCGGCTACACCAGTAATTGCAGCTGGGGTGGGTGCAGTAGCGGTAGCAGTAGCGGTAGGCATGGGCCCGTCTGGAATGTGAGGAATCTGGTACCTGGGCCTGCCGCTGCTGAAAGGTGTCATGCCATCTTGTCGTTAATTGTACGCATGCTGTAACTGATGAACGTAAGCCATATTACAATCTCCATGCCTTGCGTTGAAGACTCCGTCACTGAAATTGGTGCGCTATTCGGTTGACGGGAACGCATTAGGGCAGTCAAGAAGTTGATGTTTCTTCTTGCCGCCACCACTCTTGCACCAGATGCACCTGGGGAAGGTTTTGTCGACATCGATGCGGTCTTTAAAGTCTTGTCTCAGGTGAGCAACGTGGACGTTGGGTATGACAGCCATGGCTACGATTGGGGTAAGTTGTCTGTATGTTCGATTGCAGCCAAGCTGAATGGTCCAGGAAATGGAACTTGAAAGTTCTGATGGTGATCTTCCAGTTGGGCGGTTTAGTAGTCAGATACACTCTCACAGCAGCCAAAATCAGCTTGCTACTGTCAGTTGCTTTTTCGCCCCGTGCAGGTGCGCAATCACCACGAAGGACCTTTCGAAACATGTCGTAGGTTCCGGCCCTGTACCAGTCCAGCAATCCGGAGACATCGTGACGCCAGGAACTTGCATGCTGGCTGCATCCTGACTTGGATCACGAAGGAACGCTCGAGTAAGCAGAGTGGAACAAAGTTTTGTCTCAGTCATGAGGAAGGTGGAAGCTGCTTGTCGCAGAGCACGGGGCATGGAAGTCTCATTGTTGAAAGTGTTCGTGACGCTGACAAGCGGCTTGTGTCGCCCGGTGAGGCAGGGCAAGCGGGCTGTTCGAGATCGTGAGCTGTTCTTGATGCCTGCAGCAGCAGGCACATGGCCAGACAATGGCGATGTTGTTGTGCTGCATGTTTGTGGTGAGCGGAGGCTAGACATCTCAAGGTCCGGGAAGGAGCGCTCACCTTTCGCCGCAGGTCTCCTCGCGCCTTCCTATCCTACGACACAGCACACAAAGATTGCAAACATGAGACGTAGGTGCGGTTTCATAAAGATCCATATACTCATCTATCGAACCGCCCGATACTCGTGTTGTACAAAACAAGAAAATCTACATGAAGTGGTACAAGCGAGCCAATTTGAAGGGGGTATCTCACCCGGCGCCATGTGCGCGGACTAAAGAAGAAATGCAGCCACATGGCATAGCTGGTATTAGAAGGTCATATTGGGGTAGGCGCAGACATTAGACAGAAAACCGGGTATATGCAGAAGTGCGCGCGCATGCAGTCGTATACGGCGGGGATGGGTATCGAAGAACGGCGTCGATGCCTTACTTGCCGCCTTGGGGGAGCTTGACATTGTTGCTGAGCCATGCCTGATCGTGATGTCAGTTGATGTCGTCCTGAAGACTTGTGATGTCCTTACCAGTCCTTCAAATATACCCTCTCCTGTGGTCGCACAGCTGGGCTCGACCTTCCAAACGTGGTCCTTCGCGATCTTCTCGAGCTGCAGCTTGTCTGAAACTTCCTTTGGTCGCATAGCTGGCACATGTTAGCCTCTAATGTCCACTCTTACAATCGCAAATCTGTCGTAGTATCATAACGTACCTCCTTGCAGATCCTGCTTGTTTGCGAACACCAGCAACAACGCATCCTTCATTTCCCTGTCCTGGATGATGCGCGTGAGTTCGGTGCGGGCCTCGTCGATACGGTCGCGGTCGTTAGAGTCGATAACGAAGATCAGACCCTGGGTTCCTGCAACATGTATTAGTATATCAATCATGAGTGCTGCTGGCGAAGGTGATCTGGCAGGGTAGAGGAGGCGTTTGCAGTGTAAATTGCACGCGTGCTCGCCTACCCGGGACAGAACCTTGCTTTCCCAACATACCAGAGAAGTAGTGTCTCCACAGAGGGCGGATCTTGTCCTGACCACCGACATCCCAGACGTTGAACTTGGTGTTCTTGTATGTGACGGTCTCGACGTTGAAGCCAACGGTGGGGATCGTTGTGACGTCCTGGTCGAGCTTGAGCTTGTAGAGGATGGCTGTTTGCACGTGTCAGTAACGAGCCTGAGGCGTGAGCGTATAGAGCTGGCGTACTGGTCTTCCCAGCTGCGTCAAGACCCAACATCAACAGGCGCATCTCCTTGGATCCGAAGATCTTGCCCATCATTTTTGAGATTGAGGCACCCATATTGTCTGTCGTAGACTGCTCAAGCGTGACTGCCTTTACAAATGAGCTGCTCTGCTGCTCGTGTGGAGACGTGGGCGGAGAACAAAGCGGTGGACGTGGTGTTGATGCTCCTGATAGTGGTGCACGCAAGGCTCGGTGTCGGCGCAATTAACCAATATTAGAGCGTATGCTCGGGCTGGCAGAGACTGAGTGGTTGGCGGCGACAGGCTACACTAGCTCGGCGGAGGCTCCACGGACGTCGAGGGCGGTGGAGGGAAAGCAAGAAAGGGCAGACAAGAGATGAGATGAGGTTCTAAAGTTAAGACGGACGCCACGGTTAGTTCAGATCGGCAACGCGCCTACTTGTTTCAACTGGGCCCCTGTCATGTCAACCCTAACACGCAAACATGACCGGTACACTGACAGCTTGCACAAAAGGGGTCGGCCTGCGTCGATGTGGACATTTCGATTTGCACGGTCAACCGTCGTTTAAATTATTGCAACTTCGCGCCAGGACGCCTGCAGCCAGCACTCCACCTGCGCATGCAGTTTCGCTGCAGGTTCGCTGGAGCTAATGCACCTCAACGCGCTGAAACGCCAATCTAACAGCCAGGAACCCGAGGCTCCTTCTGAGGCGGACAGCTGCAGCAGCCAAAAGTCACGCAAGTATTTTCGGAATCCCTACGCGAGCACGGCACTTGTCCCTTGCCGGTGCAATTCGAACCGATCAGGGCGAGCGGGAACATTTCTTGATCGAGCGGCTGGCTGCAGGCGATGGATGGTGGCCTGGCGTACCCTGGCAAGCGCGCGCTCGACGCGTCAATGGTCAAGGCAGCTCACACGACACTCGATTTGTATCTATGGATAATTGACATTTGAGGTGAGATTCTTTTCACCGAGTATATACATTGGTGCCCAACATATGGCTTGACCTCTTGCAGGTGCTCTCCGAGCATTGTGGCTTTCTAGCTCTGCTCTTCTCAAATATCTTCCCAATCTCGAGCTGCCAGGTCCTTCCATCAAAGCCAACGCTGGCGGCTTGGCGCTTGTGTTGACTGCTCTTGCAGTGCGGTCGCCTTGCCCGACCTATGACAGGTCGTTGTGATATCTTGTATCTTCTCTTTCTCCTCTTCAACCATGCTCATTCAGGCAAGCTCCTCATAACACCTTCAAATGCGACCAGAGCTACAGCATTCGCCGGAAAGGCCCTCAGGAAGCACGGCACAAAGCCTCTCCAGTATCCCTTGAATCCATTCTCTCTGTATACAGCCTTCGCCGCATCTCTCCAGCGGGGGAATCGTCTTTCAGGGCCCAATGGGTCTGTCATGATGCGCTGCTTCACCACATCACTCGGGTATGATGTGATCCAGAAGATCTGTGCTGACAATCCACCAGCCCAGAAGTTGACTGCCGGTGTTGACAAGTTTGTGTTGTTCTGCAGCATTCGTGTGAAGACATCGTATGAGCCCCACCAGAAGCAGAAGAATGTGCGAAACAGCAGCGTTGCTGAAAGACCGTGGTATACACCGCGCACGCCGTGGCCACGGAATATCTTTGTCAGGCAATCAATTGGTCCACTGTACAAACGGTTGCTCTTATCGGCGGAGTATTGGATCTGAAGGCGTGCCTTTACATGCTCGACGGGCGCTGCGACGAATGAGACGGTCCATCCCGCCATCATGCCTGCCATTGCATGACCGACAATGGGAAGCTTGCCTTGCTCGTGGCCCGGTTGGCGAGGATTGAAGAAGCGGTCGTTCAGTTTACGGCGGTATACGCTGAGGGAGCCAAGCATGCTGTTGTACGTCAGCCTTGACGTTTCAGATGAGATGGTGAGGATGTGTGCGGGTACATCGAATCCATGAACATCCATCCTACCAGTGGCGGCGTTGCACCCTTGTAGAGCCCTGCGAAACCCTCCTTCCTTACTGTCTGCAGCAGGCAGTCCAATGGCCCTCGAAAGTGCGACTTGTCGGTGGTCTGTAACCGTACTTTTACTGTATCGAATGGATGCCCAACTACCAGGGTCAGCCTTTTTCTTCCTTCCCTCAGACATGACACGTACCTGACAGCTTCGCAATGCCAGAGAAAACACCAGCAACAAACCCACGATAGTGCGACGGCTGTTTCTTATCTGCAGGGTCTACAACTGCGGCCGCTGCGGGCTTCTCGCCCGTCTTCATGACTGTGGTAGCCATTGTCGAGGTGTTGTCGCGTTGTAAAACCACAAAATCATAACCGGTTGGACAAAGGTCAACAGCAGAGTGTGGAGAAGCTCCATGAATATCGTGGAGGAATTGTCCATCGCATCTGTCAGCCATCAATAGCGCTGCAGCACAGCTCGACCGGAGAGGCACAAGCGCCCGCGAGCCAGTGGTGACGTGCGAGATCGGCGGCTGGACCCTGCGTTTCAAGGCTGGATCGACCACCGTAAGAAACTCCGTGATGCGTAGCCCCCACTAGACTCGTCGCGGAATCAATGCTGCAAACATACTGCGGTTCACAATATGTGTCTTTAATCGCTGGCTAATACATATACACTGATTATCCCATACCGTTAGGCTCACTACATACTATAGCAGCAATCATGTCAGGGACACAAGCAACACCATCAGCACCCATCGAGTCGAAGAAGGGTAAGGCCTCATAGTGGGGTACGTCTTGCATCGAGCGCATAGCTAACATTCGCAGTGTGGACCACGTTGATCACCAATACGGCCTACCTGACAGGTCTCCTCACCCTTGATTATAGCCTGAAGAAGCACGGCAGCAAATACCCCCTCGTCGCGCTCTACACTGACACCTTCCCCGCCGAAGGCCATGCTGCCCTCGATGCGCGCGGCATCCCCAAAGAACACGTCAAGTACCTGCTACCCAAGGTCTCTAAGGACTACACCAATGACCCTCGCTTCTATGACTGCTGGAGCAAGCTGACGCCCTTCTCCCTCGAACACTATGACCGCGTCGTGCAGCTGGACAGCGACATGCTGGTTCTTCACAACATGGACGAGCTGATGGAGATGGAACTCGATCCACCGAGCGCTGCTGGCAAGGGCAACAAGGTGTTCGCCGCAAGTCATGCCTGCGTATGCAACCCTTTGAAGAAACCACACTACCCCAAGGACTGGATCCCAGAGAACTGCGCCTTCACATCCCAGCACTCCGACCCTGCAACCGCACAACACACTGGTGCAGGGCCCACCGCTGGTCTCGGCATGCCCAACGGCGGTTTGCAAGTCGTAAACCCTAGCAAAGCAGTCTACAACCTGATCCTCGACCAGCTGGCCAACGAGTCATCCATGAACTACGAATTCGCCGATCAGTCACTGCTGAGCGATGTATTCTGGGGGCGATGGGTTGCGCTGCCGTATATTTACAATGCGCTGAAGACGATGAGGACCGAGGGTGTGCACCACCAGATATGGCAGGATGATAAGGTCAAGAATATCCACTACATCTTGAGCCCCAAGCCATGGGACGAGGCGCCTGGCAAGTGCAACAATGAGAACCACGAGTGGTGGTGGGTAGTCAACAGTGAGAGGCTAGAGGCCGAGAAGAAGTCAGGGATAGAAGATGGATTTTGAAGTGCATACTAGTAGATATGGCGGCGTTGGTGAGGCAGAAAAATCTAAACATAGAGTGTATAGTTATATCTGATTGACGGCGTAACAAAACTGGGAGTGTCTCTTATCTCACGAGAAGTTGTGCTGATGAAGACAAGGGCTACATCATGGAACCTTATCGCATCGGACAGGAGCCTGGAGGACTTTAGCGTTCTCGGTGCCAATCAAAGTTTTGTCTGCACAATGTAAGTCTCTTGTTGTTGATTATTATCGTACCCTCAGATGTTCTTGCTGTTTCGTGGAGGGACGCTAGCATTAGCGTTCGGCTACGCGTCACAGCCCTGGTCAGGTTGCTGACCGTTACTTGAACACCTCCACAACCGCTCATCAACATGCAATGGATTCGCCTGCTGCCGTGCGACGTCGCCGTAGACGGAGAGTGCCAGACGAAAACCGAAAAAGGGCTCCGCGTGCATGCACCTACTGTAAGGCGAGGAAGAGCAAATGCATCGAAACATCTCGCGGTGTTTGCCAGCGATGCATGCAGAGCTCCTTGAACTGCAAGTTCGAACGACGGCTGAGTACTTCGAGCGAGATGGAGACGCCGTTAGAATCTCACATCAGTCCCTCGGCAACCTTCGAGACAGATAGTCCGGCTGAGCGTTTCATGTGGCCACGATTCTTATCCAAACTACGCGAAACCTTCTCCCTGGAGGCAGCCAGTACATCAGAAACACAGCCTTCGATATTGCCACCTGTTCAAACACCAAGGCATTCGCCGGACTCTGCCCATAGAGTTTGTGAAGCAGCTCGAGCTTTTCCACCTCAAGCAGTTGCACGCTTTCTTCTCTCTGTTTGCAACGAACATGGCACGGACTCCTTCCACTACTTCCACACAGCCCAATTCTCCGCTGAACTAGACGAGTTCTATGCTAGTCCAAATTCCCCTTTAAGGCTCGATAGTGCCTTCGTATGCCTTGCGCATGCGACTTTCGCATTAGGGAGCCAATGGGCTACGTTGGTGCGACCTAAAGACACGAGAACGGCTCCTTCTCCACAAGATGGTGACCCTGGACGGCTTTTCTATCAACAGGCTCGTAGTCTCATTCCGGACATCATCGAGCTCAACTCAATCCGTACCGTCCAAGCAGCATTTGTCATCGGTGTATACCTCCTGCCCGCTAGTGCCATCAGTTCATCCTACGTCTACCTTGGTCTGGCTCTCAGAAAAGCTTTGGCACTCGACCTGCATCAAGAGACTGAGGAAATACACATCAGCGACACCGAAAGGGAACTCCGTCGGAGATTGTGGTGGGCTGTGTACTCCCTGGAAAGGTTCGCAACCAACTCAAAGTCCAGTTAATATCGTAGCTGACATCCGGCACAGATGCACAACCGTGAAGTTAAACAGACCGAGGTCCATCGACGCGGCCATTGTTACTGTGAACCTACCAACATTGCTCCCTGCACTCGATTCTCAGCAGGCTTTCGACAATGTCGACCATCAGGTAGCGAATGCACAACTCATGTTGATTTTGGATCGAGTTGATGAACCTATGTAAGTGCCTGTTCAGCATCTGCCGTTTAGACCCCTCGAGACCCTCCGGCGGCTACCCTAGCAAGCGTCGAACACAATCAGCCTTGGTCCGACAGCATCTTTGGGCCACCGCAACCTTTCACACAACAGCACGGCGAAATCATTTGAGTACCTCCACCGGCCAGGCAACAGCCTTGTCTGACTCTCCAAGAGGCGCGGAAGGCCTCCAAGAGCAATTTTCAATTAGCGAACGACTCAACGCACAATACTGACGAACGTTTAGTGCAAGACGAGAACCTTCAAATGACGTGGAGACCGCTCTGAAGCATTGGAAGCGCTCTCTACCACCCACGCTGAAGCTAGAGTCAATACATCCACGGTCGTCGAGTTACCGAGCCACCTTCCACCTATACCTCAATTACTACTTCGCAAGGATTGCGATGGGAAAAGTGAGCGTTGTGGCGCGGGTTCGATTGTATCTGAGGAACCGCCTTGGTCGAGATGCCCAGCCTACACCTGAAGACCATACCGATCATCTCTCACAATCCTGCATCAAAGCAGCGAAGAAGATACTGCGGCTGTACGAAGATGTCCGTCGAACAGGAAGCTTGACGCGCTTTTCCTTCACTGACTTTCAAGGTTGCAGTGTAGCAACATCGCTTGTGCTGTTAGCGGGCATATTAGAACGCGACTCGGACTACGATAGACATGTGAACTTCGGCCTGGATAGCCTTCGAAAGATGGCGGAAGGGAATGCCACTGCTACAGCTGGACTGAAGTTTGTGGAAGCTCTACGATCCATTGCTGAAGAAGCTGTGCAGAGGCTGCATCAGCACAGCGCAGTTGCATCGAGTGTAGCGCAAGACTTTTTGCAGACAGCAGACTACAGTACCTGGGCCGACTGGCTCGCTCGTCAACCAAGACAGTTGTGTGGCATTGAAGGGTCAGAGACTCGTACCCCCTTAGACACAGAGGGTCTATCCACGTCCACAGGCGGCGAATTTTCAGAATCTCAGCGTTCAATAGACTTCGCCACCTGGGACGGAGCTGCCGCGCTACAACGGCTCTCATTACCTTCTATGATCACACCGTCTGGAGGCTTTCAGTACGATGTCGCCACCACATCGGCGGACATGCTCGATCCTGCGATGTTCACGATAGACTATAACGAAGACACGATGTTCCTTATGGGTTTGACTGGATTTGATATGATGGGTTTCGGTTTTCAGGATTGACATGGTGGCTTTTGATACTGTCGAAATTACTTCTCACAATGCCCTCACAACGCGGGCCTCAGCCGGATTGCCATCGAGTCTTCTGCGATTTCGGCCCAACGACTTTTGTATACCCGACCTTCTTTCATCACTGCTTCTACATACGCTTCCGGTTTGTCTAAAATAGTGACATCATCCAGGGGATTTGCAGCGAGAATCAGCATGTCCGCTTCGAAGCCTTCCTTGATCTGACCCAGGCTACTCTCTCTTCCAAACATACGTGCTGGATTGAGCGTCGCGCTTCGTAGCACCTCGATCGGTGTGAGCACCTTCGAGCGGAGGTTGAACTCATGAGTCTGCGCAGCACCCAGTGGACCGAGCAGATCTGTTCCAAAGCATATGGTCACACCAGCATCTGAAGCGATCTTCAGCGCCTTCAATCCAGCATCAAGAACCTCGATGTTCTTCGATGACTCTGATGGTGGCAGGAACCCTTTCCACTTGGGTGATGCCATCTGGTCGTATGTGATCAAGGTTGGTGTGAGGTACACGCCTTTCTCCACCATAATGGCAGCCGTTTCAACATCAAGAAAGTTGCCGTGTTCAATTCCTTTGACGCCATTATCGATACAGTGTCGAATGGCTTGCGACGTATATGCATGCGCAGTCACGTAAGTACCGGCGTTGTTGGCGCACTCTACCATTGCTCGAATCTCTTCCGGTGTGAATTGGAGATGGGTGATTTTGTCGGTGGGACTGCTGACGCCACCGGATCCCATGATCTTGATGAAGTCGCTTCCTGTTCGAATCTCTTCCCGCACAGCTTGCATACACTGTGGCACTCCGTTGCACACCCGGCCTAATCCAGTCGCATAACCGCCACAGCACGCTGAATGGTCGTGTTTGCCGCGGAAATCAGCGTGGCCACCAGATTGACTCAAAGCATGGCCTGCAATGAACAAACGCGGGCCCGGAAAGATTCCTTCCTCAATGGCTTCTTTGATTGCGGTATGGGCGCCGCCACAGTCGCGGATGCTCGTGAAACCGCGATGCAGCATCTGGGCGCAAACGTACGGCTGCCGAAGTAAACTCACAGAGTCAGGATTCCCGAAAGCAGCCGCTAGGCTATCGAATCCAGGGACTGCAATTAGATGAACGTGGCTGTCAATCAGGCCTGGACAGATGAACTTCCCGGAACAGTTAACTGAAGTAAACCCGGGACGTTGGGTTGCTGCTGCTGTTGTCGGAGCGATGGAGGTGATTTTTCCGTTCTCGATGGAGACTGTAACGTTTGGTCGGACCTCACCTGCTTCTACATCGACCACTGAGGCGTTGTGAAGGAGGTATGAGGTTGCCGCTGGGCGAAGCCATGGCTTGATGTCGGCCTCGGTGACCATTGTGAATGAAGAACAATCGTTCGACAGAAGTTGAAGAAACAAGAATACAAGACAAGATGAGCACCAGATGAAAGATAAAGAATCTTGGCCTGTTGTTGTCGACGGCAAGTGATGGCAATGGTGGTGTTATCGATGCGAGGTTCCCGACTAGCGTACGGCTAAGTGTGTCATGGAGTGTACAGACTGCCGACGGGTATCTGGTCGTCGGAACCACTGCTATCTCGCGTCTGAAGCCGCATCTCTGCAACTGCTTCCTTGGAAGTCGGTAACGCGTACCAAGTGGGTGCGACTATCGGCAAACGCTCACCTTGCTTCCCCATTATCTCTTTCTCCGCACACTAAACATACCAGTATCCATGTAGCGACCCACAGGCTCCGCCATTGTACATATAGGGCTCTTGCTTGCGTCTTTGGTCCAGGTTCATCATCACATTCATCATGAGCCACCCGACTAGGAAGCACACGCACGATTCGAGTATGCAGCCGGCTGTCGAAGAGAAAGGCGACGTTCTCGAGGTTGCTGCAACCTACACTCCTGAGGAAGAAAGACAAGTACTTCGTAAGATAGATTGCGCTGTGCTCCCTTTGATGTGTCTTGTCTTCTTCATGCAGGTGAGCGGTAGAACGTTTGAAACGCAGTAAGATCACTAACAGTATATAGTACCTTGACAAGCAAAGTCTGAGCTATGCATCGGTAAGCCGTATGAAAGTGCAATGAATACTTTCAAGCTGACATATTCAGGTCTTCGGTCTGCTGACCGACCTCAACCTCACCAGCACACAATACTCATGGTGCTCTTCGATCTTCTACGTCGGACAGCTCGTCGCCGAGTATCCCTTCATTTACCTCATGTCCAAACTGCCTCTCACCAAGTTCGTCGGAGCCACAGTTATTCTTTGGGGCATAGTGTGCATGTGCTTGGCGGCTCCGAAGAACTTTGCCAGCTTTGCAGCTGTCAGGTTTCTCTTGGGATTCACTGAAGGCGCTGTGTCTCCGGCCTTCGTCACTATTACCTCTATCTGGTATCAGAAGAGCGAACATGCCACCAGGACTGGGTAAGTAATACAATCATCATGTTGGGATCCAGTTTAACGCCAGCCAGACTCTGGGTAACTATGAACGGCTTGGCACAAGTCATCGGCTGCTTCCTAATGTATGGCATCGGCAAGAACACTTCGCTATCCCTCGATCCCTGGCGCACTCTGTTTATCGTATGTGGTGCGTTGACAGGAGCCTCTGGTGTCGCCTTCTTTGTTCTCATGCCAAACGGGCCGAACGACGCTTGGTTTCTCAACGCTCGCGAGAAGGAAGTTTTGTCGATGCGCATGGCAAGGGATCGCGAGGGCGGTGATAAGACATCGTTCTCAGTGCGACAGTTGCGCGAGGCGCTGTTAGATGTGAAGACATGGTTTGTCTTCGCCTTTGGTGTGCTGGTTACGATGCAGAGTCCGGTTCTGACAGTAGGTTGCCATGACTTCCCACACCTGTCATACTTTAGCTGATCAGAAATCATAGTTTGCCTCGCTAGTCATCAACACCATCGGCTACGACAGATACCAAACTATGCTATACACCGCCCCATCCGGAGCCGTCCAAGTCCTCCTTCTCTGGATCGGCATAATCGGCTGCTGGTTCTTCCCACGAAACCGTACCCACGTCGTACTCGCGCTCATCATTCCACCATTGGTCGGGAACGTTCTTCTGCTGAAGATTTCTCTCGACGCAGGCTGGGGTATGATCGCCGCTTCATGGCTAGCATCATGCATCACAGCCGTCATGTCACCGCTCCTCTCGCTTACAGCTTCGAACGTGAAAGGCAACACAAAGCGCTCGGTCGTCAGTGCAGTCTTCTTTATCGGGTACTGCGCAGGTTGCATCGCATCGCCACAGCTGTGGACTGAGAAGCCGCGGTACTTTAAGGGCGTTGTGACTGCTCTAGTTACTTGGTGCACGTTGTTTATCGTGGTCATCGCGTACTGGCTGATATGTAAGCGCGACAATGCGAAGAGAGATGCTGTAAGGATGGAGACTGGGGTTGATGAGATGGTGCACGATGTTGTGCTGGATAAGAATGGTGCGCCGATTACGGATCTGACGGACAAGGAGGACCCTAGATTTAGATATAGCTGGTAGACAGGGTCGCAAACGTACTTGTAGTCAACGTGGGAATGTACGTTCTACTTCATAGACAAGTCTACGCATACAGCTGTCCTTCCACCAATTCTTCGACAGCAGAGCTAGACAAGCTGCAGTGCCCAACAACAACCTCGGCGCTAACATCTTGCGGGTCTACACCCACACAACCCCACATCAACGGCTGCCGCACATCATCCCTTTCTTTCGGCGGATACATGCAGCAGCAATGACAACGCTGTTACTCTCTACTAGTGGCATACCGTCCGAGGAGAGAACTTTGGCGCCCCCAATCAATGCGAACAACACCACCAACCCACTGACCACGAGCAGACAGATCATGGCAAGTAGCGAGTAACCACAAGTCGCTATGTGCTCTTCATTAAACCCATCCTCGCCTCCACCTCCTTTCGGACGCTCGTCCTTGGACAAACCGTTGACGTCGTAGGTCTCGATGCTGACCAAAAAGATGCTTTGCGAAAGCAGCCAATGCAGTGTCGCCAAGATCGCCATGAGCGGTACGCCGAGTCAGTAAGGCAGCTAGAGGAAGTAAGTCGCCCTTCAGGCCTTTCCTACTGAATAGCTTGCCCACTCGACCGCGAATTGCAGGCGACTTAGGACGTTGTTCAGTGGCAGGTACACGCCTGGGAGGAGTAGCTGAGGTGTGTTGGCAACGAGCACGTTCTGAATAAGGCCACCGCTGCCGAATACTGGGACGCCTCAGTCGTTGATGATCATCTCAGCGGTTGCGGTACCGAAGTCGAATGTTCGTATGGCGGAGAAAGAAGGGTCGTCCATTGCGCTGATGCCGATGCGCAAGAGTGCCCCAACGATGACCAGACAAGTGAAGAAGCTGAACGGGTCAGTAGGGTTTTACAGAGCAAGTGCGGTGATACTTACAAGAGCAGAAAGCTAGCCCAGCTTTTTCAACCCGGTGCGCTTCAGCGACGTTGTCTCCACGGTAGGTAAGCTTTTGGTGGGAACTGTTTCTGGGCGCGTACTGACTTGATCTATCGAGCCCGAATACCCTTGCGATTCAGTAATCAGCACCCTACTGTACTTCGATCCGGAGTACCCAAAAATGGCACTACCGCATCGCTGGTAGCCAACAGAGGCTGTTCAGTACGGAAGAAGCAAGCGGCCGCGATACAGACAGTCTTTCCGAAGTTGGCGAGTATGACAGCGACGGCGATCCCTATGTGGAAGTTCACGCTGCAATTATCCAGCAGCTTCTCACTGGTACATCCTGAGACAGACCAGCCAAATATTGTCCAGTTGTGCTGGGTGGCGTATGGCTTGGCTTCGGCGTTTGTACATGCGGGCGTACCTCGAGCCCAGTGGTCGCACATCCAGCCATACCGATCCAATTTGTTGTACAATTCTTGCTGGTCGCTGCTGAACGTGACCCAATGAAGCGAGGAGTTCTTCTGCACACGTTCTATCTCCTCGTCACACGCAGAGGGAAGCCCGTAGTTTGGTGGTATTCAAGGGGACATCAAGACAACGTGCCCACGATCTGACAAACACGTGGTTGCGTACGCATTGATGCAGGCCTGCGGATTGAGTTTTTCGAACTGCGAAATATCGCGCTGGTAAAGGATCCAGGAGCGCTGCAGGGTCTGATTCATAAGCTTGAGTCCAGTTGAACCTGTCATCGAGCTCTGGAGAGTATATCTCCCTGACTGTGCCAGGTGCGGGAAGATTCCAGGAGTCATACCAGGCGCCATGGAGCCAGTCTTCTGTGGCGAAGTAAAATTCGTAGTCGTGGTTGGTGATATTTAAGTAAAACTTCGAGTTGTACCTTCACACCATCAATGCCTGCAAATCATACTAAATGCCTCTTAGGGAAGACTCACAGTAGGTGCAATGGTAGGTCACTCAGCGCCAGCAGTACCCACACAGCTTTGTTCCAGTTCAATGTCCATCTCAGATTCTTGAAGCTCTGCACTCCGATATCGAGCCACGTCCCTTCTTGATGTGCTCGGTCGATCAAGGGTCGTGTTGGTGCGCCAAGGCACTGCATGGAGTAGTTGCTCTCTCCAAGCAGTAGCGTGCTAAGTACGTTGATCACGATGTGAAGACCCGTATTGTATCGTTTAGCGGTGGCACAGCTTCCCTGATAGATGTTACCATTGTTGCTTTTGCTGCGTGTCGAAGCCTAGATGATCAAGGCGAGGGTTAGAATCAGGACACAGAGGCATGTTAAGCGGTCTAACGAGGCACCAAAACGCCATCCTTGACGAAGGTCGCGCATCTATACTTCGCCCTCGCGTACACGCATGTTGCCAACTTGTTCGAATGCTCTTGCGGGTTGTTCTCACTCATCTTTTCTGTATTGCGAGCTCGGTCTGCCAATGCTTTGACGCGTGTCAGGTTGAGAGTGGGCCTCCGTCAGCTTACCACCGCCTCGAAACATCGCTCTTCACAAGTATTCGCCTGCTTGCTCACGAGTTGCCAATGGGGACTTTTGTACCTTCCGATAAGTTCATACAGGCATGGATAAAGATGATGCGACTTCAGCGTTGCCCAGATCAAAAAAAAAAAAGGACGGTAATCTGATAGCTGCGACGCGGGCCGGATCCAATGAGCTCCTTTGAGCCCTTCCACACACTCGGCCGGCTGCGATGAGCTCGATGCCAGGCTGCACAGCTGCAACCGTACCTCGGGCGTTGAGCAGCCATCGTGAGAATGCGTGGAAAGCAACGGGGTGAAGGAACATCCTGGATGCGTCGAACCTGGGCCTGAAGTGTGCCCGAGGCCCTCTTTGGAACCTCGAGCTGGTGCCCACCTAGAGCCTCATTGCACTGACTTGTGGCCCACGATGTGTTCAACCGCTATCCTTGCATATGCACACTGCTTCACTTGGCTTTTGCTAATAGCAATACAGACCAAGCACGCCCAGCACCGCAAATGCACATCTCTAAACAGCTTACGAAAGAGGCCCGGATCGGGTAAACGATTGGTAAGAAGCCCCGCATGGCGAGGCACGTGTGTGTAAGCAGCATGCGACTCGAATAATTACAAAAACACATCAACCCTTCATCGTCCTCAGATTTGTGTCTTGCACTCAACATCTCCCCTCATTGACTCAGGCCTTACCCCACCATGGAGGCTCTTAAAGCGGCAGACTTGACTCACAAGAACGGCGAAACAACCCACTACTACGAAGGAGGCACCAGCAATGGAATCCCTCTAATTTTCATACACGGCTGGCCTGACCTAGCAGAAATCTGGAAACACCAACTCAAGCACTTTGCTTCTGGATCAGCTGGTTCCGAATACCGTGTGATTGCCCCAGACATGCGCGGCTATGCAGGCTCTTCAAGTCCCAAAGACAAGCGTGCTTACTCCCTCGAGGCCCTGGTTGGCGAGCTTGTGGATTTTGCTAAACAGCTTGGGATCACAAAGGCAGTATGGGTAGGCCACGACTGGGGCTGTTGTGTCGTAAGTGCGCTTGCCGCACACCACCCAGAACTGTTTCTTGGTCTCGTCGTCATTGCAGTACCTTACCGGACTATCGAGCTTGGGCTGGACTACACCGTCTCCCTGGTGAATCGCGACATCTACCCAAAGGACGAGTATGAATACGGCCAGTTCGAGTACATGAAGTACTACGAATTGCACCCAGACGAAAGCGTGAAAACATACGAAAGCATCGTCGACAAGATCACCAAGTTGTTCTACACGCCTCACGATCCTAGTAACCACGGTAAACCAAGTGCTCGGACCTCTAGGTTGCTGAGAGAAGGAGGTTGGTTCGGCGGCCATCCTGAGGCTATTCCGGATGTTCCTCTGGAATACACCTTCATCGATCAATCCCTGTACTCCAATCTCCTTGCCAGCCATAAAAAGCATGGCTTCTTCCCACCAACAGCGTACTATTTGAACCACGATGTCAACGCGGAGTATGCAAAGAGCGAGAAAAATGGTGGCGTGTTGGAGTTCCCAGTATTGTATATCGATGCGAAACATGATGCCATCTGCTCACCGAGCACGACGCCGAATATGGGCAAGAGTCAAAGGGATGCCGTGAAGGATTTGACGTATGAAACGATCGAGGCGGGGCATTGGGTGCAGCTGGAGAAGCCAGGAGAGGTGAACAAGGTTCTGGAGACCTGGTTGGACGACTCGGTGCAGTTCAGATGCTGAGTGGGACCATAGTAGCAAATGACTCATGTTGCTCCTTGTCCTTCCTTATTATCACAGGTAGCAAAGAATAGCACATACAATCTAGCCTATGGTGTTGCAGTAAGAGACGAGGGAGTCCAGTTCTGTGCCTATCTAGCTATCTAGACGCTACTGTGTCCGTGCACACAATGCACGCGTTCAGTCAATGCGCGCTGAACTTAGCACAACTGTCAGATGGAAGGCTTCCCGAGGATTAACCAATTAGGACTTACCTTTCCCCAAATCCTCCTTAGAGGATTACATTAGTTCTACCCTGAGATTGCTATCCTATTTTTACAACTAAGCTAGAGAGTAGGAAATAGGAGGCATGTCTCTGATCTTTTGTAGACTGGCTGTGATGAGCTAGGCCCTGGAGAGCTTGGTAGAGTCTTGACATGGATGAGATCCATATTCCTTTCTTGTTTAGCATATAAACAAGCAAGACATACTGGAAACTTTTCAGTGTTTCTCCATAGCTCCTCATCAATTCAAGCATTGTTCTCAGGTACCAGCATACTTTGTGCAAACCCTTACATTTTGAGTTGATCACCTACAGCAACACGTAAGGCCTTGTAGTTGATTGTAGGCACAACTTCCGCACCTGTAAGGTTGAAATAGAGGACGCAGATGATAGCAATGCTCCTGAATAAGTATACTTTAATCTGCAGACTACTACAACCTATTGTGGTATTGCGCAAAGTTGTCACGCAGGGTGTGTTGCTGGTGTTGAATAAGCAACTCGCTGTTGAAGTTGTGTCTTAAGCAAAGCTCGTAGGCACTATTCGATTGGTTCTCGGGGACGAGCAGAGATACAGAAAGCCGTCAGGGGTAGGTGACTATCGGTCGGGCTTGTAATAGCCTTTTTAATAGTCAGGGGGTAGTCGTCTAGTCAAAGACCGTGGCGACTGGTAGCAACAAGTAGTACAGAGTATACTGTCTGGCTCAGAAGCTGGGGGTTGAGATCCCAATAACAAAGTTGATCGACAAGGTTGAACACGATGCTATAAGGGCAGCGTGTCTACTTACTATATACTTGAGCAGGAGAACGATTGCTCAGGTTGCTCGGGTTGCTTGGTGCTGAGCGTACTGATCATACTGAGCATCGTCGACACGTGACTGCCCCGCGCCATGTCTGCAGTCTCTCAATTCCTCTTGTATCGTCGCGTAGTCCTGTTCGTTCAGTGTTGTCGCGAGTCGCTCTCGGATCGTAACACTCGCTTGTGAAACACGTTAGTACAGAAAATTATCATTGAACTTTAGAGCTTTACGCTCTTTAGTACTAACTTGATAGAACAGTATTTTATAGAGCTATAGTATCAAGAACTCTAGTGAGTTATAGTAATTGTGTGTATCAAATAAATGCGTGCATTGTGAGCACAGACACAGTAAGGGTCTAAGATGTGGGGCCAACAGGAAGTCCAACCAAAGAAAGACGTCACTATATTTCTCCGGTTGAACCATGGTTTTCCAACGTCAACCCAAACGGATATCTACACAATCGCTACGAGTTTCCAACCACCAAGTGAATCGCAAAACAATCGCATACCCAGTCAAGTGAAGACGATGCTACGCGAAGCGATGCAAGAGGCGGACATTTTGATCTTAGGCGCGGGGTGGACAAGCACTTTCTTGATCCCTCAGCTGAAGAAAGAAGGCCTTACATACGCCGCAACAACGACCAGCGGCAGAGACAACACCATTCCCTTCAAATTTGACCCCAACTCCGGTTCGATTGAGCCATACAAGCGCCTTCCATCCGCACGTACCGTTCTGATCACATTCCCACTGAAGGGCCACGGGCAGTCAAAAACCATCATTGGCTTGTACCGTGCCGTCCATGGTCCGAAAAACAACTGGATCCAACTCGGTGCAACAAGCATTTTCAACCAACTCCCTAACGATTGGAATGACGATGATGCGCCGTACGACAAAGAAGACGCGCGTGCTATTGCCGAAGACGAGCTACTTGGCGAGCATGGTTGTGTGTTGGATCTGTCTGGTCTGTATGGCGGCGAGCGCGTCCCGTCGAAGTGGCTGCCGCGTTTGGTGAAGAGCAAGGACGATGTGAGGAAGCGCGGTGCTGTGCACTTTGTGCATGGTGAAGATGTAGCACGTGCGATCCTCGCGACGCATCGCAAGTTCACACCAGGGAAGAGGTGGATCGTTTCAGATTTGAGGGTGTACGATTGGTACGATCTGATCATGAGTTTTAGCGCGCCAGCTGCGGGTACCGAGGAAAGCGCACAAGAGCAAGAGGAGAAGCTGCAATTTGCAAAGTGGGTTGGTGAGCTAATGATCGAAGAGGGAATAAGGGCTCTTCCGCGGGGGATGAGTGTGCTGGGTCGAAAGCTAGACTCTAGGGGGTTCTGGCAGTATCACGGGGTCTGGCCGAGGCATCAGAGGCTGTACTAGATAGGAACTATAGAAAGAACATCGTGGACCAGACTGATTGATGTTGAGTGTAGTTCTTTACGCGCCCATGCGTAGTAAGCAGTCGTTGTTATTGGACCGTTTGCATAAAACTCAGTGCATGTTGTAAAGAACCAACAAAAGGCAGTCACGAGTGCTGCGGCTTGGGACAGTACATCGCAGTAGTACTCAAGACCATGGGTCATACCACAGAGATTTTTTGGTTCATCAATATCGCTTTCGAGATGTGAGCACATGTGAATTATAGCAGAGCTACAGAGTACATAGCCCCTTCTCTCCAAGCCACTTTTCCTTCCATCTCTCAGACAGTCTTCACATACTCTACTACCCGTCAGCTTCTAAGCCAATCTCCCCATACACACAGATACTCACTACCTCTTTCCAACACACACTTCACCACATACCTTAGACACTTCAGAAAATGGCCTCCTTTACCCTTCCCTCTTACTTTATGCCTATCTACCCCAACTACTACTTTGGCCACCGCACAGAACACCACGTCCAGCTTGCGCCTGAACATTTACAACAGATGTACTTGCAAGCGCGATTCGAAATCGAGCAGAGTAAATTTTCATTGATGATTGACAGTATATTTGAAGAATATTACGGTATGTTAATCAATATGCTTTCAGAAAACCCAAAGCTATTTGCGTTCGGTGCCGAGCATTTTGCTGGCCCGATGCGGGCTCAAGCATAGCCTGTTTTTAGTAAATATCTTCTGACCATGGTTCACGTCGAAGTGATATGTTAACAATAACCGCAGAAAACTATGACAATATCGGCAACATCAACCTTGGTTATGGAATAATGGTAGCCACCAAACAGGGCACGGCAACTACAACATTGACAACTACTACATCGTTAGCCAACAGCAGGCACCATGGGCGCCTCAACCAAGCAAGATAACAACACTGTATTCGCCAATAACAATCGCTGACACCTCATATGCAGATGCTCCACTCCACTTTGGTGGTTACAATGCTCCGTTCACACCGATGCACCTGATGCATCAGGTTCAACTACAGGTCCCACAAAATGGACCTGTCCCTACCCCTGACCCCTTCCCTTCTCGAGCAAACGCGAACCAGAGTTCTTCGTGTAATAGTCCGGCAGAGATAATTGACCTTACCGAAGATAATTTGATTGAGGCATCCAGTTCGGCTTCTGCTTTGGCCAATGAGGTTATTGCTGTCCAGTCTGCTGCATCTGAAGATCCTCGGCTCTTGTTTCCGAGGTCGCTGCCGAAATAGTGGCTATTGACCCTCCTCAAGGAAACAGTTTTGAAGAATGGATTAAGGTGCGTTATGGCATCAGCGGCCTTTCGCTCTATAGCGACGAGCTCTGCTTGCACCTTCGCTAGACGCTTAGTGTAGTGGAAATCTGCCTTGATTAGCTCATCCTTCTTGGTCAAGAGGGTAGCAGCTTCCGTCAAAAGAAGATGCGTGAAAGGCACCCAGATAACGAGGCGAAGTTGCAAGGCTTGAAAGTGAGTTTGAAGGATTGACGAGGGTATCGAGGAGCAGGGGCGGGATTTGCGGGTGCTGGCGCAGGACTTGGGTGAAGACTGTGGGTGAAGACTGTGGGTGTGAGTGTCGGGGTGAAGCGGGTGCGGAAGGAGGCTGGATCTTGTGGCGGATCGAAGATGGAATGGCGAGTGCCTCCGGGCTGCTTTGTGGATAGGCGTTCGGTGCTGAAGTTGGCTGTGATGGTATCCCGGCTCGTACTCTGTCTCTTGTTTGGTGTGGCTCAAAGCGTTGAAGACCTCCGACATTCTTTGTCGTTCGATTTCCCATATCGTGTTACCTGGTCGTCGAGCCTCACGGTAGCTTGTTGAAATTGCTCTGATCACAAATGAATGATCGTTATGGAAACCACCTGTCTACTTTGACTATGTTTGAAATTCTCAATCTCTACGACACGCCTACTTCTTCCGTGTCTGAAGTGCTCCAGCCACACCCGCTTCCTATCATCCAATTGAATCTTGTTCGCTAGTACGCACCATTCCCGTACCTCTCAGCAGTCCTCTGCCTCTTCTTCTTCAGCACGATAACAAGTGTCAGACACGCCACCACGCCATCTATCTCCCTTCCATCAAGAACAAACGCCCCACCGGTGGCGCAGCTCCCCCACCACTTCTGACTGTACTTGCCGACTTCGACTTTTTTTTCATGCTCGCCTGAACCTAGAACTTTGTAGAGTGTCATGTTGTAAGAGTGCCACACACTGTCCATCTTCCAGATGAAGAGTTGGGAATTGAAAGTGAATGACTCGGTGCGCAGACCCCACGTCTTATTCACCAGACTGATAGGGTGCGAGGAGTGTGTAGACTCATCGGGGAAAGTGAGGATTGCCTCGCCTGCTGATAGCCAGGGGTGCGACCAGTGCGCAATAATTTTGTTCTGGTCATCTCGGATATCGTACTTCAAGCCAATCCAATTCTGTCGGTGACAGGTTATGACTGGTGTGAAAGAGTGGTCTTTTAGCGTTGTCTTGATGGCAGCTTTGTATGTATCGGTTAAGCCGGTGTAGGGGACGTGCATGTCGGCGGTAAGGTCGAGGATGGTGATGGACTTGGTGAGCATGCCGTGTGGGGTGATCCAGTATACTGATGTTGGTGCGAAGGAAGTCGAATCGAGGGGTATGTTGGAGGTATCGTTGTCATGGGGTTCGTTGAGCCAAGGGTCGTCTTCCTGTGATGAGTCGATTTTGCAGATGTTGCGCTGGCGGACTGTTGAAGTTTCCTTGTTCAAGGATGTGTCCACGTCTTGCAAGGCGATTGTAGCCGACATGATGATAGTGTTATTCTTAGGAAGTAATGTTGGGTGGGAAATAGTATAGGGGATGAACTCTAAGTTATCAGAAGTTGTCTTGGTTGTCTGCAAGAGATTGAGGACGTTCAAGGGCGATTCTAGGCAGCTTATATATCCTCTTCACATCATCTACCGATCTGAAGACCATCTTGGCCCTCCTACATTGAGTTGTCGGTCTGTCTCGAGAAGGCAGGCTTTGAGAAGCTGAAGTCTGTTACTCGCGACCAACACTGCTTCTGATTGGTCGATAGATGCATGAAGTGAACCTCGGGTGGGGCAATGCTCGCTTTCTTCGCTTTGGCGATTCCATGCACCGCTACAGCCTCACCACAAGTTGAGGTTCGGGTCCTGTGCCGCAGCCTGATTTCATGTCCACTGTGGTTCGGGGTCATATAGAGAGCACGGGTGGATATCGCAGCACATAGGCAAATGCTTGTCTCGACGACCCAGTATAGTGAATCTTCAATGCTCTTGTCAAAATGCTCAAGTGTATGACAGGCGGCTGCAATTACCCGTAGAAGCAGCCAGCTGCGAAGTGGGTGCGATGTTGTGATGCAGAATTGCGCAACATGTTGCTCTCCTGCCAGAGAAGTATTGGCCGTGGACACGGAAATGCCGACCTTTTCGTACATTTGTGCCTGTGCGTGCCTTGATGCCTGAGCACAGAACCTTGGAATAGCGAACGGTGAAGCGGGAGGTGGCATGCGAGCCGAGTGAAAACGGAAGTACGGTCCAGGATGTGGCGCACAGACTTGGCGCCGTCATTGACCGGGGTTTGGGTTCTGACCGTCAATGGATTGTGCCCCACAAACGTGGATATCCTAATGCTCTTACCAATGAAGATCTGAAGATTCAGGGTGTTCAGACAATGTAGGGAGACCTACTGATTGTCAACACGCTGAACAGCGCACGACAATGGCAAACGCCTGCTAACATCGGCGGGATGCCGGGCGCTAGAATCCCAGGCCGCTGTCGCCCAATTGTTGGACTGAGCGGTGACGAGGAGGCGCCAGCACCCTGCTGCCAAGTGGGCTCGCGTGAATCGCCAATCTAGGGTACATCTAAAACACGTTGACCTTGTTATCAACAATGGACTTGCTGTTACCTGTTTGCTTTGTGCATTCCTTCCACGAAGACTGACTGCCCTCTCGTTCACCTACGGACCCTTACTTCGAACGCCGAGCCTGTCACTTCCACTTTGACAATACATCCCATGGCCTCACACTACTAGCTGCAGGGGGGCTGACACACTACACCTATACACTGCGCACAACCTACAACACGAATAGCGCTTGTATAGCGCTCGAGCAAATACAAAATGTCGGACACTCAGTCGTCGGCTTCGGCGACAGCCACAACGGGCACAGGTGCCGCCCTAAATAGGGAGAATCAGAGCATCGAGAACTTCGCCGCTTCTCTGTCCACTGCTGCTGTCGTTTTCGGTGTGCAGATGGGCGTTTTCCTGATCTTAAGTGGCAACTGGAAGATCACACGGTCAAAGAAGAGCGCGACTGAACAGCCCACACAACGCCAGAGCCTGTTCCAGAGGATATAGTATGTACTGCGCTCTCCTCATGTGACTCAGCTCACAATCCACAGCTATTACAAGACAGCCTTCGTACCGAAAGCCAAGCGCATCGCAGCCCCCGTTACCGCTATCGAATCCATTAAGACCGTATTCAAAATCAGCGACCGGGAGCTCATCCGTATTGCAGGCGTTGATGGCTTCCTATTCCTCCAATACCTGCAACTTTTACTTCGCATATTCATACCAATGGCCTGTGTCATCCTCCCAATCCTGCTGCCAATCAACCGCGTTGGAGATGTGGATGGGGTATCAGGACTTGATTCGTTCGCATGGCCGAACGTGGGCGTACCAAAGAAACAGCATCGACTGTGGGCACATCTGGTCTTGGCAGTATTTGTTGTATGCTGGGTCTGCTTCAACTTCTTTCTGGCGTTGCGGAAGTTTGTCCGCCTAAGGCAGACGATTCTCACTATGCCAGAGCACCGTATACGCGCTTCTGCAACTACCATTCTGGTGCAGAGTATTCCGCGCAAGTGGCTCACGATGGCCGCGCTTGATGCGCTCTACGATGTCTTTCCTGGTGGCATAAAGGAGATCTGGATCAATCGCAACTACGATGAGCTGCAGGACAAAGTCAACAAGCGGAGCAAAATCGCAAGGGCACTCGAGTCAGCCGAAACAAATTTGATCATCAAGTGTACCAAGAAGCACAAGGAAATGCTGGAGGCCAAGGCTAAAGAAGAGGGTAAAAAGAAGAAGACCAAGAAGGAGAGAAAGCAGGAAGAGGCGCATAAGGATCAAGAGATTGCCAACGAGACCATCGACCACGGCACAGATGCTGGTAACCCTCACCAGATTGAACGCCAGCTGCAGTCTGTTTTGGAAGAGAGTGCATCTTCTTCGTCCTCCGACTCGTCCCGCTCCTCATCGCCTTCCCGCAAGAAGGGCGTGTTCCCGATACCTTTTGTAGGACAGGGCTTGCATGCTGTTGGAGACGGATTCCGTGATGTGGGGCAAGGCGTAGGCAATTTCAACAAGAAGATATACGGTGGTTTCAAGGGCGCTTTCACCAAAGACAGGAACGGACACGATCAGCCTCCCCTCGACGGCACCGGTGATCGACCAATCTCTTCGCCAACTTCTGCAGACTTTGCGCAAAGAGCCACGAGTAGTGACACATACTCTCCATTGGCAGCTCCAGACCAAGATCAGCCGGAATTTGAGCGGACAGTCACAGAGACAAGCGCACCTTACGAGAAGCACAAACACAAGCACCAGCACGAAGAGAAGAAAGAGAAGAAAGAGAAGGACGGCGTGCTTCAGAAATTCAATGACTCGCGTTTAAACCCGCTTCGGTCCCTGCGACGTATGAGCGACGATTTCGCGAGCCCTCAGCCTTTCCGTAAACCTGACGAGGCATTGCCAGAAGACTTGAAAGACCCTGTACAAGTTAAGTACGACTATACAGGTGTTTACAATCAAGCTCTCTTAGAGGACGATGACACCGCACTTTGGAGAACGTATATCACGCCGAAGGATCGTGAATCTATGCGCCTCCCCTTGTTTAAGTGGGATTGGTGGCCGTCTATCCCATTGGTTGGCAAGAAAGTCGACACGATTTACCATTGCCGGAAAGAGTTGGCACGCCTCAATGCAGAGATCGAAGAGGACCAGGCTCACCCTGAGCGATACCCCCTGATGAACTCTGCCTTCATCCAATTCAATCACCAAGTCGCTGCACACATGGCTTGTCAGTCATTGAGCCACCACGTTCCTAGGCAGATGGATCCTCGAACTGTCGAGGTCAACCCCAATCACGTGCTTTGGGACAATCTCACCATGAAGTGGTGGGAAAGATACCTTCGACTTTTTGGTGTTATCGTGCTCATCATTGGGCTTATCATCTTCTGGGGTATTCCAGTCTCATTCACTGGAGCATTGTCCCAGATCTCCACCTTGACCGACCAGTTGCCTTGGCTGGGCTTTCTCGAACATCTCCCAGGTTGGGCAATCAGTTTTGTCCAGGGTGTCTTGCCTCCTCTGTTTCTGGCCATCCTCTTTGCTGTTCTGCCGATCATTTTACGGTTCCTCGCCGGAGCCACAGGTACTACAACATCTGGAGAGCGTGAGCTTTTGGTGCAAAACTTCTACTTCGCTTTCGTTTTTGTTCAGTTGTTCCTGGTTGTGTCCCTCTCTACGGGCATCACAGCCACGATCGAGAAGATCACCAACGATCCTATCAGCATTCCTCAGACTCTGGCCCAGAACTTGCCGAAGGCTGCAAACTACTTCTTTTCATACATGATTCTGCAGGCTCTCAGTATCAGTTCCGGTACACTGTTACAAATTGGCGCAGTTGTCATCATCCTTCTCTTTGGCTTCTTCGATACGACGCCTCGCGAAAAGGTTTCCAGGGTCCTTAACAGATCGGGCATCAACTGGGGCACCATGATTCCAGTATACACCAACTTTGGCGCCATCGGTATCATTTACTCGGTCATCTCGCCCTTGATCATCATCATGATGTTGATCACTTTCTGCCTGTTCTGGTTCACCTACCGATACCAAATGATCTACGTCTCGTACGCTAAGGCCGAAACGAACGGTTTGATCTTCCCGAAGGCCGTCAACCAACTCTTTACTGGTCTGTACTTCCTAGAGCTCTGTCTCATTGGTCTGTTCTTTTTACAGGACGACAAAGCTTGTGTACCACATGCCATCATCATGATCGTGGTTCTGATCTTTACTGTACTCTTCCAATTTGTGCTCAACCGAGCCTTTGGCCCGCTATTTACCTATCTTCCAATCACCTTCGAGGACGAGGCCGTTGAGCGTGACGAGGAGTTCCAGCGTGCCCAAGCCGCACGATGGACCGAGGCAGACAATGCAGAGCATCAATCGCTTGTTGGAGAGCACGCTGCCCAAACTGCAGAAGAGCGCGAACGCGCGCACATGGAAGCGATGGACCGTCTGGACGCACAGCGAACGCCGTCAGGCTACGGTAATGAAGCTCTCGAACTTAAGAACCTCCACAACCCCGAGCGGTCTCGCAAAACTAGCTGGGCCAACAAGTCGCGCACCTCAGTCAATGGCAGCCGCTCGCGCTCTCGCTCGCACACAACGCCGAAGAAGCAGAAGCGCAAAGATCCTCTCGATGCCTTCGCCGACACCCTCAAGCGCGGCTTGCACGATGTCACAGACGGTGTTTCCCGTCCCGTGCGCGACATTGAATCACAGGTTCTGCCCACAGCCAACCTGTTCGATAACATCGATGACGAGTTGCAAGACATCGAGCCCGAGGCCCGCCAGAAGCTCGTCAAACGTAGCTTCCAGCACCCTGCGACTCGCACCATCCAGCCTGCTGTGTGGATTCCACACGACGAGCTAGGTATTTCTAAGGACGAGATCCAGCGCACAAGCACGTTCAGTTCAAGGATCTGGATCACGAGTGTCAACGCACGCCTGGATGGACGTGGAAAGGTCATGTATAGGGGGCTGCCGCCCGATCGCGATCCATTCGAGAACATGGAGGTCTAGAGAAGGAAGGTGGAGGGACGAAAGGTTTTGTTTTGATTGTTAGCGAGCATTCTTATCTTCATTTACATCTTCTGCATAGCGTGCGCGGCTTGCATGGTACACATAGCGCTTGTCGCTCTTCTACATGGAGACCGGAATTATACCCTTTACTGCATGACCTGTAACGACGATTGAACAACACAATTACATTAAATACATTCCGTTCTAACTTCACAAGATCCATGACAGAGACCCATGAATCGACCCGGAATCCAGGTGCTATCGCAGTTTGAGAAACCAAGTGAGATGTATGCAGCGAGTGTTGGGTCACCGTGCATCAACATGAGTAGGATAGTAAACAGCTGATCACATGCTGGACGCGTCACGCTAAATTCCCCACAGCGCGTCTAGCGCATCAATCAAGCAACTCCACCCGAACTCTCCAACCTTATATCAACAAAGTCCTCGAGTCTCGTTCGAGCGCGTGATCATAACGATGTCGAAACAGAGCACCGTGGTAGAGCAAAAGCAATTCTTCTTGCAAGCAAAGAAACATCATCTCTCGCGCGCGATCATACCTTCACAGCGACTCAAGACGATTGCAGAAGATGGGGGCATTGAACTCAGTGTGGTCAAGAGCGCGCTAGACAAAGTTAATCGCGACCTCAAACAGCACTCGCGCAAAGTGTACAGCCGACAGATGATAGACCATATCGTTCAACAAATCGACGAACTGTACTGGGAGTCTGGCGCGCGAGACATCGACGACGAGGGGGCAGAAGAAGCCCCAGAGGAAGACGGCAACACATTGTACCAGAACGACAACCTCACCCTCGACGACAACATCGCCAAGCTGCCCACACTCTGGGACACATCCGCCGACCCCACATCCTCCCGTGACATCGACCCAGATGACTACACCACCGCCCTCGCACGCCTGCAAGACCTCTCAGCGCAGCGTCTCTCCCTGCAAACCAAGCTCACCACGTACCGCACACTCCTCACGCTCCTCGAACCATATCGCAAGCCGATGGAAAATATACAGCCGAACCTGGTGTGGAGGGATGCGCCCCTTGCGCCAGAGCTCGCGAAGACGAGGACGTTGGCCATACGTGTCGCGGGCAGAGTGGGCGAGAGGTTTGGGGATGTGCAGGTTCCGGCTACGGCGGATGAGGAGGGGGTTGTTGATATGCTGGCTTTGCAAGGGCAAAGTAAGAGGAAGCTTGATGCGATTCTGACGGGTTGGTAAGATTGGCATTCGTGGGCAGGTACGACTCATGGCGGCACCTGCTATGTAGCCGTTCTCTGCTTCTTGAATCTCTACACGACGACACAGCAGGGGCAGCCGCGCAACGGCCGAGTGTACTTCCAGGCTTGTTCTGCTTTGACTTCACCACTATCACCACGACCATCGCTACCGTTAGGATTACCATCACTACTATCGCTACGCGCACTCATTTACATTCACCATGAGTTGTATGTACTCACCATACACTGCTGATGGCTATTGCTGACTCTGAAGTAGCCCACGGACAATCTCCCGCTTCTCGTGGACCAACGGTACCGAACGCCACGGCCTCATTCCGCCTGCCTTCAGGATCGACAACTATGCAAAGACGGAGGGAACGCTCACGATCAAAGGATGTCTCGACTTACTGGCTCGGACTATCGCCAGCGTTACGTTCTCCCAATGCAGGCCGTACGACACCCAATGCCGCAACGCAGATGATGCGGCGCCATATTGCTGCGAGGAGAGGACGGCAACATGCGAGGGCTCTTGCACTATATGCTGAAGGCAGTCGCACCCCCAGCCTACTCTGCAGACCCATCGACCACGCCAATGGCTCTAATGCCCTCAAGTCTAGTGCTATCGAATCCATCGGTAATGCTCTCAGAATGACGAAGATTCGCAATACATTCGGTTCATCTTCGAATACCTCCAGCCACTCCAACTCCAAGGCCACTTCTCGAACAAGTTCTCAAACACGACAGCGCGCAAACTCCGAGCCTGGCCCTCACGGAACCATGGAGGCTGTCGCAGTTACCAAGTCCCAAGTGCCCTAGGAGACACGCTATGAACCGCGGACCGAATGCCTCGCTCAAGCCCGTCTGAACCGAGATGTCGTCAAGGCCAAGTTGAAGCTGGTTATACATCCGAACGAACCAACAGAGCAAATGGTCACGAAGCTGACAGCCGAGGTGAACAACTGGAGGGCCTCCCGGCAGAAAGAAGCCAACGAGGCGAAGGAGGACGAGAAGAGAAGACGAAACGAAACGAGGAGGCTGTCGGAGATCAGAGGTCGATTGACACCGGAGCAGAAGGCGATGAATGATGACTGGCAATCTCTCGTTGATCTGTACACGGACCTCTCTCAGGAATCTACGAAGGCCACTAGACGGTGCGAAGAGGCTGCTAGCGAGCTCGAGGAATTCAGTGATGTCGAAGTTCCCGAATCGCCACTACCGAGCGTCCACTCGACCGACCGACTCATCGGCTCAAGCGTCGACCTGGTGGAGGAAACTTTTGGCCCGAGCAAAAAGTGGACAGGTGCAATTGTCGGCTCGAGCGCTATTCCGATGGGCATGTACCGACCCGGAAAACATCCTATGACGGGCCTTCATAACCCCGAGCATTCTGAGGACCGCCAGGGCGATGACCAGGATTCGTGTTGGGGTTGGGGATTCTGGTGCTGGAACTGGGGGCTCTGGGGATATCTCGGCTGTGAACCGAGAGACGACACAAGTCATGGGCAAATTGAGTCATCAGAATCGTAAACAAGGAGCGTCGTAGTTGAACTTTCAGAAAGTTATCAAACGCCAATGCGATTGTTCCGTTGCGCAAATGTCTATATCATGCCCGTAATTCTCCAAACGCCAACGCTATGCTATGCCGTTCCCAAATACCAACCTCATTATGCTCAATGTATGCTCACGCCCTCTCCTCCTCATCACTGCTATCCGCCCTCTCCTCCCACCCCGCCAACCTTCTCAACACACGATTCTCTTCCTTCAAGCTCTTAATCTCTGCAACCAGCGGCTCCTCCCCCTGTGTCTGCACCTTCAGCGCCTGTCTCGCGTACTCGGCTACCCTTCCCATTCCTGCCTGCCACTCCGCATGCTCGAGCCGCAGCTGCATGCTCGTCGCACGCTCGGCCTCCAACAGTATCTGGTAGTGCTTGTGTAGGGCGAGGATTGACGAGGTTTGGTTGTAGGCGTAGGGACGCAGTTTGTCGAGGAGTAGGGTTAGGGCGTTTTCGTAGTCGGTTATTAGGGCGGTTAGGGATGTGTTTGTGCTTGTTAGCGAGGCGTTGGTGGCTTCGAGGGTGGAGAGGCGGGTTTGTAGGTGTGCGAGTTCGGCGGTGCGTGATGCTGCTGCTCAGCTATCAGTGTCTATACTCAGTCCCCAATGCTCCGAACGGAGAAGTTGGATATGGTCGGCAGAGGTAGAACGCACCGTTTATTTCCCCATTCACTTCTCGCGCACCTATCCGACCCGGATCGAGACCGCCCTCCTCTGCAGCGCGCTGCTGCAGCGCCTGCACCCCATTAAGCACACCCTGTGTCTGCGCCTTGTTCTCCTCCAGCATCTGGCTCAGCTGCTGCACCACGCTCCACAGGTGGTTCATATCCGTCTGCTGGCCACCGCTGGGCAGGCCATTGACCATCGGAATGCCGTTCTGTTGCGGCGCGCCGTTCATTTGGGAGGCTTGGGAGGGTGAAGGGGAGGGGGCGGAGCGTGGCATAGCGACGTTGCCGGTATTGTCCAGGAAGGAGTAGTTGTTCATTGTGACGAGGAGATTGGGGCGGGTGGTAGGCGCCGCGGCGCAGTGGGTGGGTGGAGATGCTGGTGCGGGAGCTTGTAGGGTTACGCTGTCTTGAGGGAGAAGAGGGTTCGAACGCTCGCAAGGAGAGTGAATGAGGCGCTGAATGCCTAGAACTGCGCTGGAGGCCTTTCTAAAACATCGATTGCAATGCGCCAGAGGGATGAGTGTGGGGAAGTTGCACCGCGGGAGTGAACAGTTGCGCAGATAAGGCTTAGCGCGTTCTTGGCCGACAGGGATCGTGGTATTTGTAGAGCTCTCTTTCACCTTCGAGTACTCGATTTCGTCCCATATCTGCAAGGTGATCACAGCTACTCTACAGCGTTGCTTTGATCACGGACACGCCCAATACGGTAGGTTTGTTGTACAACCATTGATTGCAGTCAACCTCCTGTACGCCCTACGGCGCGCCGTGTCATTCCTTGTGAAGGGCGTGGTGTGATCGCCTCCACTTCATAGCACCTTAGTGTGACAAGTCTGTTCAAACTGCCTGAATGAGTAGTTCCTTATCAAAAGTGTGGAAAGTGGGTGGCAGCTGTACATCATAGGGCGTAGTATTGCCATCACCAAGGGCGCACTTGAAGCTGCAAGGTGTCGAACTCTTAAATATCATTCCAGACCTCGGTATTCGTTTTGTATCATGCTGGAGGTACTCAGCCAACCATACTAGTACCCCGTTGCCGTGCCTTAAAGCTGCCTGGAGGCCTTAGACAGGTCAACCTATCAATCTACAGCATGCTGTTATGACTGTAGTGATCCTCGCAGCTCTCCTATAGCTTTTGCTTTGCATCCTCATCGAGCTGGCAGAAGGCTTTGAACGTGACCAAGCCCTCCTCGTCCCCAGCGTCGGTTTCACTCTCGATGACTACCTCCGCGGTTGCGCCAACGAAGTAAACATAGCCCTCCTTCAGTTCCTCCTTCTTGGGGCCTACACTGATAGTACCATTGCCTTTAGTGCACAGCACGATACTTGGGCCATCAATGGGATCAAACGTGCTCTTTGCGCCACTCTTGTTCAGCGCCGTCCTGACGACTGCAAACTCAGGTATCGGAGGATCATAGAGGGTATTCGATGAGTTCGACGAGTACGCAGTGGTGTTCAGCTTCGCGTAGGCGTAGTCTGTAGGGTTCATCTTCTGTTCGCTGATCGGCGCGTACGAGTACGTCAGCATCGTGGTAAGGGTCTCGACGTCCTTGAACTTGGGCGTGAAGCCAGCACGAACAACATTGTCGGATGAGGCCATGCACTCGATGATATCTCCGGAAAGGTAGGCGTGGATGTCGTCTGCCTTGAGGAACATAGCTTCACCGACTTCGAGCTTGACATAATTCAGGAAGAATTGGACGAACAGCCCAATATCGCCAGGGAACTGCGAATCGAGGCGGACAACAAGGTCGGCAAGCTCTTGACCATCGTTGGAGGGACCGCCATTGCCGGCGAAGGATGAACCCTCAGATTTGGCGGCGGAGATGAGCTCCTTGGCTGCAGAGGCGAGAGCGTCCTTGTCCGTGTTCATGACCTTAGTAAACGCCGACTGGAGAGCCTTCTTGTTGGCCTTGACATCCTCCTCTTTGTCAGATGTCTCCTTGCCCTTGACTGTGTTCTCAAAGTTCTTGGCCTCCTCTTCGCCGACTAGCTTTCGCAGCGACGGGATATTCTGGAAGAAATGCGCGATCTCACCGAGGGGTCGGAAGCCGCACAGTCCGTCAAAGGGTGTGACAGCGATGGTCATCTCGGGCTTGTGGTTGTCATCTTGATTGTGATGTCAGCCTGGGTGATCTGGGCAGCATTCGCGTGTCTGACCTGGGTAGTTTTTCGAGTCTCTCTTGTGTAATTGCTCTGCAAGCTTCTTGTTTGGGTGTGCCTGGATGCTCAACGCCTTGCCAATAGACAGGACCTTGAAGAGGAAGGGTAGCTTGTTCTCGTAGCGCTCGGCGATATCTGCGGAGAGGAGAGATTGATTCTCTTGCACGAGTTCGAGGAGCGAGCGCTGGGTCTCAAGGTCCTTCGAAGGAAGGGAGGGATGTGTGCCCATCCATAGCTAGGAGGATGTCAGCACCTCGTTTTGCTCGGTATTTCGGGAGAAATCTACCTCAGCGTATGGTTTGTCTTCTTGAATGTCGAAGTCCTCTGAAGCTGTGGCGGCGTGGAACTTGGCGGCAGCAGAGTCCTTGCCGACCTTTCCTGGAGAGCTTCAGCATGTCGCTGGGTAAACATCAAGCGCGGGGCAGCGCACCCCAGTCGTAACTGTTCACGCCTGGAGGTAGTCAGTATATGGATTGTCCCTTATATTTTGGGACAATTGTCGTACCGCATTGCAATCTGATCAAAGGTACACGCATCTTTAGGAGCTCCTGGCTGTATTGTGGTGATGAAAGACACCGCAACGTCAGAGCTCCAAGGGAGTCTTGGTGGGGTCCATACCAGCCACAACGGAGGCTCCACATCCGCATCACCAGATCGGCAGTAGGTTCAATTAAGCTGCGTCCCACTCCATCCACTATCCCCCTTCCAATCGCTTAGTGCCTCGGTGCCCTGTGTTCGCTGACCTCCGCACCACTTGCATTATCATTCTCCTTCTTCTCTTTCCCCTCTCTATTCCTCCCAAACCCCTACTGATGCGCGAAGGCAATCAAGCCCCGAGGTAGTGGCCGCACGTCGGACTGGCAGCAAGAGCTAGGGAAACATTAGGGTGCACCTTCCTTCAATATGGCAGCACGCAGTAGGCCCCGTGGTGGGCAGATGAAGGATGAGTACGACGAGGAAAGATCTCTTTGGAACCAGATCAAGTCTGATGCACGCCACATCGACCAACTCATGGTAAGCATACTCTTACGCACCCATTTCCGCATTGTTATCCATATCATCACACCATGTCTGCCATGGAGTTGAGGCGTTTGAAGGATACAGACGGGTATTGTGGAAAAGCTTCTAACCCTGTGGTATCGCAAGAGGACCATAAGCTGTGGGGCAAGATTAAATGGATGACCAAACGCATCGACCGGCGAATGGCACCAGTGATGGTAAGCGGTTGCTGGAACGCATCGCCGCCAGCGGTCGAATGAACGTCCTAAAAACCCATCGTCAGCATATACTGTTGATGCCGGATGTCTGCAATTCGTTGGGCTGCTTCTGACATTGATTGTAGGCACAAGCAGAAGCTGTTCGTAAGAAGATACTGGACCTGGAGACAGCCCAAAACGCTCGACTAGGTTTGTCCAACTTTGCTTGCCATACAATATGACCTGTACTGATCATTTAGCTCGTGGAGCCCAGCCTTCGGACAGAATCGACGATGAACTCGAGACCAACCTGCGTGAGCTTATACGACTGGACAATGAGACGATAGGCCTCCTCAGCGGCGACAACGACATTTCTACACAGATAGGGATTCTGTCCGCACTTAGAAGCTCAGACGACACACCCACATCTGCATCACGCGCAACAAGTGTCGGTCACGGCAAGTCGCAGCGGGACCGACAAGGCAAACGCAAAGTCACCGACAGCCTCGACGACCGGGACAGCATCGCAGCCGATAGCCCTGGACCAAGCCCCAAAGTCGTTATCAGCCAAAAAGATAAGCTCATTGCGAAATCGACGAGTAGCAGGGCAGGGTCGGTACCTATTGGACGCGAAGGAAGCGTGAAAGCCGAGGACGACGACAATGGTAAGGGTAAGAAGGGTCGCTCTTCTATTCCCAGATCTTCTTCCAGCGCTACAAAGAGGGGTTTTGCTCGTTGAGCGAGCAGATCGTACCCTTCTACTATGTTCCGGCGTTACACTAGACGGCAACGATACCCGCTTTGGCATTCCTCATACCTCTGTTTGACACGCTCCTAGCTTCTTAGTCTGGTGAGGTAGTTCATTTCAGAACCATGTCTTTCAGCTCATGTCTCTATCTCTTCTCTGCTCTCATGTCCATTCACCGACTACAGCTTCGTGACTGACATGCCTACCAGACCACCCGCCTCGACGTCTGTCGCCCAACACCGAAGTGCTCTACCGCAACAGCAAGCACCGTATCAACCAGGAGGGCGAGGGCATACTTTGCCGTGTTACCAGCGTTATCGGCGACGGCAAGCAGCGCCGTTACGAGATCATCGATGCAGACCCAGATCCACCGACACCGAGCCAGCCATATCGCGCCTCCGTCGCCCATCTCGTTCCTATCCCACCACCATCTGCCAACACCACGCTTCCGGACTTACCGAAGAAGAGGGGCGTGTTGGCGCTCTACCCTAGTACGACAACTTTCTACAAGGCGGAAGTTGTTGCCAACTGGGTTGCCGAGAGGGTCAAGAAGGAGAAGGATGACAAGGATGCAAGTACGGATGGCAAGGACAACCTGGTTCGTCTCAGATTTGAGGGAGAGGATGAGGCCGACAGAGAGATGAGTGTTGAAAGGAGATACGTACTGCCGGACAAATGAGCGGCTCAATTACAGATGTAGGCTTGGAAGGTAACCAATGAGTGAGGATTATCGGCCGTCTTGCATAAGTGCTTGGGTAGTACGCACATCTTGGTGCGTGCTATCTGGATAACAGTCCAAGTATCAAGACTATCATATCAATACTATTACTATGCACAACAGCTTGGCGCGTCGGTCGTCCATGCAGTCATGAAAAAGTCGCATATTTGCCAGGATTGTATTCGAAAAGATTTTACTCTTCAGTCAAGGAGTGACATAAGCAAATTTTCTCCTCGATGAAGCATCAGAGCTGCATCGTTGGGATATATCTACCACATTCCTTCACAGCTTACATGTGTTTTCGCATTCGGCCTCCATGCGCTCTCATTGGCTGGCCACTTTTTGACGAATGACACTGACGACATTACTGTCTATGCTGCGCATCGACACTCCTGCATACTTGCGTTCAAGCGCCGACGTGTTGAAGGACCTCAACTTCAATCTATAGGGTTCAATTGGCCTTCAACAATATGCGCACCTCCCGGATATCACGCGATACATCGCGCATCCTCGCCGCAAGCCGAACACTACGTCAGACCCGCTCCGGCGCGAACCCACCCGTCCACGACGCTTCAGACTCCGAATTGAGCTCTGTGCCGACGGATGCAGGCTCAGATGGCGACTTCGCGACTCCTCCGCCTAAGAGAAGGAAGACTGTACGAGATACACCGGTGAAAGTCAAGCACGAGAGCAAGGAGGTATCTTTGACAAGCACCACGTCGCCGAAGAAGGAAGCAAAGCCAAAGAAAGCGCGTCGCGTACCTGCGAAGAAGATCAATGGCGCAGGTGGGAGTGTCAAAATCGAGCCGCCGCCCAATTGGGAGGAGATATATGCTCTGACACGAGAGATGCGCAACGAGAACCTCGCGCCGGTGGACACAATGGGTTGCGAAAGTCTGGCAGACAAGCAAAGGAGTCCGCGCGATCAGCGCTTTCAGACACTCGTAGCGCTTATGTTGAGCAGTCAGACAAAGGACACAGTCACAGCTGTCGCTATGCGAGGCATGCAAGAACGAATGCCAGGCGTAAGGTCTCCTACTCATATAGATCCCAACAATTGCTAACACGATCAGGGCTTCAATCTCGAATCCGTTCTCGCAATCGAACCTGCCGAGCTCAATGGTTTCATCAACAAAGTCGGTTTTCACAACCTCAAAACCAAATACATCAAACAAACTGCCGAAATCCTGCGCGACAAGTTCGCCTCCGACATCCCCGACACAGTAGCCGGGCTCGTCTCACTCCCGGGAGTCGGCCCCAAGATGGCATACCTCACACTCAGCGCAGCATGGGGCCGCGACGAAGGTATCGGCGTCGACGTGCATGTGCACCGCATCACGAACCTATGGGGCTGGCATACGACACAGAACCCAGAACAGACACGAGCGGCACTGGAGAGCTGGCTGCCAAAGGACAAGTGGCACGATATCAATAATCTGCTGGTAGGGTTTGGACAGACGATCTGTCTGCCGGTGGGGAGGAAGTGTGGGGATTGTAAGTTGAGCGAAAGAGGCCTATGTCCGAGTGCGGTGGTTGGTGTCAAGAAGAAGATCAAGAAGGAGTCTGTTGTCAAAGTCGAGCCTGATGGAGAGGAAACAGTGAAGGAAGAGACAGTTGTTGCTGAGGTCAATGAGGTGAAGGCTGAGGATGTGGATGTCGCGGTTGGCGATATCGAAGACATCGGACGAGCATCTCGAAATCGTTCAACACGAAGCAAGACTTAATCAAGGTATACTTTCGAGCCTTCCACCATGATCTCTACATCAAGAGGCTCCACATCCCATATTACACATGTCACGTTTCGAACGTGTTACTTTCGCGCTCGACAAGGCAGCAGCAAACGGTCACGGGCAGTCGCATGCAGCTTCCTCTACTCATGCGGGGTTGCAGACCCCCGCAAACAATGTGTTTGCCTTGAGCAGCTTTCACTTCACCCCGCTCGAACTTGCGTCAACCTGATCCCCACGCCGGTGAGTGGTCCACCGCGTACGGTACCGAAGAGACCCTCAATACACTCCACCGACTGGGCATCTCCCCCAATTTTGCAGAAACACACTGACACCATTCTCGGCTACCAACTGCACTCCTACAACTGTCACGGCACAAACATCACTCAACAACATGCTGTGGCGGAAGAAGCTACGCTCGCCCTCACCTCCACGCTTGACCAGCTCGATACCTGAGATGGAGCACCACCTGGCCACAATGGATTCGCCTATCCCTGATACCCTAGTCGAGAATATCGACGCCTCTGCTACCACATCTGAAGAACTCCGCGCTGCCTCGAAGACCGCCCAGGATCGTTCCGAGAAGCATGCTGCCGACCCGACCCGGGAGGCCCTCAACAACCAAATCGAGGAAAACGATTCAGAGCCGTCCGTGACGCCTTCCAAGGACGCTGAATCCTCAATGACGAAGAAAATCGGCTCGATCCGCACCAAGGCCCAACGCTCGCAACCACAGTTCTTAACTCTTGTCGCTTGCGTGTCATACCTGCTCTTCCAGCTCCTCGGTGTAGACCTGGGACTGCGCCTTGTCAACGGCTACACTGGGCCTCGGCTCCATCGAGCTGAAGTCCAGCTACAAGCTGCAGTGAGCGACTTGGTCAGCGAACAGATTCTGCACAACAGGCTTGACAACCTCCTGAGTACCACGCTGGATCGATGCTACATGGAGAGCTACGAACACTGCCTTGCTCGTGGCCTGTACAAGGCAGACAATATGTTTCTTGGCGTCGACTTCACCCAATTTTCAGATGTTCGAAACCAGACCATGGACTGGGCAACCGACAACTGCGATAGGCTGCTGTACACGCCCCAGCTGTACGCTCCGAATACCTCCAGGCTCTGGACAACGGCGAATAATATCCGACGGGCTGCTGAGAAGGCTTTGAGGCTGTTTCAATACAAGGCCACGCTGCTACGTTGCAAGTTGCACGGTATGAACCCTCGACTTGCTGCAAAGCCCATCGTTGTGGAAGCAAACAACAACATAGCAAAGCGTTCTGAAGTACCTGCCGAGATGCCTTTCGGTTTCGGGTTGGATTGCGAAGGACGTGCCCACTGTCGTTTGATCTACTCAGGGCTGTCCGCCTCAGCTACTGACCGGAAGACAATAGATGAGGCTGTCGTTAAAGCGAGCAAGGAGGTATTCAAGTGGTCGTATCCATTTGAAAGGATCTTTCGCGTCAACGGCTACATGATCAGCCTCCTGTCTCTCTTGCAACCTTTACTCGGAAATTTCTTCCTGCTCGCAGTACTCCTCTCCCGACCTCGACCCCAGTCAAAGGCCAAGTTGCCCCTGTCCGCAAGGCTTGCACGTGCTTGGATGCGCATCTGCAATAACATTGCTTACCTGCAACATGATGAGAAGCTCGCCCTTGGGCTCATCATCAACACGGCTCTGTATGCGCTATTGCACTACCAACTCGAGTATATTATCTCGGAGTTCGATCAAATTCTGCTCCCGGTCGGTCTAGGGTTCTGCGTTTTCCACGCTATCCAAGCTCTTGCGTTCCTCGACCCTGAAGTAGCGACAAAAGAGACTTTGCGCAGCTTCTGCCGTGCCACGAAGGAGCTGTACCTCATGATCCAGGATATTGAATCCTTCCCAGAACCGACTTCCAAGACCCAAGTCCCCTCCGCTCATAGCGAAGCAATCATAGCTTCCGTTGCCAAGCCGGCCTCCAAGATCGGCGCCCGCTTCATTTCACCACTGACGCCCATCTCTGAGGACCTCCAGCAGGAGCGCAAGGTCATGCATGCAGAGCAAGGCAATCAGCCTGGCGATGATGTCGAACCGCGGTACAGATACGCTACCGAGACCGACTCCGAGTATGAGTCTGATGTACAGCATGCTACCTATGTCGATCTTGTTGGAGGTGCGACGCCCACGGTTTCTGAGGATGGGGAGGAATGGACTGTGGTGGAGGATTGAAGGATTGACAAAGATTTCATGCTGGAATGTTGGAATACTCGAGTGCCTCCGGGGTCTTGTTAGGCTGCACTGCTGTCAACATTGGCGTGCAGGCTTGTATGGGACGACCACACGTGATGGATGACATGCGGGCTTGGCCAAGTATATGGTAATGATAATTGCGATTACGAACTGCGTGCTTGCCAGGATGGAGAAACAGGAAACCATAATAGAAAAGAAGACTGCTTCCCATGGGGATGCCTTTCGGTTACTCGGATAGAATGGTCATAGATATGTTACAGATGAATGTCAAAATTCGGCCAACTCCACGTTACGAGGTACGCCGCCTCGTATATGCTTGATATCTGTAAGTCCAGATATCTGCCTACACACATGCCGTGACGCCAAAACCCTCTTTCCATCCCGTTCCCAATACCACATAACCCTCATATCCCCCTCACCCACGACCATGTCACTCACACATTGCCTTCCTCTCCGACGGAAACGGCCTTCTCTTCTTCACCCCCCCCCCCTCCAGCCAACCCACTCCCACCGCTACCACCCACCCCTCCCTCACTCGTCTTATACCGCCCCCAAGCATCCGTCGTAGGCCGTCCCGTAATGCCATTGAACAGCGGGCGCGAGTAGTTCGGCTTCTTCTCCGCCTTGCGAGCGAGTCCTAATTTCCTCAGCCTGGCTTCCTCTGCTTCCTCGGCGAGCAGCTTCGCCTTTTCTGCTGTCTTGCGGGCGACGTCGATGTCGTTCTGCACGGCTGTGCCGATTATGCCTTGGCCGGAGGGGTGTGAGAGCGCAGGTAGATTGAACGCGTTATACGTGTAGTTGTCGTCGTTCTCGTTCTCCACCACGCCCATCCGCTCTCCTGCCGCTTCGGACGTGATATTTCCCTCCTTGTCCATGCGCGGCAGTGTCTGGTTCTGAAACAACCCAGCTTCTTGAACCCGCAGACCGAGCGGTAGGCCTTCCTTCGGACGCACGTAGAGGAAGGGCTCGATACCGAAGTGCTGGGCGCGAGATTTGTAGAGAATCTTGGTGATGTCGAAACGTTCTTCCCAGGATAGCAGGGTCAGGTCGCGGAAGGCGTGGCGGAAGGCGCGCCAGGCGGTGGCGAAGGTGGATTTCATGGGTACGATGAGGTTTCTGTAGGGAAGGGTGGCGGAGGGCATGGATGGGGGTGTGTAGAGGAGGGAGCGGAGACGTGCTGCTTCGGGGTGGTTGTAGAGACCTTGCTGTGGAAGCGGGAGAGGAGTTTGTGATGTGACAGCTTGGAGTCCTTCATCGATGTGCATGGATGTGTCAGGCGTATCCAAGCCTGGTGCAGCGTCTTCATAGAAGGTTTTGTTGAAGTCGAAAAGTGCTTGGATGCATGCGCCATCTCCTGAGCCTGCAGCGTTTCCGCCTGGCGGAAAGTACTCGACAAAGGTGCAGTATACGTGTGGCTTAGTGTGGCTCTCGAGGATACTGAGTCGGTATCTTGTGATCTGATTCGCGCGGAGGTTGCAGCGGGTGAGTATGATCTTGTACTCGAAGCCAGTGGTGTCGAGGTAGTAGTGGTACAGATCTTTGAGGGGAGGTTTCTTAGCTGGGGCTCCAGTGGCAGAAGATGCGGGCTGGTAGGATGTGGTACTAAGAGCGTGTGACGATGCCGATGAGGGAGATGAGAGGTTCTCGGCATTCGAAGTTGAACACTGAGCCAAGGAAGGCGCGGAGGAGGTGGCGCGATCAGTTTTAGCAGTCTCGGTCTTCTTCGCCGCTGTCTCCTCAGCGTTCTTCGCCTTCGCTGCTTCTCGCTCTTCCCTTTTGTGCTTCAGATCGTCCGCGGCAGACACGAATGGCACGTTGACCACATCCGCAAAGAAGAAGCTCTTGGAGACTCTGGGCTTGCGAATGACTGCGTGGGACCGGGACTTGGACGTACCTGTACCCGTAGCCTTCTTCGCTTCTTCACAACCATTGTTGAACTTCTTCGCATCGATCAGTGGACCCAGCTTCCTCATCTCCCTCCTTCTCTTCCTCCCCTGCCACAGATACTCCCACGTGTATCTCGTCTCTGCAAGCTTCCTTCTCTTCTGCAGACTGTCTTCGAGCCAATCATAAGTGACGACGAATGCTCCAGCTTTGACTGCTGCTTGTACTGCGTCGGACGCGTTTTTCCATGCGTCCTTGCCGGCGATGAGGTGTGTGACGCCTCTGCGTACGTTAAGAGAGTAACGACCGCCGTTGGTTTCGATCCACTTCTTGAGCTGGGAGTTGTCGGCTGAAAGGGTGCCAGTCACAGCTATCACGAGGTTCTTGAGCGTACCCATGACGGATGGAGTTCGAGTTACCCCTGAGGATGCTGTTGGTGAATGGATCCAGGGGCCGAGAATATTGGGATTGTGGTTGTGGTCTAATTGCAGTTAGTGTAGGAATGACGAAGTCTGGGGCGGTGTCAGAAACGTGGGGATTCGGCCTATATGACAGTACAGATCCTGCAGTCATCAGTATGCTTTACCTTTTGGTGGCAGACCGCTGTCAAGGTGAGATAGCTGTCGGTCCAACTGTGCAAACAGAATTACAGGTAAAAGAGCGGAGAGCAACCACCCCCGGTCGTCCGTCACTGTCATAGATCTCTTCCTCTATCGCGCATTTATCTGTTGTTGGGATTCATCGATCGGTGTGGATAAATCTCTTGGGTACAATGTATAGGTGTGGTGGACATCGACGGAAGGGGAAGGGGAAACGTAGTGTAGTTGCTTCTGCACCAGTCCGGTACTGTGCGCAGGCCAGTGATTCGGATGTCTATCCTACCGTCTAGCTCTTCGCCGCCTTGATGAAGGCTCGAATCTTGTCCAAGCTCTGCTGCCCATCGTCCCCTTCTACACCGCTGCTCACGTCCACCGCCTTGACCCGGTCTCGGTACTCGTCAAGACCACCCAGCATGGATTGCACGTTATCAGCAGTCAAGCCACCTGCAAAGATGACCTTCAGACCCTCATCCTTTGCGAGGACTCCCTTGACATCTGACAGATCCAGCTGTTTGCCAGACCCACCTGAGCCCGCGTCAAGGAGAGGCAAGGCGTGGTGACCGCGACTTCCAATACCGTGGTCATGCGGGTTGAAGGCCTTGATGACTGGCACTGGGATGAGCTTCGTCCACTCTACAGGTTCTTGACCGTGGAGTTGTACGATATCGAGGTTGAGTAATCGCTGCTGCTCAAGGACGTACTCTAGTGACTGATTACGGAACACACCGACGAGGAGCGCTCGGTCGTTGACGGATACGAGTCGTTGTGCGGCGTGGTCGAAGTAGTCCGTGGCAAACTTGGCATCTGCTAACAACCCGGACTTCACCACCTGCGGCTTCTTTGTCTTGTGGACTGTTTCTGATATAGCCAGGGCTGTTTCAGCAGAAACAGTGCGCTTAGTGCCGATAGCCAGTATCATGCCAATCAAGTCAGCTCCTGCTTCGACGGCTGCTTTTGCAGCCTCAGCACTGCGCGTTCCACAGATCTTGACCATCGGTGTTGATGAAATCCGGGTAGGCTTTACTATTGTGCCACCAAGAAGCTCCACGATGAAGTCGGCCGTGTTCGACGCTCGCATGAGCGCCTCACCGACCAGGACTGCGCCAACGCCGTTCTCTACGTAAGGCTCGACATCCTTGGGGCCAGCGATACCACTTAGCGCGCACACAATGATGTCCTTCGTGACCATGCTCATAAGGCGGCTAGTGGTGTCCATGTCGACCTCGAAGTTGACGAGGTTGCGGTTGTTGACACCGATAACCTTTGACCCAAGCTTCACTGCGATCTCCATTTCCTCAACGTTGTTGACCTCAACCAAAGGCTCCATGCCAAGTGATTGAGAATACTTGTAGAGTCTCTCCAGGAGTCCCTGGTCCAACATCTTCACAATCAGGAGCACTGTGTCCGCGCCCGCCAATCTTGCCTCCAGAATCTGGTACTCATCAAAGATGAACTCCTTACGGAGAACTGCAGGCCGGTTTGACATGCCCTCAAGACCTTGACGGACAGCCTTGAGATCATCTATGCTACCCTTGAACCACTCAGGCTCCGTCAAGACAGAGATCGTGCTAGCTCCTGCCTTCGCATATGTCCTGGCCTGTGCCGGTGCGCAGGTGGACAGAGAGATTATGCCCTTCGATGGTGATGCGCGCTTGATCTCAGCCATGAGCGAGAGTCGGTACGGCGACTGGCGCAAGCGCTCTGGGAAGTTGATCTGCGGCGGTGCAAGGTTCAGATCATACGAAGCCTGTAGATCGCTCGGTCTTTGGGACGGGATCTTTTTCTGCTCGGCAACAGCCGCCTTACGGTGCGCATAGATCTTCTCGAGGATAGATGTCTGTTTGTCCTTCTTCGCACCGTTGGTAGCACCATTTGTCTCAGCACCGATTGCTTTCGCGTGTGCCTCCTTCTGCAGCCTTTCATTCTCTGCCCAAGTTCCACCCTGCATTTGAAGGAAGTTCCTGAACATTATACGTCCGTCTTCTGTCAAGATACTCTCGGGATGGAACTGCACGCCCTCGATTACGTACTCCTTGTGGCGCACACCCATGATGACCTCCTTGACATCTGAGTCAGGGTTCGCGGGGATCGTGGAGGTAACTTCCAGACATTCTGGTAGCGTGTTGTGTGTACCAGCGAGCGAGTGATATCTTGTGACTGGAACCTTCTGAGTGACACCGGCATAGACGCCCTTGCCATCGTGGGTGAGAGGTGAAGTCTTTCCATGCAAGATCTGACCAGTCACATCCACTGTGCCGCCGAAGGTGAAGTAGATGCACTGTTCACCCATGCACACGCCAAAAATGGGAATCTTGCCGGCGAAATGCTTGATTGCGGCGTTGCTGATGCCGGCATCTTTGGTAGGGTGTCCTGGTCCAGGGCTAACCACTAATTGTGTGGGGTTCTTCGCGATAAGGTCGTCAAGGGAGATTTCGTCGTTGCGGTATACTGTGACGGTTGCGCCTTCGAAGACGAGGTACTGGTATACGTTCCAGGTGAAGGAGTCGTAGTTGTCAATCAGAATGACATTGGAGGCGGTCGGTATTGGTGGGGAGGGGTTCGGATGGCGGGGTGAGTGATCGATGAGCTCGAGGGAAGGCATGTTGGGGGCGCAGACAGGTGACGAGCTTCTTGCAATGGGGACTTGTCGTCTGAAGTGTTGAGATACTTGTGGTTCCCAATTGCTCTGTCCTTTATTACTGAATACCGTTCTAAGGTCCAGTAAAGTGATCAGGCGATCGATGACTCTTCAAACGAGAGTAATAGAGCTCAATGCTAGTCTTTAAGCTCCAGTATGCGTATGCGACACAACTTGTATGAGAAGAAAGGAGCCTTTGGGGAGCAAAGCGGCGTAGGCGTGAAGTGACTCAGTTGATTTATTGAGCTCTCATTGCGGAGGGCGGGCGGAAGTGCATCGGTGCTTTGAGCTCTCATTCGCCGATGCACATGCGCCACAAACTGTGGCTGCTGTGGCTGCTCCGCCAAACTCGCATCAAAGCGCGAAGCTCTGCGCGACATTCACTCGTCCAAACATTTCGGCTCCACCCCGCCCACGCACTCCGCCCGCCTTAATGGCCTTTGGCTAGCTGTCTCTCACCCAGCGCACCGCAGCGCTACCATGGCTCCCATTCAATCGACCGAATTCGACCTGTCCAAGTGCTTCAAGGGCGAGCAGCAGCTTGTGTATGTTTACCGTAACGGAACCTGTATCAGAAATACTCATTCGTATATGCAGGACCTGGGATATCGCTTACCGCGCCCTTTGCGAACCCGAAACCGCGTCGAGAAGCGAAGCATTGCGCGACTTCCTTACCGCGAAAGAGAACGTTGAGATCCTCAGCCGACCCTGGAAACCGTTCGCAGAGCCATCGCCGCAAGAGAAGAGCAGGTTTGAATCGAAAACCGCACCAATCAGCGTAACGCCCACCCAGAATGGTCATTACAACCTAGACGAGATCAAGGAGGATAGTCTGTGGTTGTCGAAGGAGGCGCAGATATCAGAGTATGCAGCGCTGCAGCTGGTCGCGCAAGAATGGCAGAGCAGGTCGACTGTTCAGCTGCTGAGTGGGCTGACAGAAGAGGAGGCTTTGAGCGTGCAGGATGCTGCTGGTCTTGCCAACTTTAGCGCATCTACATTCGTCCCAAACTCGTCCATCCTCACGACACCCCTCGCCGGAAGATCCACACAATTCGATACCCAAGACCAGCGTCGATTACGCATCGTCGAAATCTACCATTCCACATGCGCCTCTATCATCCGCATCAGTCAGCTTCTCATCTCGTGGGGCGCTGCACCACAGCTGCGCAGCCAGACCATCTACGGCAACGATTACCACACAGTAGGTGCTGGATGGATCGAAGAGCTCGGCCAGAAGATTGCAACGGCGCAAGCTGGCGGTCCCGCGACAGCGTTAGACCAATGTTTGCAGGCTGTGAAGAAGAGGTGTGAAACCATCGATGGAGGTTACTCATGGGATGTAGCCGAGTCAATCATCGAGGCTGCATCGGAAAAATGGGTGACGGCGCAGACTGTGGAGCTACTGCATCTACTGCATCTAGCGCATGTGCATGCTGATGTGGTGACAAAGGGCTTTGTACCTGCTGCTACCGTCGAGGACTGGCTCACCACTTTCAACACACGTGGTTTCTTCAGGGAATTTCCAGTTGTCACACCCCGCCAAGAGCCACTGGTACCCGTCATCCAATTGCTGACCTCACTCGTCTCCTTGTCGATTTTGAAGATCGACCTCATTGTGAATGACCTTGACTCAGATGACTGCAAGAACTGGGAAACATCGTCCTACATCCTCAACACCGGCGTTGTGGAGACCATCACCAATCTCTTCGGCGAAGCTCGAATCTTAGGTCCAAGTCCTGCAACACCGCCAATGTTTGCTTGGGCAATCTTGACCTGGAGGCTCAACAACAGGGCGACTCTCGAAGAGCAGGAACGCGAGCATTTACTCGAGTCGCCCGACGCATCACGAAGGCCCCTTCCTGAACCGTCTGCGATTGAAGAGTCAGCCATGATTATCGGTCGCCTTGAAGGTTCTGAGCTCTTTGACGGCAAGATTCCATACCAGGAACTCGCCGAGGCTAGTTCAGCGGCCGGTGTTATGGCCATCATAGATCAACTGGTTGACACTGGTCTATCAGCGTTCGGCACCTCAGTTGATCAGATATCGCGCGATAGACTTCGATTGTCATTCCTGCAACTCCTTCGCGCTGCACTCGGCAGTGAAGTTGTCGTCTACAGCCCGGACCTTATCGTTACAGCGTACTCGATCCTTGGAGGTGACAGATCGTTCCGTGCCTGGGCTGGCAAAGATACTCTACACCACGCCGATCCTGTCGTCTCGTTCTTCCTGGAAGACGAAGACGTCCTGAGGCCACTTCTTCTGAATGAAGCGCGCCTTCGCTACCCTTACGAGTCGACGCCTTTCCTGAAGTTTTTCAGTGTGCTCACCCGTGGCGACAAGACAGTCCAGAATGGACTACCAACCTTCGTCGAAAAGCTTACGGAGACCAATCAGCTAATGCAACGACTGCCGATTGGGTTTGCAGGGTACGCGCTGACACGTGAAGAAGAGAACGCGAACTGGGTCGAGCTTACTGCAGATCTGCCTCTGTTCTCCTCCGGATCAATATCAAGCTTCCAAAGTCAGCGCCGCCTGTTGACCTCCTCAAGCACGGCACGCAGTGAAGGTCTCATGACCATCCCTGCCGGTACAGAGGGTATCATTGTCGATGACAGTGAACAACCATACGTGGCGGTCTGGCACTATCAGCACTCGACCCTGACATACCTGGTTCAACTGCTCTCATCGTACCCTAGTGGAAGCGGTAGGGTCGAATACACCACTCAAGAGCCTGCCTCAAGAGAGAACGCTGTCGAGATAGTCGGCCTCTTTGCAGACCTGTTGCACTCCTCACTCCAGTCATCTGAGGGCGTCTGCTCAGTTGAATTGCTAGAAGCACTGAGCATCAATACAGACGGCACCCAAGACACTGTCAACATCGTGCTAGCTGTTTTTGAGGAGGAACTGCTCCGGCTGTGCCAAGAGCCAGGCAATGAAGCCTCGCTTGAGCTACTTGTGAACTGCACCCACTTTCTCGAGGCTCTTGTGCTCATCGCACCGAGCAGAGTCTGGCCTTTTCTGGCACGAAGCCGATTGCTCGAAGGAGACGGCAACGGTGGCAGCCTTGCCGCCATTCTCATTGGCACTGAGATGGTTCTTGGTCGATACGACTTCCTCATTGGCTGCATACGGCTGTATGATAGGCTAGTGACGGATGCTGTCGACTGTTCTGTCGCTCGCAAGAACCCGAGCAAAGCTCTCAGCCGTTTCAATGCTTCTAATGTGGCAGAAAGTGGCACTTCTGACAAGATCATGAGTACCACGCTTTTCACATACGGCCGCACGCTTGCTAGCATCTACGAAAGCTCGCTGAGCTGGAAGTACACACGTCCGGATCACCGCCCAGAGATAAACATCGCGATCTGCGACGTGTTTACTAAAATCTTGAAGCTCGCTCACGGTGTGGACGATGCGCCACAACTGTCCGCCAAGCTCACAAAGCTTGTTGCGCCTATCGCAGAATACATCACCCAGTTGTATCTGACCAAGTCTGAGAGCAACCTGCCGACAAATCCTATTCTGGCGTCACTAGTCATTGGAGCTGGTTCTGATGGTTCGACTTTGCTCACCAGCTCCGCAGCGCTCTGGAAGCAACAGACCGAATCTACCTTGCTTTTGGCCAGTACTTTAGTGCGAGTAGCCTTGCTACTGAACAAATCATGGACGCACCTGGAGCAACAACTGTTCAAGGCCACACCACTACTTGCGCGCCTATACGCTACTAGCGATAGATGGAAGTCTCCTGTAGTGCGGCTGTTGGAAACTCTTGTCAGAGGCGCTGTTCGAGTTACAGAGTCACAAGAGTCTAACGGCTCGGCTGACCAGCAAGAGCCACCATCTCTGCTTGGTCATCTCGGCCCTCGCACCGCGAAGAACTTCTTGAGTGTCCTTTCCGAGCTTGACGAACCACTCAGGATAGTCGACATTCAGACGGACGTGTGGAACTTACTCTCTGCTGTGGTCACATGCAAACAGCAGTGGTTCTCGCTTTACCTGCTAACTGGCAACACGCCAAAGGAGTCACTACGGACGAAGTCCAATTCCGCGGCTGTATCAGGCCACAAGGCACTTCTCACATGGGCGATAGAATCTGTTTCTAACATGAGTCTGCCGACTTCCAGCACTGCAAGTCTCTCCTGGCCCTTATACACAGCAATGCTCGAGTTCATCACGTCAGCTCAGAACAACTGGTCCTGGGCGATGGGCGATCTGCGCAAGCACAAGAATCTCATCCACAAGTTGCTCGAATTCCTGTCCTGGATGACCAGACAGCTCAAAAATCCCAGATCGAATGCGGAGATTCTCCAACGCTCATACCAAAACCAATTCGCATCCTTAGCCTGCGAGGTGCTTGCAATGTACCTGCACAGCTCACGACAGTTTGGTGATGTCACACCGCTCAAAGACGTTGTTCCAGCCCTGGCATACCTCGAAGACAACGCTTTGCAGCTTCCAGCTTACAACGTCTCACTACACGGTAACCTTAGGCAGAACCTTGAGCGACAATTCCCTGGTGTCACATTGGCCAACTTCAAGCGAACTGCATTGTATCCTGAGTCATTCGGCCGAAGCTTCTTCTATGACGTCGAGCTTGCCGAGCAGCTCCTCGACTTCGACAGCAGGTGGGCAGGGCCTCGAGAAGGTACTGGCTTCGTCAATGAGGTTGAGAAAGCAAACTACAATCTGGGCTTGGTCGAATCTCAGGTTCAGCTATTGCAAAGTTGGAAGCTGCTTGCACTTGAACTAAGCCACTTTGTAGGCAAAGATGAGCGACTGGTGCAGGTCATCATCGGTGTTGTCAGGAGGTCAATGAAGGCTAACGCGGAAAGCAACTTGCCAGAGGAGTTGTTTGGTCAGCTCAATGTTCTCCGGGCTGATCTGTCATTCGGTCTACTTAAGAAGTTGGTTGAAGCCAAGATCCACACAGCAGAGGCACGACAGCTACTTGCTCCTGTATGGAACGCTATCCGGGCGTCCACTCCAGACTTCGACAACGCATTCTGTAGCGATGCAGTCCACTACTATCGCTCCCAGCTGCGAATCCTCTATCTTGCTCTGCAACCACACCTCATCGAACAAACGGAACAGAACGGAGAAGCCGACTTCCGCTCCAGCTTCCGCGGCACCATGCCTGCGAGCCACAAGACCCTCGAAACATCGAGCTCCACCCTCCTCCTCGAGATTCTTTCCGACACCATCGCAAAGGGCTTCCGTAGTCTAGCAACCCAGCTGCATGCCGACCCGTCCACTGTCTCGCCCTCAGACTTCGCTCTCCTCACGGCCATCCTCCAACGCATAATTGCTATTCCCGAGATGGCCAAATGGCAGACTCAGGCTGCGCTCCTCTTCGCCAACAGCAGCATTATCCGTTACGCTACCAGCCTCTTCTCTTGGTCCGATCGCCTCACCGTATCTCACAACGGTGTCGCCGACCCTGTCTACGGCGAGCTTGCACTGCTCTTCCTCCTCTCACTCTCAGCAATTCAAGCGCTTGCCGAGACTATGGCAGTCGAAGGTGTCCTCTCGCAAATCAACACAGCGAACTTGATGAACTACTACCGACGCTCCAACGGCATGGGACCCTTTGACTCACCAGCGCGCTTGCATTCCATCTGGACAAAAGGCATTCTACCTCTGTGTCTAAACCTTCTCCTCTCCGTTGGACCGCCGATCGCGGCAGAGATCTCCTCCTTCCTCAACCAGTTCCCCGAACAGCTCGGCCGCGCATCAAGCGCTATCAACTCGAGTGCCTCGTCACGATCGGCAGCCAAGAAGATCACACTTTCGGTGGCGAGCGAGACACATTCGCTCGCATTGATATCCGCGGTCCTCGAGACAGTGCGCAAACAAGGACCGAAGCTAGGCATTCAAGCCAACGAAGTCGCGTTGCTGGACTGGGACAAAGAGAACGTCAAGGAGGATATTGAGAGCTGGCTTAGCAGGAAGAGTGCGCTGAGAGAGCGTGTTGTCGCTATTGATGAGCGCGAAGTAGAGATGTTAGGGAGAAAGAAGGGTGAGGTAAATGAGTTGGAAGATCGCGTATTGGCAGAGCTGGAAGATGCTGGGAAGTGCTTAGGGTTGGGTAATGGAAAGAGCGAGGCGAAATGAACGATGACGAGAAGCTAGGAAGGCGCCAAGGGGGAACGTGTTGGGCTTCAGGATATTCTGAAAAGCGCTGGAGTTCGGACATGGTTTTTTGATATGACGATGTAGAAAACTATTTCATTGCTGTCTTTGTTGGCGGTCCGTTCTTTCTCGTTTCGTTACAAGTAAGACACGCGCTTGCGTTGCCGCGACTTCCTCCCTGCTACTCCTGCACTGACTCTCTCCACTTCCACCCTCCCTCAATCTCACCTTCGGGAGTGGCATTGAGATTGTGTTCACATGAGAGCCCCAGAAGTTCACTTGCGCTTCGTGTGTGTGTGTGTGTGTGTGTGTGTGTGTGTGTGTGTGTGTGTGTGTGTGTGTGTGTGTGTGTGTGTGTGGCAGGTCTGCGATGTTGGTATGCAATCAGCGTGAGAGTGGTTGGTAGTGGTTTCGTTCCGAGGTTCCGAGAATGCCTACTCCAGACACTACCGATGGAGTCCCAACCGCTCCAGCTAACAACAATATGATGGCTCAGGCCTCCCGGGGAGGCCCCTTGAAAGTACAGCTGCGGGGAAGTTGATGCCCGAGACTAAGTACGGGAAGCAGTGTGAAAGCACGATCAAGTGCTTCCGGACGATCCTCGCTCAGCCGTCATCCTCTCCCTCCTCGGTAGTCTCTCCCTCATCAATCCAGGTCCTGAACGCCCTAACCTCCTTCATCCACACATACCTTACACATATCCCTTGAATATCGAAATACAACGTTGATTCACCGCTCGGGCCCACATCAGCCAGCCCCTTCTTGATCAGGTTCCTCATGAACAGTATCAACAGTCGTATAGCCCTGCTCTGCGCCTCTCGGCCATGGTCATCATCCGTCTCAATACCGCACTCCGTCTGACGCGGAGCCCGTGTATTGGGGTCAGGTGGCTGCCCCATATATTCGACCAGGCGAAGTGCGTGCTGTACATAGGCCAAAACGACTGGCTTAGAGTCGATATTGTGCTTCGCGAGCGTGCCGTTCGTGATGAGGGTTGTGAGGAGGTCGAGGGCAGGGATTGCAATGGGGAGGTGGGTGAGAGCGTCGACAACGTGATCGGGGTAGACGTTCAGATGGAGTTGAAGGTCGACTTTGAACTCTTCAAACGTGCGTCTTGGAGTAGCTTTCCATTCTTGAAGTGTGGGGTTTTGAGTAGATTCGACGGCGGTGGCGACGTCGCGGTGCGCAACCTCTGGCAAGGCGGCATTGGAGGCGGCATTGGAGGTCGATGGTGTGGACGAGGGGTCGTAGATGCCTTCTTCCTCCAGCATGCGTATGTATGGCTGTACATCGAAGGGCGTGCCAGAATAGCGTGCATTGTATAGTTGCAGCGGCGTTGCAGTCGCGAGACCCCCCGGTTCCTCGCTCCCCAACAAGCGCTTGATCATCTCAAGCCGAGTCGCAGCGATGTCCTCGGCCGAAACATTGCCTGTGGCAGGCTGCCCAGTATGCGACTGCGTGGCTGCCTCTAGCCGCTGTACAGCCTCGACCCAGTGAGAGAGAAACGGATTGTGGCGGAGAGGCGTCTCGGCATTGAGGACCCACAGCCTGTACTCGCTGCTAACGATTGCGGCCAGTATCTTGGCGCTAGGCTTGTTCTGTGTCTCTATTTCGAGCTCATCGATCATGCTCTTGATTCGCAGGCTCTTCTCGAAGGCGCCGCCAATGCCATCCTCTTGGAGAGTGGAAATGTGGTCGAGATCCTTCACGACGTCTGCGCACCGGCGGACTTGGTCGCTCAAGTACTCGAGTTCGATGCGCGCGAGCGCCGACGTGAGGCTCATCGCTCGCGACTGCGGTGTCGCGTCTTGCGACTCGAGAAGCGGTCGTGGTATGCGTTGGGGTTGCTAGGCTCCGGAGAAGCCATGTGTGCGGGAAGGCGCAGGTGGGCGCAAAAAGTGAAGTGGCACCGTCGTGGTGTGGAGCTTGCGGGCGCTTGGAAGCTGCGTAGAATGCAACCGACGCGCCAAGCATCGTGCAGTTGATTGATTGGTTTAACGTCCTATCTGAGTCGAAAACATCGTGCAATGACATCCCTTGGTTTCAGCCAGCTTGTCTTGCCCGCCTGTCTTGGACACAGCAAGTTCTCTGCCTGCTTCTGCTGCCCATATAGGGGCAGCCTGCTGCTCAATAGATAGTTTCACCTCAATTCATCATTTGCACTCAGCGCTGGTCCAACAAGACCTCCACATGTCGTCCACCTTAGCAGCGGGACCTAACAGCATTAGCAGCAGACTAGCACGATGATGGGTGGCCCGCGGGAAGCCCCCGCACCCTCTGATACTGCCTTAGAAGGCGCTGCTCTGGAATGCAGGTTTCAGCAGCTGGGCTGGTGTCCCCATCAGTTCCATCGATTGCGCCAAATATGCACCCCTGGAACCCTTCGCTACCTCAGCACTCTCGACCGGCGCAATTACCGTCCAAACGAGCACCGCGCGTGTAGAGACCGTCTCTGTTGTGTCGCCAACAACGTGAACACAAAAGCGTACGAGACAGCGCATACGCGAACGTGTTCAGGCTCGTGCTCGCCTGTCGCTGTCGACGACAACCATGTCGTCGACATCATCCGCGCTGGCGGCGTTCCCATCATCAGCATCCACGCTGATGCTGCATCAACCTCGGCCGAACCAACGCTTCACTTGAAAGTCACGCCCCGCACCATCTCAACACGCTACACCGTCATTTCCCATGTGTGGTTCGATGGACTCGGCAACCCCTTCGCCAACGCTCTGCCGACATGTCAGGTACAACGCCTACACACGCAGCTGCTGTCTCTTCCACGCGATCACGAGGGCGGCGTGGTCGACATAGGCTCGCTGCAGATAGACTGGTCGCGTCAGAGTTTCGTACACCACCCTGAACGTCAGCCGCCGTCGTTCTGGATGGATACGCTTTGCATTCCCGTTCATCCAGAGCACGAACCTCTCCGCAAGAAAGCCATTAACCAGATGGCATCCATCTATGCGGCAGCCGTTCAAGAACTCGTGCTAGATGCAGAGCTGATGCAGTGCGAGGCGGGCACGGGCGCGGCACTGGAGACGCTGGCGCGTGTGGTATGCTCAGCGTGGATGACACGCAGCTGGACACTCCAAGAGGGCGTCTTGGCAAGGGAGTGCGTCTTCCAGTTCAAAGATTGTCCCAACGATCCAATACACGAGTGGTGTCTCCATGGGCCAAGACCGACAAAGGCGACCAAAGCGCTGGCTGTGAGCTTCCCTGTCGACGAAGAACAGTGGGCTGTGTACACAGAGCTGTACAATATCTTGTGGGATACGCTGCATCAAGACTGGAAGAGCAGGTACCGTAAAGATCCGCCTGTTCCACCCGCCCATCAAGTCGGTGGCGGAGCATTGTCCAACCTCGGATACCTTCGTTCTAACTACGCTGCGGGCGGGATCCACACACTCCCACCCGTTCAGGGCCTTTCGAAACGGGGCCAAAGCGGCCTGGATGAGCTGGACCATTTCACGATGCAGCTTGGATCGGAGCACCGCTTGAAGCAATTGGTCGACACATGGAACGAACTAGCGCACCGCTCAACCACGATGCCAGAGGACCTGCATGTCATCATTGCTAACTTGCTCGACTTCAATGCTGACAGCATCATGAGTCTACCAACGCGCGAAGAGCGCATGAGAGTCATGATCCTTAGCTTCGATACTCTGCCTGTTTCGTTGTTCTGGAACACTGGGCCGAAGTGGCGTGATAGCAGAAGTGCAGGTGCTGGCGGTAACAACGACTGGATACCAGTCGAGCCAAGCAAGAGCGAGTTGTCTTTGACGCCCGTAATGAAAGTCTCTGCTGGGTGGTTAGACTTGGAACTTGGACCTGGGCCCACGGGGAGTGTGCCGCGGGCGCAGATCCTTGGCCTGCGTGAAAATGAGGTCAGTATCTCTGGACAGTCGAGCTTTCTGTGTGCAGGTTTGTCAGAACTGGTGTACCATGTCGCTCTACTTGACGCTCAACGTGATGAAGACCGAGTAGCCGACTGCAGCGTGCCAGGCGAGGCTCCGCACTATCTCATCATCGAAAAGAATCCAACGCTCTTGTCACCCACATCTTCGATCAGGGGTGCCTTGTTCCGTCGCTGGCCATCTCAGAGCCCCGACAGGGACAGTGTGGTCCAGCTTTCGTACTGCTGCCCGGTCACTCTGCGTCCTCTCTCAAGAAACCTTAGTCGTGGCGAGCTTCACGCAGTAGCTGAAGTCCTTGACCCTCATACTCAAGTAGCAGTTAAGTATGGTCAGTCGCCCCTTCGATCACTAAACATCTCTTATCTGAGCGACGAGTGTCCCTCACTTACTCCACCGCACAAGAACGAGCTTCGCAACGGTACCGCTCAGAGAGCAAGCTAATCGCTCCTCCCCAGATCCCATCCCTCATTTCACCCCCATCCCGCGACGTTTAAACCGCGGTCCGACACTCCAAGGCGGTGTGGCCATAATCATCCTCCTCCCCATCCCCGCCGTCCTCGGAATCATCTGCATGATATGCTTCGTCATCGTCATGGCCCGTCCACCCTACACCTTCACGCCCCTGGCGCAAAGTCTTCTCGCTGCATTCATCACACTCTACATTGGCTGCGCGCTTTTGGGCTTTGCGTGGTTGTTGTTCATCGAAGTGTTCATGTACCGCATGTGGCTTGCGTCATTTGAGAGTGGGTGGGTGGAGAGGGAGAGTAAGGGGTGGTGGGGCCGGTATGTTGGGTTGGAGAGGTGGCTTGGGAGGGCTGAGCATGCTGTGTATGTGCGCGCTAAGGAGGGTGTTGATGTGCTGTTTCGCCTTGCAAGCAGAGGTCGACGAACGGCGCGGACGGCCAATGGCGGAGCCGGTGAGACGCGTGGATGATGCAACGGAAGCCGTTGTTTGTGACGCTTTCGATTCCTGAAAGCGTGGCTGTCATCGAGACGGTCAGAACTATCATGCACGACCGGGTGTCCAGGTACATTCGATAGACGAAAAACGAACCGGCCCGGCATGTCTGTGATGGATTAGCCTCTTTAGTTGTCATCAACGTCACCTTTGAGGAATGAGTTTCCTTTCCGAAAGTAACAGGGCCTAGCATTACAGTACACGAGGAGACAACAACGCAACCTATGCTGGTTCTGTAGAATGGGATACGAGGCAGCGGTCAACAACTATTGCAGTCCAGCACGAAAGATCGGCGCGATTGCGTCCAGTAAATCTGCGACGCACTAGAGCTATCCTTAGACAAATGACTAGGTTGCAATGAGGGCATGTCCAAGGACGAACTACTCCACAGCACTATGATGTGGTGAAGCAATCGAGTATTCACAATAGCGAGGTACATCGAAGTCTTGATAGTAAAGCTTAATTCATCATGAAGTGTTTGTTGGCTACAGTGCTGTCATAAATGTCCAACGTGCTCTGGCGCCGCCAGATAACGGCGACACCGCCGGGGAGGCGATGTCACAAGCAGCCAGGTAACCGTGGCGGCCGCTACAGCGGTCAATCGCAATCGGCGGTAGTCGCTCCGGCCAACTCATAAAAGCAAACGGCGTGGTAATAGGAAAAGGGTATCGTGGATAACGTCGTTGATACGTTTCTCAGTCAAGAGGTGTTGACCGAAAACAAGCCTTCGTCGCGGCGGTTCGGCTAAAATTTGAAAATGATGTACAGCGCGTGGATGATTCCCTGGTGGTGTTAGTAACCATGCGAGGCACAAGGAGGTGATAGACTTACGGGAATGTAACCCAGGATGGTCAGCAGGATGTTGATGAAGAAATCAGCATTGCAGCCGCGCTCGAGGAAGACACCGACAGGCGGGAGGAAGAAAGCAAGTACGATCTTGCAGAGGTCGGATGCGGTGAGAGGCATGTTGTTGATTTGTTAACTTTCGAAACGGTGTGTTGTAGTTTTGTGTGTGGCTTGTGTGAAGCTTGAGAGAGGCTGATGTAGGTGGGTTGTACTCTTGCAAACTAAGGCGGCCCTCAACTTATGTATGGCAGGAATGCAGGCTGCGGGAATGACGGAAAGTGTCATGCTTAGAGATGACGTAGCAGTCCAAACTGGGCGGGCAGGGATCGCAACCGGCGCCAGCCTTTCCTGCAAGCGCCACAACTTACCCAAATCAAGCTCACTTCTAGACCTTAAACCGGCTCTGTTAGCCAAGTTTTTGCACTATGAAGCCACGCAAGCCCAACATCCAAGCTGCTGCGGTGGTGGAGGCGTGCGTCACACGCAAGAGTTGACGAACAGCGAGAGGCTCAGGTGCACATCTTGGAGGCGCGACAGGCACTCGGCAAGCGTGTGAAAGGTGCGACTCATGTTCTGCGCCACAGGACCATGCGTCGAGCAGCTTTGCATCATCGCGAACGGCTGTTGATGTCAAGCTGCTGTGGCAGATTTTTGCTAATTTGAGCGACGCATGTGGCTAGGTAAAGTTGTACCTGCGGCTGGTGAATGCCGGTGGCTTGCCGTGATACCCGTTTGTGTAACGCGCGGGGCCCCTCTGACTTCACCGTCTTTTACTTGCATATTTTGAAGGCCTATGAAGACCCGGGGCATTCCGCCAACGTGCAGTCAAGCTTTCACTCACCCGGGCGATGCTATCTGGAGGATCGTCTGAGCCAGCCATGCCATTTGCCCAGGCATTCTGTAGCGCTAGTTATTCAACATTGAGTTTATGCTGTGACGTACAAATTGTCTCACGGGTGCGAGTGAGTTGAACTTCGGGTTGTGTGCGATGTGTCTCTCTCAAGAAGACCCTTCCGACTTGCCCTCCAGGCCGTGCCAATCCATTCAAGTCTCCACCAAGGATGATGTTCGCGACCACGATACTCGTGCCTTTACAATACCGTATGAAGCTCTCTGTGTGCCTTTGTTGTGAATACGCCTGTATAACTATTGGCGACGTTCAGAGATGCACAGAAACACGACTCTACTCGTGCATGAAAAGTCAAGATCTGCCAGCCAAACGCCTAAGAAGACCACAGTACAGGATGGCAGAGCTCGTTCCAAGATGAGGAGACGGTAGGAAGGCTTCAAGTTGTCAGAGCAAGCAAAGGCGTTGTAGGGATGTTCATCGAATCATCGTTCATTCTAACCTCCACTCAATAGCATAGGAAAGGGTATATCATCCTGTCGTATCGATTCTCCACTCGTCAAACTCCTCCATCCACGATCCTCTACTGAGGAACCTGCTTCTGCAAATCTGCCTCAACCCCTCTCTGCCTCGCCTTCCCATCATCGTGCTGCCTCTGAGCCTCAGCCCTCTGCGCCTCATTCCCCGTCAACCCCGCAACCGCTCCACCGATGGTACCTCCAATGCGGTCTTGTACGCCCTTACCGAGATCTGACAGCTGGCCTTGCGCCTCCTGCTCCTTTCCTTCTTCATTCTGACGAACACCCTCCTGCTTGAGCCCTTCGGCGCCGACAAAGCCGCCAATGCTTTCCTTAAGCGCGCCGACGTTCTGGTTCCAGCTGCCGGCGCTGCGGTTCGGGTGGTCTTTTGCGATGCCGCCCGAGGCGGTGGTTGTGAAGGGGCCGGCCTTTGCGGTGGCGTGGGAGAGGTCCTTTTCGACGGCGGCTTCGGTCTTGCGGTTCTCGCCCTGAGCCTGGGAAGTGTTTAACTGGAGTGTATGCGAGAAGTAGGCGGAGGACTGAACATACCTTATCAGCGGTGCTGCCGGTCAGCGACCCGAGAGCGCCCTGAACGGCGCCGGTGGCCTGGTCGAGGTAGCTCTGAGCAGTGGAAGTCTGGTCCTTGTTGGTCGACATGCTGGATGATGTGTGTTTGGTTTAGCAAAAAAAAAAAATTTGTTTAAGTCTTGGGTAGAGTATGGCTTGTAGAGATGTATGCAGGATCATCAAGGCGCGAGGCGCTACGGTTTATATCCTCTATTACGTCCCCTCGACTTGCGCCAGCTTGCGCGATCGCGACATGTGAACAGCCCTGATGACGTCACTCCCCTCTCTTGTCGTCGGGCATCCGCGAGAACATTCGCGATCTGGGCCACCAGCGCAGCCCTACACACGGACACGCAACGCACAACGTCCAAGTTGGATCTTGGAGATCTGACAATCTGACGGAGGTGGCGCCGTCAAATGAGCTTGTTTCTGGCTTCACATCCACGATTAGCGGCTGTTGCCGTGCATTGGTCCACAAGGAAGGGTCATCTGCTGGGAGCACGTCTGCGGTGCTGCAATAGATCTCGGAAAAATGTTGAATATGTGTCTCAAAGACACTGAACGTGGTCTGTATATTGCTTTTGTGTGATATCAAGTATAGCTTCGCAGATGTGAAGGAGTGTGCCTCAACATAAGGAAATCACCTAAACTAATGAAAATGCCCTAGAAGCCAGCCCGTACAGTAACGTCTGCGGGCACACAGACGTCTGCAGGCGTGCAACTTCGCGAGGTTAAAACCTCTTTCATGTGAGAGAATCCATGAGCTACTCTCGAGCGAGCGGGACTGCAGCAGTTTGTCGCTTACCAGTGGCAGATACCACCCTCGCTGTCGTCGACGCTCCAGGTACCTGCAAGGCCGACGACTTCAACAGCTCCGTCGAAACCTTCCTTGACCTTGCCGAGCCTTGCGATGCCTGCATCACCTGGGCCGTTACCGAGCAGACGGCGTGCCCAGGCATCGATGGCAGGCTCGCCAGTCTCGTCGCGAGCTTGTTTGAGAAAGGGGATGAGAGCTGTGCCACCAGTACCCCTGAGCGCCTTGCTACCGCTGCGCTGTACGGTATTTGCCAGGTTGACAGGCTGAGGCTGGTTCATGGCCTGTTTTGGCGCTGCGTTCTTGTTCTCGCGAGACTTGATGATGATGTAGCGGGACACAAGCTGTATATGCTTGTCGCGGAGCGTTCGCAGCATAGCCAAGCAGGCATCGAATGCTGTGGTCAGAGCACGGTTGCTACGGTTCGATTCGACAAACGCCCGAATGTTGGCTACACGCTCAACAGCCTCGAGGAACCTGCGGTGCGGTCCGGGCATGTAGTTACGCATTTCCGTGATGAAGTTGTTGTTTGGTGCACCGACAGCTCCACCAGCAGACTCTGGGCCGTCCGTTGACTTCTTGCCAGTTGGGCGGTGCTCGACACCAAGAACGATGTCGAAGAATTGGATGACCGAACTTTGTGCGTTACTGCCACCGCCTAGTTGGACGTAAGGTTGCTGTCCGGTTCCATCGTCGAACTTGACTCCATTAGGTAAACCAGCATCCGCCATATTCTTGCTGCCTGCGAGGAAAGGCCGGATACGGTGATAGAAGACGTGCGGGTCGCAGCTTTCGTACATGCGTTCCAACAAAACGCCAATCTCGTCGAGTCTTTCAGCGAACGTGCGAAGACACTCGGCAACTGTGGCCATGTCGTTGCGCCTAACAGCTGCGATGGCTTCGATCATCATGGGAATGATGGGTCCTGCACGTGCTTCAATCGCTACCGAAACAAGGTAGAACCACGACTCGTCCAGCGAGCCAGTGAAGGTCATTTGCGTCGCTAGGTTGTCCAGGGTGTCCGCTGGCTCGTTACTGAACAGCGGGCGCCAGTTCCATAAGCAGACACCAGCATAGGTGGCTACGGTTGGCATCTCGAGGTGTCGGCATGTCTCCAGAAAGGGGATCGAAACGGATGGTGGTACAACATCGGCAGGCCTGTCACCTCCCCAGACATATGCGTGAGCGAAGAATCCAAGAATAGAGTATGCTCGCTGCCATTCGGGTTGTGTGAGGAGGAGATCGGTAGACAGCACAGGTAGAGCATCGATTATTCGTCGTAGTCGCTTAGTAAGAATCAGACCCTGGAAGTTGCGTACGACGGTTTCCCATGGCTGGTAGTATGGATCAGGAAGAACGTCGAGTGGAATATCCGAAGGCAAAAAGCCGTTCTGTGAGGAGACATCGTAGTCGCTTAACCGGGGTAGTGGCGGAAGCATTGTCGAGAGGAAAGCGTGTGGCAATGGAATTGAGGTGAGGTGCGATATTTGAGGAAAGAATATACGGATCCGGGCGGGTACCCTGATGTAGCGCCCGCTGCTTTGCTAAGCAGCTGCGGTTTCTAGCTCAAGGTTGAGTCGCGTGATAGTGCAGGTCAACTCCGGTGAGCTTTTCGAGAAGGGCAGCCCTTGGCCACGCGGTGGGTTCCGAATATGATCAGTGAAGGTCGAAATATATATCCGCAAAAAGGACCGAAGGGATTGCTGCAGGAAGACCGGGTCGTCCTGATTATATTGCGCGGGAGAAAGGAAAGTGCTGAGGTGTGGGGAACTACTGAAGCGGAGCGGACGGTACCACGGTTTTAGGTGTATTCTTAGTTCGCTTCTAGTAGGAAAGACCGGAGGCGACAAGTAATCGAGCAGTTACGAACGACCTAAAACTTACAAGTGGATGAAACTGGAAGGCAAAAGAAACACGTGCAAGAAGGCGTTGCACACTCACTCTTACAGGTCCGCGGCCGATGAAAACCCTTCACTTTGTCAATCGGGCAATCAGCCGATAGTTAGAAGGTTGCGAAGGCGTCAGAGATCACTCGATTTGTTATTACCAGAATGTCCGAAATCTAGAGCAGCATTAGCAATCCTGTTACCTAGCGGGAACCAGACAGTCTGTGATTCCAACGTATACAAGTGGAGACCGATGGGCCTTCGGCGAGACATTGCGCTAGCCGCATTATCCTTGCATAGGGCTCCCGCGTGCAGGGTCCAGCGCTGCGAAGTCGCATGCTTGGCGTGGACAGTGTTGAGAGTTACAGATGCCAAACGCGGCGCCCAACAGATGGTATAAGGTTTGTCTAACCCTTGAGAGCAGGCACAAGATGGTGTTCTCAATACCAAGATTAGTTTGCAGGGATCTGTGAGAAAGGATAAGCTTCTGAGAGGCAGGAATCTCCCACCACCCAAGTCATTTGTCGGTGCGCTAGAACACCACACTAATCTTTCAGGGCTGCAGATCAGGTACACATGCACTGCAGGTCAAGAATGTGAACGGAGAGACACGCGAGCAACATGTCGCAGTGTAATATCCTTTGTAAATTCCCTTGAGCCGTCAACACTTCACTATACCTGCCTATCCAATAGCCATCGATCGTCGATCCACACATGAAGATAAAGCCACAGCTTTTCTGGGTATAAACATCTACAACGAATGCATGCGAAGGGAAGACACACAACAAGCTCCGCAATGCGCAGAGCTCACCCGTCCACTTCAACCTCAAAACCGGTATTAAATAGTTGTAAGTCCTCATGATATGCTGACATAGCTGGCTGGTGCCATAAGTTTGTAGCACTGATCCGAATTCATAACGGCTAGCGCGTTTTCTGCTTGGCGATTGTTAGTATACTAATCAACAGGTGTTCACAGATGCCAACTTACAAGACTGGCGATGGCCGCCGCTGAGGCAAGATCAGGCTTGCCAGATACGCTACGCTGGGCAACCCGCGGTAGACTGCTCGGAGCGTTGGCTGGGGCCCCATTTGCCGCTCGCTTGACCCCCGTTCCTCCGGGGCCGGGTGGGCCACTGACCGTTGAGTGGCGTCGAGGCACGCTGGGCTTCACTGGGGAACTACTTGGCACGCGTTGATTGCTGTTGACTGCGGCGCCGTTCTTGATGCTTGTCGCAGGAGGCTCCGGGAGGGGTCGTACGCGGGCCTGCGGAGTTTGAGCAACCGGTGCTCGTTTAACAGGAGATGCGGTGCCCGCAGCGGTGTTAACGACAGGTCGTCGTCCAGCGTTTCTTCGAGCTCCAGTAATAAACTCGTGCTGCATCGCCTCATCTGGCCGCATGCGGCGCTCAGGATCCCAGCGAAGACAGCGTGCGATAAAGTCTAGGAAAGCTTCATCGTCGCACTTGAGAGCTTGCTGCAAGGTCTTCGAGCTCGGCCTACGGCGGCGTCCCTTTGTAGAGACGGTAACTCTCGGTTTCCCTAGAGAGTCAAAGAAGAGCTTCTTTCTACTGCTCTTCTCAATGAGGTGCTTTTCTGGAGGTCCGAAGATTTCCATGATACAAGCAAGCTGCTCTTGCTCGTTCTCACCTGGGAAAATGGGGTAGCCTGTAAGAAGCTCAGCGAGAATACAGCCCAGACTCCACATATCGATCGGCAAGCCATAGCTCATGCCCAAGATGACTTCCGGTGATCGGTAGAAACGCGATTGGATGTATGTGTAGACCTTCTCGTTCTCGAAACAACTGGACCCGAAATCGATGACCTTGATCTCTGAGTGTAGTGGATGTGCGAGCAGGATGTTCTCCGGCTTCAGATCGCAGTGAATCACCCGTTGGGTCTTCAAAAGAACCAGTGAACTAAGTATCTGCTTGCAGAAGCGACGGATCAGACGTGTCGAGAAGCCCTTGAACTCGTGGGCTTTAATGAACTCGTATAAGTTCATGCCGAGTAGCTCAGTAGATATGCAAAGATGCCCACGAAAGTAGAAGCTCTGCGTGAAGTTGATCATGCTGTGCTTGTTGTCGGGATCCTGGAAACAACATTAGCAAAGTGAGAAGTGATGCTCTGGGATCGACCTACCCATTCACGCAATTTCTGCAAGATATTGACCTCGATCAAAGCCTGTTGGTGGAACCGCTTCTTGTTGCGGATGATCTTGATAGCCACAAGCCCTCCTGTCTTGTGGTCCACACAGCGCACGACCTGTCCAAAGCTGCCCTTGCCGAGAAGGTCAACGACCTCATATCGGTATGCGAGATGGTCGCCAAAGACTATGTTATAATCGCCCCGATCGTCGTCGTACCCGAAGTTCGCGGTCTGTGCATTGAGGTCACCAACATGCTTCTTGGCATTTTTGGTGCCGCAGAAGTAGATCTCCTTGTAGTCGATGATCTCGCCTCTTTCGAAGATGTTCAGATTGACCATCTGCAAAGCTTGCGCTGCCGTGACACGTTCCTGAGGCGCAGCACGCTTGCGAAGTGCATCGACATCACGCGCCGCATGCTCGAAGTCCTTACGTTTGGAGGCAAGCTTCTTCATCTCCTCATCTGCCATTAGATCGTCTCTGTCGAGATTCGGATCCAGGTTCCGAGCTCTGAGCACATTAGAAGAACTCTTGGAACCAAGCATTCTTTGCATGGACGGTAGGATTGAGGAGCTTGGTTTCGCAGTAGGCTGACCTGCCGGTTGTGCGTTGTACCCTGACGCTGTTCGCGCAGGAGCAGTTCTCGTGTCTTTGCGTGCTGCTGTCGCATCAGAATCATTTTCACTTGTGATCGTGGCTGTAGACGGTTTTCGTCGACCAAAGTCAAGTGACGGCCGCATGCGATTCGTGTTCGTGTCAGGAGTAGGGCTCGTATTGATAGTACCACTCCATGTAGCTGAGGCTGGTAGACGGGGAGGTGGCATGTCCCCGTGTTTTGGTGGTTGTGGAGCAGGTGGGTCTGCTTGTTGAGTGCCCTTCCGCGTTTGCTGGTTCTGTGAGGGGTGAGGCGCGGCTTTGGAACCGCTTCGCCGCCAACCACCCAAACTCAACTTTCGCCTCAGTGACGTGCCTGATGGAGTCTCTGGCTCAGTCAACGTGGAAGATTGTGTGCCATCCGTCGTGTTACTCTTCTTGAGCGGGCGCGAACCAGCAGCTGTCATGTTTTGCAACTCAACATCCTTCTCGTTGGACTGAAACTCGCCGCTTGGGCGCGACTGCAAGTGGGTAAATTCACCACTACCCTTCGGCAAGGAATTAGATGAGAACGGAGTCATTGCTTGTCGTCCGGGATCGAGGGTTGAGATTGGCATTACGGACAGCCCGCTGTGCGAGTTGTCCTTTGCGACTTGACCACCTCGAAGGTTTATGGCGGAGCTGCTGCTGCGGATGTGCTTGCCAAAATCGTATCCATTGTAGCCGCTGCCTGAGAAGAAGCTTGTCTTCGACGCTGTCATGGGCGTGCTAGGTGTTTTGTTGGCCGCTCGCTTTGGTGGTGGGGTAACGTTGCGCTTGTCAACTTCATCAGACGGCGCTGGGAACGAAGAGATACGGTTGCTGACGGGCGTATCGAGAGGCAGTAGATTCAGCGGTGGTAGTCGGATAGGCTGCAGGTCCTTCTTGCTCGAATGCTGCATTGTAGGTGTCCGGTCAGCCTCAGCAGTGGCTCCCACTGTGAGTCCTCGTCTGTGCCTGATGGAGCCTGCGCTAGAGTTCGGATGCGACGTTTCGTTGTTTGTACGCTCATTGCCCCGGCTTCCGTACAGGTTCTGATTCGCTGCTGACGGCGTGCTCGGCTTCGCTTCTGCAGTGGAGAACGAGAATGTCTGACGTTCAGGGTCTTTTGGTGATTCATAAGCCTTGGGAATGGCCGGTACGGGCGGCACATCTTCTGTTTCCCCGCCAGCCGAGCTGTGAACGTTTCGTGGCTTCGCTGTGGGTAATCTGGAGCTTTGCAGAGTAGGGTTAGTACGCAGTGGTATTGAAGAACCGCCAACTTTCAAAGAATTGATGCTGGATGTTGAGGACAAAGAGATGCCTGAAGCGTACGATTTGCGGTTCTGCTCTGGCGTGGCACGCGCAGAGGAAGGTGTTTCGCTCTTCCTGATCGATATAGCCGGAGATTGGCTGAATGCTTGGTCGTCGAAGGTGAAATCGCCCTGTGGCGTAGGAGGGCCAACTGGTCCACCTGGGACTGGCATATTCGGATTCATCGAGAGCCGCTTCAACCTTCGTGCATCGGTTGGACTGATAGTCCTCGCTCCCAGACCGAAATGGTGGGGCACGGTAGACTGCCGTTTGCTAGCGGACGAGGAAGGAGTGTGTTCACGCTGAGTCTGAGCAGGTGATTTGCCCGGCGATCGACCGCTGGCTCCAGGCATGGCCCCTTGATCTGGTGTCAGCGAGTGGGCAGACAGATGCTGGCCGGATGTTTGTCTCGAGGGTGGCTGGAGCGACTTCGCCTTCGCAGTTCGTGTAGCACTCGGTAGTCGTTGTGTAGCGTTCGATGGATTTGGGTTCGCAGCCACCGTCTCTCGTCGATTGCCCTTGCTCTTAGATGGCGAACGACCAATCCCGTTCTGCTCGATACTACCGCTCGCCAACCGTGGCATCTCGTTGCGCTCGTTGCGCCCTTCAAGGGAGCCCATGGGCAGCATACCGGGACCCACACTCTTTCGTGGTGCACGTGCTGCGGGGTTCGGTGGTGCTTGTGCGGGGAATTGGCTCTGCCGCCTCGTTCGAATGGCCATGTTGGTGGTGGGAGGTGGCATTGACGTATTGTCAGTGAACATAGGGCTGCCGGACGCGGGCGGCCTGGAGGGGTTCGTTGTGCCTGGCTTGCGGCTGTTTGACTGGCTGAAGCGGCGCATAAACGAGTTGCTGCGTGATGGTCGTGTGTCGCCCTGGCCAGCAGTGAATGGCTGCATGTTCGAGGTGCTGCTGCTGCTAGGCGGTGCGGTGCTCTTGAAGCTGCCAGGCGCAGGGAAGTCGCTTAGCTCCGGCTCATATGCCAGGCTGTTGGCGAAGTCGTCGAAGTTGACTGTGGGAAGGAAGTCGTACGAGCCGCTCGTGTCGGTGGGGTCGTGAGCGGCGTCTTGCTGCTGGGCGAAGCTGAAGCGTGGCTCGGGCTTCGACGTGGGCTCATTTCTCGTACCGGGCAGGTACGAACGGTTGTCGAGGGAAGCTCCGCTGGCAACCCTATGCACGGTCAGCACCTTCCGTCCAATGCACTGCCCGTCAGCAAGACCACCATACCTGTGCTTCGAGAAGTCCTGTGGAGGCCCACGGGGACCCAGCGGCACTTTCGCTGTCCTCCTCTGTGAGCCTAGCGGTCTAGTATCAGGCGGCGCTGGGCGTGCAGCAGAGATGGCATTAGAAGCGCTCGTCTTGCGCAGGCGGCTGCCATTATCGCCAGTCTTCTGGAACTTGCGCACGCGGTCGTCTAGCACTATTAGTACAATTGCTCACGGGGCAGCACAGTAGCGCTGTGGTACCTGTCGAGCCGCTCGAGTCCTCGGACACGTTCGAGCCTAGGTTGTGGGCGTCCATGACGGTCCCACCTGTTCGCACAGGCTGCGCAGACATTGTCAACACCACGCAGCTACCCGAACACAGCCCGGAGCCAGTACCAACACCGTGTCCCGCCCTGCACTATCAGTGGACCCCTCTATTTGCGCGAGACGGGTCTCCAAGCGTCGCGCTTGGGGAGCGGCTCAGGCTATGCGGACATCTCGAATGTATCGTTCGGCAGTGAAGACGGGTCGTGGTGGGCAAGGAGCGTCCTGGGTATGTCTCCCCTGCACAGTCGTAGAGTGGCAGACGGGTGTGCACTGCAAGAGAGCGAGTCGTTCTGCAAAAGGAGAGCGCGTTGCTAAGCGGTGCTTGTCTATCAAAGTCACTAACACAGTGCAGACGAGTTGACAGCCACTAACGCCACCCCTGTCCGCTGTGCCCAAGGTGCCCTGTGATTCGGCGAGATGAGGCCAGGACACCATCAAAACACTGCCCTCACCCGGGAAACGAGCGCATTGTCCACGTCCTGCATTTCTGCATTCTGCGTGCGTTGGCTGCCGCATGTGGCCATCGTGCTCATTGCCGAGCCTGGAGGAGCTCAAAGCAGGTATCAATGATGGTCTGCTTGCAGTACTACAGTCCTGCTGGTCTAGAAGCCAAGGCTACCGCACAACGGCAAGACACACTCAACCCTAATTGATCCCAGCGGTAGCACAGCACTGAGCATGTGCACAGCATCTTGAACCCTGATCGACGCTGCTGTTTGTTTTCATCGGTTTTCCCTGTCGATGCTGGGCAGGTTGGGCATCATCAACGCGTGGCTGGAGAGCAGGCTGGTGCTCAACAGCGGTGGCCTTTGTAGCTCACCATCGCATGCACTCGGTTCTGAATGCAAAATGCAAATGGAGACATATCGCGATGCTCTGCTTCCGTGTGTCACCCGCAAAGGCAGGGGTCCTCGCGTGGCTGCCGAACGCCATTGCCAAGGCCATGCTTGTTCACATGCAACTGCGTCATCCATAGTCGGTCCTGAACACTGCACCCCAAAAGACCTTGTCGACTTGCAGAACGAACAGAGAGCTGGAACATCAGAGTCGTGAAACTTGGGTGGAAAAGCGGCATCCGTCTAAGACCACAATAACATTCCAGCCAAATGAGCGCCCGCACCTTCTTTGGATGAACGAGGCAGTGCGCCTTTCTCCTTAAGACCAGAGTTTGGTCAACTACTCGGAATCTCCACGCAATTACGCCCACGTCGATCGGGTGTTTGCATCGTTGCAGCAAACTGTATTGCTCTCCCGTGCTTGAAGCAAAAGTCAAGGCTGCAGCCGAGAAACGACACGACCGCGATCATGAGCAACGACAACTCCAGTTCGTTTGCGAACAGCAACTCCTCAATACCAGTAGTCCAGATTCATCCCGCAGATACTCCAGGATCACGGATGCCAAATCCAGAACATGGCTCACATCGACTTTCCGCTAGCAAGCTCAAAGACAAGCTTGAATCGCTGGGGGACAGCATGAATCGTGAATCAACGAGTAGGATGGGCGACAGAATGATTAATCTGTAAGTTCTTGAACCGACATCGTTCAGGGCCTCCTTGCTCACAGCTATAGTTTGCTCGCACAAGTTCTGCCTAATGAGGACCTGTCTGCGACCTCCCCTCCAGATGGCAACTTCGACACGAGCCCTCAGGTCAAAGACCGTCGATCACACACCTACGTCGAGCGCCCAAACTTCAGCATCCCAACAATGTCCTCCAACTTCCGGCGCTTCAATTCTCGTATTGGCGTAGCATTTGTCTTCCAAAATCGGCTCATCCGTCTGTTTACCTGGAGACAGCCAACCCAGACACTGTCGTTCTTACTCATGTACACATTCATATGCATCGACCCTTATCTACTGCCCGTCCTACCTCTGGCAAGCTGCCTATTCTTCATCATGGTACCTGCTTACCTGGCCCGGCATCCACCACCACCGACATCCTTCCCAACGGACCTCTACCCTCTCGGCGGGCCTCCGCTCGCAGACGCACCCACCATAAAGCCGGCACCAGAGTTCAGCAAAGATTTCTTCCGCAACATGCGCGATCTACAGAACTGCATGGAAGACTTCTCGCGCGGCCACGACGCCGTCCTACAATTCCTCACACCACTCACAAACTTCTCAAACGAGAACCTCAGCTCGCTACTCTACATCGCGCTCCTCCTGATATCCTGCGCACTGTTCCTGATATCGCACCTCCTACCCTGGCGCTTCATCTTCCTAGTCCTCGGCTACGGCGGCGTCGCCATGGGCCACCCCGCCGTGCAAGACCTGCTCGCCACGCCCGAAAACGAACAACTGATCGCCGAGGCCGAGAATGAAGGCCGCTCGTTCCTCCTCTCAGCAAGCAAGAAAGACATCGAGCTGCAAACCAGCCAAGAAGCGCGCGAAGTCGAGATCTTCGAACTCCAGCACCGCGCCCTGCACGATAAAGCAGGCGAATACGAACCCTTCATCTTCTCACACTCACCGTACTCGCCGCTCTCACCAGCCAGGATCAGCGGAGATAGACCGAGGGGATGCGCTTTCTTCGAGGATGTCCTACCACCACGCGGCTGGCGCTGGAGCGACAAGAAATGGACACTCGACCTCTTGAGCCGCGAGTGGGTCGAAGACCGTTGTGTAACGGGCGTAGAAGTCGAAATTGAGGGCGAGCGGTGGGTCACGGACCTACACTACGAGGTCTTGGAGGAAGGAGAGAAGTCGAAAGGGCACGAGATGAAGAAGGGCAAGAGTAAGGATGTTTGTGATCAGGAGAGAGAGGTGCTGAGGCGGGCGTGGGAGAGCGGAAGACCATCCAGGAAGGGAGAATGGAGGAGGCGGAGGTGGATTAGGATGGTGGAGAGGGTGGGCAGCGGTGGGGTGGGGACAGTTTGACTTTGCAATACGATCCTTGCATGGTTTTAATGAGGGATACACCGCGGGTGACTCCACAATTCCAAAGCAACCGTAACTGCATCTATCCTCTGCCCTCAAGACACAATCAATAAATGGGTATATTTACGATACTTTACATTTCATTTTCATCAAAGTCACGTGACAGGTCTTGTGGTGTAAGTTCCAACCAACCAACAACCCATCACGTTTCAACATCTAACAACCATCCAGCTAGTGGTATGATTGTAAGTTCACTCAGCAATTCACTTCTGAGATCTCCTCCTAACATACAACAGCTCGCTTAGGGTACCTAAGTAAACGTGCGAGAGGCCCCGCGTTCGAGTCGCGGCAAGACCCCTTTTTTGCTCTTGCGAAGGTCATGGCATCGACGGGACAGATGCGCCTTTGTGTGGGATATGGCTTTCTTTTTGAACTTCCTGGATCATTCTAGGACGTCGCAATTGTTTGCTGGTTGGGCTGGCTTGTAAGGTGTGGGTTTTTGCTGCGGGTTGTCCGTTGAATATGCTCTAAGAGATTTGTGCGCAAGTACAACATGCTCAGACCGTTTCGAATGGTGTCAAAATCCCTGGAGAGACTCGAGCCCAGCCTCTGCAATGTGTCTGCAATGGCGGTCCGAGACGTTATTGATGTTGTGCGAGTTTTTCAAAGATTTTGGTCTTGTTGTTTGGGACACGAAATGTTCGAGTACGAGTGTACACGCAACACAACATAAGACTGCTGAGAGCGATAGCTCATGGAGCCCGGTGCACACGGCATCATGCACTCTTTTCAAATCGATAGGTCCACAAAGAGTTGATGACATGATGTGGTTGTTCATTGACCATAGACATCCTCCATACTGCTTGTTCTACGCCCTCCCGACCTTGAAGCTCAGGATATCGTTCTTTCCCACGCTCACAACATCGTCCTCACCCACCCTTCTCGCGCCCTCAGTCTCGACATACGCCAACGGCGCATCGCCCATGACCTTCCTGTACACGTCGCCAACCGTACTCCCCTTCTTGACCAGCACGCAATCCCTGAACACCGCCGTGCTCGCCGCCGACCCCGAGGAATAGCTCTGGATATTCCTGACCGGGAACACAGGTACGAGACCCAGTAGCTCAGCAGCGCGAGACAGAACCTGCACGACGCCCGTGCTGCCAAAGCGGTATAGAACCATATCCTTCAGGTTCTCAATCCGCTGCTTGAGTTTATCGTCGAGTTCCTTCAGACCGCCACCTGTAGGATCGCCCATCTCAATCAAATCGTCTCTTGTATCCACAAACTCACTCCCCTCCACATACTTGACAAACCCCTGTTTCGCCAACTTCCTTAAAAACACCTCGCTAATCGCACTGCACAGTACAATACTCTTCGGATCCGCGCTTTTCGCAATCTTCGCAATATTCTTATCCGCATCCGGGTGGTCGATCTTATTCAGCGCAATCACCGTAGGGAACTTCTCGTCCGTGAAAGCGTTGACAACGCGCTCTATTGTCTCGTCGTCCCAGTGCTCGAGCGGAACTTTCGTTGTGCCGCTTAGCAGGCCGAGTTTGTCCAGACAGCGCGCTACGACTGCGCTGGTGGAGCCGTAGCCTGAGAACTGGTTTTGTAGGGTCTCGATGGGTGTTGCCTTTACGGCGATGTGACGACGCTTGATGCTGCCCCATTTCTCCATCAAGTTGCCTTGGATCCAGCGAACGATTTCGCTGCGCAGCCATACGATGTCTTGACTGGGGTCGTAACCTCGTGTGGCTTTGCCTTCTGCGTCTGTGGTTCCGGATACATCGACGACGTGTACAAGGGCATCGGCGTGGCGCAGATCGTCGAGGAAGCGGTTTCCTAGGCCCTTGCCCATGTGCGCACCAGGTACGAGACCGGCGACATCGAGGAGTTCGATCGGTACAGAGCGGCGGCCATCTATACATGCGCCATAGTTGGGTTTACAGCGGTCGGCGAGACCGAGACGTGCGCAAGGGCACTCTATTTGGAGGTAGCCGATGGCTCGTTGTGGGTCGATCGTTGTGAAGCTAGGCGATTGTCAGGGCGCGGTCTCTCCAAGGTCGAAATGCGAATGCTGCAGGTAGTGGAGGCGCGCGCAAGCAGTGAATTTGATCTAGAGGCAGATATGCGCCTGGTGGTTCAAGAAGAGGTGTGGTTAAGGTGAGCACTTACGGGAAGTTTCCTGCACTTCGATCAGCCTACGAGCTCTTTACACCAAATAAACGTTGTACGGACCGACTTTTGAGGTTGCGTCTGTCAAGCTGTGACCGATACTTAGACATGCGATCCATGGTGGGGGAGGGGCAATGCGCACCTGTTCAGTGTTGTCGATTTTCCAGACGAGGGTTTGCCTACCAGGCCAATCAAAGGATCGCGAGGCATGACTATTCGTATCTGTAGAGAGAATGTGCGTGAAAGAAGAATGTGGAGTCGCGCGAGAAGAGCGCAACACCGAAAGATGGTGTCGTCAAATCGCCAAAATCTTATCGATAAGTAGCCTTGCTTTGCACCGTCATGGGCCCACGTTCCCTACAAGGATCACACAAGAGGTCACCAGATAGTTTTCCAAATGGACTTGAATTTTCTTTCTGATTTCTACTTTATATACAACGACCAAAGTGATCGAATCTCGTCAAAGACGCCAGGTCGACCATCGTTACGAGCCGACAACACCAAGGAAAGTCTAACATCAAGAAAACGGTGCCCGCACTGGGTCTTTGCATTACATCCTGCCTGTAACCTCATACAGCGCTAAGACATGGGAGAAATGGCCTGCTTATGCGACTAATCTTACAAGACGAGAAGACCACCGAAGAGGGAGGAGACGAGAACAACAGCACCCATAGCAAGGGGAGCGAACGAGAACTCGCCGGGGCGGAGGGCAGAAGCGGCACCCTTGCTGGGAGTAGAGGTACTGGTGGAACCGCCAGCAGCACCGGAAGTGACAGCGCCGTCGCCAGCACCAGCCAAGTCAGTCTCCTGGGAGCCGGAAGACTGGGAACCGGAGCCCTTGAGACCAGGGCCAGTACCAGCACCGTTCTTGAGGTAGTCGCTAGCACCGCTGGGGAAGGCAGGGAGCTGGTCATCACTGATAGTGACGTTCCAGGACGAGGACTTCGAAGGGCAGGTGGAGGCAGAACCGCTGGACTTGTAACCACCGTCACCGGAGGGGTCAGTGGCGTTGGCGTAGGCGTTCTTGAGGGTTGTAAAGTCGGTAAGCTCCTTGACGCTGGTGTCGTCGATCTCGACAAGACCGTACTTGGAGTCCTCCTGGGAGTACTCGTAGACAAGACCGCCGGAGTAGACAGAAGACATGTCGGTGCTGTAGATGGACTTGACCTCGTTGAACTCCCGCGTGTTGGTGTTGCAACCGAACTCGGAGAGGCTGGGTAAGTTAGCAAATGTAGGTCTTCTGGTCATTCGGGATGTGCTTACAAGATAGGAATGCTGTAGTTGCTGAGCTTCTGGACCTTCTGGTCCCAACCAGCACCAGTGAACGTGTTAGGGTCGCACCACGAGTAGTCGTTGAAGGCGTAGAAGTCAGAGCGAACGGAGTCCTCGCCGCAGTTCATGTAGGCGGCCATCTCGTAACGGTTGGACTCAACGTCAGCAGCGCTATAGCCGACGGGAACCTTGCGGAGCTTGCGAGCGTTCATGTACGACTTGATGTCACGGGTGACAGCCTTGACGAAAGGAGCGCAGTTGGTGGTAGAGTCATCGTTGATGACCTCGTTTCCGGAGAAAAAGAGCAATGTGTTGGAGTAGGCAGCGAACTTCTCAACGGTCGCGAAGACGCTCTGGAGGTACACCTTGTTGTAGGAGACCTGGGGAGAGGCACGGTTGATCGAGTACTTGGGGGTGTTGACATCAAGAGCAAGGTAGATACCGGCGTCAGCGAGGGCGTTCATGCAAGTGTCGTGCTCGGCAGTGTTGTCGACAGTGTAGACACGGACGGTGTTGATACCAAGTTCCTTGAACTTGACGATGTCGCGCTTGCAGCCATCAGCGTCGGCAATGGGGTCCTTCGCGTCAGATGCGCCACCTGATACATGTCAGTTCAGGATCGAGCAAATGGTAACTGTCTACTCTTACCAGGCTGGTAGTCAACACCACGGATGTAGAAACGCTCGCTGCCCTTCCAGAAAGCTGTGCAAACGTTAGTAATCAGTCGACATGGTTTGCTCCTGGGTCTTCGACAACGCACCATTTCCCTTGACGGTGATGGTTGTGACATCGGTACGCTTCTGGACGGGGCTAGCAGAGCCGGCAACGGATGTGGCGAGGGCGCCGGCGACGGCAGCAATGGCGACGGTCTTCATTGTGACGGTGTTTGTGTGAGTGACGGAATAAGTTCGTTGGTAGAAGTTGTGGCGAGCGAAGAGCTTTTCGTAGACGAAGACGAAATAGCAGAGAAGCGACAGACGGTGAAAGGCAGTAGCAAACGAGAGTATACGCCTGGGCGCGGAAGGTGCGATTAGAAAGTGTAAAGAAGTCGCGCACAAAAACAGTGACGGCAAGGAAGTCAATGGCACACAAAACAAGTCGGGGGAACGGGTTATTAGAGAAACCCACTCCCAGCGTAGCAGCCCTGGCGGTTGCTATCTGTGGAACGCGCAGTGGATACATGATTGGCTGATGTGCCCCATAGCGACAGGGATGGCGCCTGCCAAATCTTAGAAGCCTCCGCCGAGCCAGCCTCCGCCCCCTGAAAAGCTCAACCAAGGAGCCCAGCAGACGACAAGCCAGAGACAAGCAGTGGTCGAGAATACCGGGTGGCGCGGCGATCGTGCTTCTTTAGTCTGCTTCAGAGGTTGCTGAAACGCGCGTCGCCGTCATTCCTGTGCCTATGAACGAAGATCTGTATCAAAAGGCTCCTGCCGCTCCCTGTTGCGATGCCACCTGTGGAGAGCCGTGTGGGCCTCTACGAGATGAAGTCATGAGCGCATCGTCAATTTGATGCGCTGAGGACTGACTCGTACAGCGACTACAACTCGCAGGTGACCAGTTCGTACTGTGAAAGAAGTGAAATACTGGTGGCTGGCTAACAGCAAGTCGAGCGGTCTAACGGACACGCGTGGCGCAGAATACTCGCCAGATGCAGCCTCTGTTAGTCAAACGGCACACTTGGTTTATTGGTTGTGTGGACTTTACGAGGCTGACTGACAGCGGTAGTAGGGGATGGTGTTCCTTGCGATCATCATCTACCATGTAAACGAGTGTCTCGTGTCAACACAGCACAGCCTCCATCGTGATGAGGATCACCGTGGGTCTCTCGTTGAACAGGTGGATCGTATGAATTTGTGCTACTTGCTACCTTTCATTATACACATACGACTGCTAACTGCAGTCCTCAATTACGATTAACGACGATTTTACCACACGTCTACAACTCATAATGCCACATCAAGATATCTCTGCTCAGGATTAACCCAAGCGCCCAAGAGCAACCAAGGTGCAGGGCCAAACTTGCATGTTGAACCGCATGGTACAGTCATGCCAGCAAGCACTGCAGACATGGATGTATCAAAATCGTCATATCGCTCTTGGGCTTTCTGTCCGCAATAGGGTGCGAGCGACAGAACCGGATTGACTGCTCGGTTCGAATAGGGAAGTCCCGCTCTACGGGTTGTTGTTCTTTCGGAGACCGAAATAAAGACCCAGAGCCAGCGCAATGATGGCGATGATGAGTACCACCACGAACAGAGTCCACCATTTGAGCTTCCTTGCGCGCCTGGCCGACTTGATACCCTGGTCGAGCTGTGTGTTTGCGTGCTTGGCGTCTTCGTTGACCTGGACGGTCTGGTTCTCGACCTGTACGGTCTGCTCTTCCTGGTAGACGACCTGCTCGTTGAGCTGCTGGAACAATGTCGCCAGCTCGACCATGGTCTTCTCAATGCGCTGGATGTCGTTGTGACGCGCACGAACAGCACCCAAGACACTGGACGCTTGCCCACTGCGGTTGCTCTTGAGCTGCGAACGTAGTCAGCATGTGGTCATATGTGTCATGGCAGAGCGCTTACAGCTTGAGTGAAGATGCCCTCATCGCCCCAGTCGGCGTTCGCTGCCTCCTGCACCTCTGCCTCGGTCGCTTCAGGGTTGATCACCCTGTATTGGCGGGCAATGGCCTCACGGTACCTCTTAGAGTAGTCCGCCTCTTCCCGCTGGAAGTCCTCAAGCTGGCTCTTGAACGTCCTCTTCAGCGACTCGACCTGAGTCCTCTTGAACGAATTGCTCGAATCGCGTGCGGCATCGCGCTCAAGGAATTTGATCTCGTCCTTGATCTGGGTGTTTCTGATCTGTGTCTGCGAAACAATGCTCTCAAGCTCGGCGGATGAACGGTTGTCAGGTGACGACAGCATGCGCTGGTGGATGCTCGAAATGGCGCCAATGTCCTGTGTAAGCTGACCAATCCTGCTCTTGGTTCCATCGATGCGCTGAAGGAAGTCCTGCTGGCTCAACGGCTTGGTGCCCGGCTGCTCCAGCCCGTATGACTGCTGACCTTGCTGCGCTGTATTTCCGTACGGCTCTGTATGCGATACAGTGTGTGACGGGGCAGGAGCGGAGTATTGCGAGGGTTGCGAGTAGTTAGAGTCGGCCTGTGTCAGTTGAGTTGGGCGGCTGGGCTGCTCATCATACTATACTGCTGTGTCAGTGACAGCCACGTAGGCACGCAATTGCTATGCTTACGCCGCCGCCATATGGGTTCGATGACCCGTAGCCGGTCGAGCCATATGGGTTGCTGGTGCCGCCATAGCCTGCCTCGGCCTGGCCGTAGGGGTTCCCGCCGTACTGCTGGTAGTTGTTGCCAGACATGCTTGTCGCGCGTGTTGTGGTGATTCAAAGGATGTTTCGGAAGGCCGGAATTCAGCTGTCAGACAGATGCGCAAGCGACGGAAGAATGCACAATCAGGTGCAATAAAGATATTAACTGGTGCGAACGTGTAAAGCGATGCGAATTGATGCAGCGATTGTTATGAGAGGCGGGCGCAACGGCTCGTGGTTGAGATGAGTGGACCTGGGCCCACGGGTGGTAATCTTAAAAGCTGATGAGATCCGCGCAGGGCTCTGCCCAGGAATCACAGCCTCCAACAGACGTCACCTGCATGTCACGCTAGTCTTGTCAGGGCCGTCCCACTGGCTGTAGCGTGAACCGTTCCTCCAACTTTAACACGATGAACAACGAATCTACTTCTTGAGATGCTTTTCAACTCTTCATTTACGTCTACTCGAGCAGGTTACATATGCTCGAAGGTGGTAACAATGGCAAGGCCGAAGTAGAGGAGAGTTCTCAGCGCAGATGCTTTGTGAGCTGCTTCAGATCAACCATCAAACAACTTAGCAGCAAAATAGTCTGTTTCGCAAGGCTTACCATGAACAGCAGGCTCGAAGATATTCAGCCTCGTACCCACCATAACCGGTCTCTATGAAGTCTGAATCACACGCCTTGCTCGCCTTAGAGCCTGAACGCGCGTCGGATGCTCAGTTCCTTTGCAGAGTTTCTACAGAACACTAGTGTACGTGTTGTATTATCTACTGATATTCGTATATCGTCGTGTGGTTGTAATGCTACATAACACGTGTGGCTGCCTGTTTTGTCGATTTTGGCCGTCCAGCCATGTTGCGAGGAAATGGTTGTTCTTAGCCTGTGGCCCAACCTACACAAGACAGATCTGAACAATGATGCGTATGTGAACTTAGGCTTGAGCGAAACAGCAAATCAACAAGCATCAACATCAAATTTAACGCGTGGAGCATGAAGCCTAAATCCATCGACCATCTCCAGAGTCTGGATGCGCCTATCCCGTTAAGTACTAGTTGCCGAATGCGGGAACCCTTTGTTTCAGCACCTCCACTTCTTCCTTTGCACCTCTCCACAACTCAATAACTTCTTGGGCCAACTGGACATTTATTCAGCTTGAGCATTCACCATGCCGAAGAAGCCGTGGCTCATTGAGAGCGACAACCCCTCATAACAAGTCCTGAAGTGGATAGGGGGCAGCGGCTTTGGCCAAGTCTTCGAGGTGCTTCGAGACGGGCAGGTGCGAAGCTTCCCTATATATCACCTACACTGACAGTAAGTGCTCATGTCAAATAGACTGTAGCATGCTAGCAAGTACACCTCGAGAACGCCGAAGCAGCATTGGACGAGTATGACCACATGAAAGCACTCAGGGGTGCACCACACATCGCAACTCTTCATGATGGCCTTGAGTTCAACAGGAAAACTAACACGCTTTCTTTCTTCAAGGACTACTACCGAGGTACAGACCTAGATCGCCAAGTCCAGATGCTGCGAGGTGCTGCTGAGCGCTTCTCCGAAAGCTAGATTGTTGAGAATGGGTATCAAATCGCTGTAGCTCTGGAGCTGTGCCACAGCATGAACATCTTGCACCAGGACATGAAGCTCATGAACGTCTTGTTGAAAGAGCCTTGGAACCCATTAACGCAACGAGATGTACCAGACCTGTGTGTTGCAGACTTTGGCATTGCAAGCCAAATGCAAACTCTTACTTACGCATTACCGGAGGTCGAGGAAAGCTGGGGTACGAAGCACCAGAGATTTGAGGTTACCAGGCCGCTTTCTCGCAGAAGTTGGACGTGTACGCTTTTGGATGTATCCTGCACCGATTGTGCGCCCTGGAGGACCCGACAATATTGGAGGATGTCAAGCTCATGGAAATTGCATAAGACTGCTCATTGGAGCTGCTAAGTCTCATAAGTTCGATATTGAGGTCCGAACGAGATGGCCGCCCCACAGCAGCACAAGTCAAAAATGACCTCGCTGCTATTGGACTGAGGATGTTCCCAGCAATGATACAGACAGTACCCACATGACTCATTTGTCGCCAATCATTCCCTTCGAAGACCCGGCTTTGGAAATGTTGGTCATCACAAGCAACCCAACAGGCGCACATCGAACTTCTTTGTGGGCGGCAAGGACGTGAAGAGCGAACCACAGTCCAGGGTTGCTATCGAAATTATTTAATTGAAGGTTCGACGTGTCGCTGATGCATCGACGGAGTATCACTACGACAACACAGAAGAGGCCGATCAAGATCTGGCAGCTTATATCGTCTGCTTGCGGGACTACGGATCGAAACGGCAACTGTACAAGCATCCCCACTGCAACGAGCATGTTCGCAAACAGAAGACTGTGCTGAAGCGGCTTGCAGAACTCGATCAAGTCGAACCAGATACCAACAACAAACGGCAGCGAGCCTGATATCCCCTCAATAACCAAAGGTGTCGTACTCGTGCAGCTTGAGTCTGGTTTCCACAGCTGCTCTGCATCAAAGTACGCTAATACACACAGCGAATCTTTCTCACCATTGCTGATACGAGATGGCACAACCCTGTAGAAACAGGCAGGTAATTTCCAAACTCGTGCCTTCCGGCTTGGCTGCGGCCTGATCCGACCCCATGCGCAAAACAGGACGCCATCGACACCAACATGCCTCGAGCACCAGCTTCAATCTTTAAATCAATATAGATTCGGCGCAGGGCCGTAATATGATCGATTGCGTAATCAATGTCGCGTTATTGTGGGCTTTTGAGCTAGATACTTAACAGCAGATCCTGCAAAGTACAACGTCTCGAAGCAAGAAGCATCTTTTTAAGCAAATCTTCAGAGCTCGTCGGAAACAAACTGAGAGCGCTATGAATGGAGCGCTTCTGCATGTGCAGACCTACCTTCCCGAGCGAAGAACGATTCATCACATCTCGCGATGGTCGAAAGATTTTGACTCCTCTGCCTTACGCAACAATCTGACCTTTTTTCCGGCAGATACGCGGGAAGCCTTGGAGCAGATGGTGACCAGGGCTGAACCGATGCTTCAAGTATTTGACACAAGTCAGTTGGGAGACTATCAGTTGCATCGCTTCCACGAAGATGACCTTACGATGACGATTCACGATTCATACGGGCTCAACAGATTGTGCGGCGAATGTGTCATTGCTTTGGCGAAGACGTGGCTCGATAGCTGTCTCTCAAGTCACGATGATTGTCGTGGTCCCACACCGCCCGAAGGGAAATTCATTCTTACACGAGTGGTTCACGTTACACTCGATGGCGGCAAAGTGGACTTTGCTCGTTGGTACTGAAGCATGAACTAGACCAGGCCACTTCTTACATGACACTGTCGCACTGTTGGGACGGTAGCACTCCCTCTAAGCTCATGTAGGCAACCCTAGACGACTTCCGAGTTCGGATCCCATTCAGTTTACCCAAATCTTTGGTTGAGGCCTTGTCCGTTACTGTGCGACTTGGATACGAGTATGTCTGGATCGACTCGCTCTGCATCATCCAGGACTCTCAAGGAGACTGGATCAAAGAGGCAGCTACTATGGGCCTAGTCTATCGCCACTCCGTATGTACGATTGCTGCAGCTGGCGCAAAAGACGGAGATGCTGGATGTTTCTTTGATCGACAACCGTTGGCCGTGTTTCCCTGTCAGCTCTCCCCACTTCTGCACGACGATCAAGGCGCAGACTCAGGAAAGGAGTTTATACGATGGGCCAGTACCATGACAAGCCTTTGCACAGCCGCGCGTGGGTAGTACAGGAGCGCTGTCTATCGCCGCACATGTTGAATCTTGGCACTGATCAGATATCTTGGGCCTGCATACAGTCCAGCGCGACCGAAGGGAACTCACTCATGCAGAGGGGTCAAAGCAACGCTAACTTGAAGACTATGGTTTACAATATGCTGCACCTTTGACAATATTAGATAACAGCACGTATGCAATGGTGGCACAGTCTACTGACGGAGTATCTACATTGCAACTTGACATACAAAAAAGACAGATGGGCCGCGTTCCAAGAATTGCTGGGGTCTCATGCTCACACACAGCTTGTGGTACATCAGATTCTTCCTGAGCTTTTGTGGACCGCGGATAATGCTTAGGGTTCTACACGCATTGACGACTTCCCTTCATGGAGCTGGTCAGTATACATGGACCAGTGACCACCGCAATTGGAGTTGTGTTCTACAGCGAACGCTTCAGCGAACGCCACGCACTAGGGTCTAAAATCCTCGACGAAGCCTTCTACTTAGCTTTCGCAAACACTTCGATGTTTCAAGTAGAGGCTGGCATTCTACCCATCACACACAAACTCCCTCGTACAGGCACCCCAGAGAAATTCATCTACAAGTTTGTTCTCCAGGAGAGACCTAATCGGAAGGCACCTACAGAGGCAGAAATGGAATGGAACCGATTCGTGTCATTGGAGCCCGACAGTTTCTGGGCAGATACATCACACGATATGCTGAAGCAAGTCTGGGCTCTCCGAATGGCCGTGGAGAGAAGCTCCATTGTCGGTCTAATCGTACAGCCCACGAGTTTCAGGAGCGAGTCATAACATAGGAAAGACGTGGTCGTTTCCTGATGGTGCACAACAAGAGCAAGAACGAACTCCTGAACGAATGAAATCAGCGTTTCGATGAAGCAACAACGGTCCTCAAGCTGACCTGATCAGCAATGTCAAGCTGAAAGTAATAGCAAGCACGCTCAAAGCCACGGTCAACCTACTTGCCTGGAAACGCTCGAGGGTCCAGCCAAAGGCATGACTGACTACATAAGTTGTTACGGTATCAATACTGTCGGTAGGCCTGAGGTTGCGCACATCAGATTATCCTGGACTAACATGTTTCAAGTCAGGTATATAGTCGTCTTCTCCTAGCAAGATAACAATCCAGCTCAGTATTCCATAAATCTGATAGGCCTAAGTTGTCGTTTACCGTAGCTATCAGTGTACTATAGCGGCCCATGCCGCCACACCATTGATCTCATTGAGATGGAATGCAAGGCTTTCACTGGAGAACGGTACATTTTCCTCGTCTATGACCTCGTCACAAAGTTCAGTTTCGTCTATGCTATCAGAAGCCACGAGAATGAAGTACCCCTGATCACTTTCCGTACTCTTGATCAAAAGATCAAGCGTCAGTTCAACACATCACCCATCTTCATCCTTTTGAAGAGAGAGAGGGGGTTTGGATTCGAAGCTGACGACAACTCACTTGCTACATACTGCGCCAACGAAGGTATTCAGTTGCAGCTTCGAGCTCCTGATACACCTGCCCAGTCTGGTGACGTTGAGCGTTCTGGATAAATGTTCATCATCCGCACTCGATCCCTCGCGGTCTCATCCCAACTCCCTCCCTACCTCTCTCATGAAATTTACCTTACTGCAAACTGTCGATGGGGAGAAAATGACCAGAATCGTGATGTATTGTTACTATCTGCGTAGTGTTTATCTACACGGAGGGAGCTATGGGCGCTAGTCAGAAGAGGAAAGGCGCAGAGCCTCTCAGAGAAGACGTAGTGAAGGCACAGGCTGACAAAAACTATCTCAGCAATTGTACACCAGTCAAGGCTCTTCCCTAGAAGACTCCCTTCGAAGCTGCTGATGGCATGCCGCCATCTCTTGCACATCTTTACATGTACGGCTGTCGTGTGTATGCTCTACGCAAGAAGATCAAACGGAAAGATAAGTTCACTCGTGAATTAATCGGTTACTTTGTTGGCATTGATTCCTGTAACACCTTTCGAATCTGGCTTCCCACCGCTTTGTCTCGTGATCATCAAGGCAAGGTCATCAGGACTAGAGACGTCACCTTTGAGGAAACTCTCTTCAATGGCTCTGCTGACAGCGGTGAACTCATCCGTGGCATTGAGCTGAACAACATCACTGATACCATTGAGATTTTTGATGAACCTGATGCCAAAGACACGGCTTCTTCGTTGTCAGAAGAAGAAACCGAGGAAACCGTATCAGCTAGCACTGATGTTGTCAACACTGAGGGGGCCACCATTCCATCAACCACTTCTCTTCACGCAACGAGGCCTCATCCTCCAGCAACCTTTGTCCATCCCCAGTCTCTATTAATACTGCTCCAACGTCTAGACGCTCCCCTCAGGGTATCTTGCTCATTCCTTCTACTCCGTCTAGTCCATTGATATCGTGCCCCTCTCATGTCAAGCGCACGTACCGTACCAACACTAATTTGGATGAATTATCGAAGCAAACTCGCACTCCCAACTTGTTTATCACCTACTGGTCATCCATTGTTGCTGGGACTCTCAAACCCAAGACAAGGATCCACCGTTCTCAACTACTCGCTCCTCCTTGATTCTGGAACGAGCTTCCCTCCCTCTCTCCGCTATGGTTTTATGGGCGCTTGTTGTACCAAGGTTGATACTATCACTCGCAAAGAAACTTATGTCGAGGTCCCTCTTGCCGATGTCAACATCCTGAAGATTGGGATCGTGCCTCTGATGTGGGTCTTTAACTACAAGTTCGATTTCAAGGGCTATCTCTTGAAGTTCAAGGCTCGAATTTGTGTGCGTGGAGATCCCCAGACAACCGCTGAGGATACTCATGCGGCCACTCTCGCTAATCAGATCTTTCGTATGCTAATGGCACTCGCTGCTTGTTTCAACTTCGAGATCTGTCAGTATGATGTAGTTAATGCCTTCACCAATGCGTTTCTTCCTCAGACTATCTACTGCTATCAACCCGATGATTTTGGAGATGACCAACATCTCTGGGAACTCCGCCGTGCTCTCTATGGGCTCAAGACTTCCCCTCTTCTATGGTATGACGACTTCACAACAACGCTCCGTGCATTTAACTTCCATCCTATCTTAGATACCAACTGCCTCTGGACTGACGATCACATTATCATCTTCTTCTATAGGGATGATATCATCACAATGGCAAAGCCTGGCTTCTCAGCTGCCCTCAACGACTTTGAGCGCAAGCTTAGCAAGCGGTATGAGATCACCAACCTTCAGGATCAAACTCAGCAGACCTCCTGTGGAGTCCCTGTGTTGCAGTAAATGCAATAAGTGAAGGTAAAACCGCGCAGGGCAGTAAGTCAGGGGTAACCGCGCGAAGCAGTAAAATCGGTATATATTGTGTTCCGTTGTTGTTCTGTTCTCTCACTCCAACCGCAGCGGGGTCTGTTTACATGACGTATGTATCTCGTGCAGTCAAGAGCAGGAGGTGTTTGTTGGAAGAGCAGGAGCACCAACACATGTGGCACTGTGGAAGGGTTGAGATGATTGATTGATCTTTTGAGCTATGGCGAGGATCGATCGGGACTATATAGTAGAAGGGAATAGCCGTGAACGGGTATGGAAGCAAACCCGAGCTAACCGAATGAGCTGGACAATCAGTGCAGCGGACCGTTAGCAAATACTGCAACGGAACGCTGGCAAACACTGCAACGGACCGCTGGCGAACAGGCACACATGACCTCCATACTCCATAAACCGTCACACCCTGTCTATTGCAACCGCGCTGAAGGTGATCTCTGCCTGTCTCAGCGTGACTATATCAACACTATCTATCACAAGTACAAGTTCCCCAAACCATGGTCTAAGAAGCCTATTGGACCCCTTCCGTCTGAGGAATCGGTGCCTTCCACAGAGGTGAAGAACCACGCCAACCACACTCGCTATGCTCAGATTGTTGGTTCGACTAGGTAAGCAGCCGGCACTATACGTCTTGACGTTGCCAAACCACAATTGAAGCTGGTGGTGACACGCCGCCCAAAGTTGGACCAGATAGCTGACATGTCAGCCGCAGCTACAGATCCCCCGAACCTGTGAGCCTAACAAAATGGTTCCAGACAAGACGTCACTGCTGTTTGGTTGGCGAGGAACATGTACATCCTAAGCTGGCCATGGGTGATGTACGGGGTACCCAAGGCTGGAACAAAGACACGTATAATCCCGGTAAGAAGTTTGGCGACGAACATGAATCTAAGGCGGGAAGATAACAGATACCATGGAACCTGAGGTTAGTCTACTGTTGGACCCTACAGGGTTCTGTGTTACGGTAAAATATGACTTTCTTCATTTTCTGTGTTGAGCATGACGTTGGGTGTCTACTGACTGCAAAGGTATGGGTGCCAGCTTGTGGCCGGTTGGACGGGTCATTAATACAATATCAGAAGATCAACCACAGTAAATAGTTGCAGTGTAAACTGGCGCTACTGCAGTGTTTACTTCGTTCTTCCACTACATATGAGCTGCATCATCATTCTTTTTAGATATACACAACATACATCCTCCATACTGTCACCCTCTACTTACATGCAGATTACTCAGTAGCTTCAAGTTACGCTGCAATGCTGCAGATGCTCTTGATTCCAAGAAAAGCTGGCTTCCTATACAATTGACTGGCGTGATTTGTTTCAGGGTCTGAAGCCTCATGTGAGGTTGACCGAAAAGAACCAACTGATTTTGGTACAGCATGGTAATTACGGGTTACATATGTCATCAGCGTAAGCACAAGTGTTTCACTTTGCCGCGCTTGGGTGTGCAATCCTTGGGCGCTTGCATAGGATGCCTGCAGTGGCGAAGAACCTCACAGTATCTGCATCTGCACTTTTAACTGTTGGTCAAATCCACGGATTTTCGTAGTCTGGTTTAACCATTCTAACACACATGCGATGCATGTGCTCAAGGGTATGCTAGATGGGGTTCTGAATCGCTATGACAGCAAGGCTTACGTTTCCGCCCCCACAGTTGACTGAGTCTGTGCGGAACTCAGGGGTTGTCAGCGTTATTCCCACCAACGAATGTCCTACCGCCATGCCATGGTACGGTTTCATCGGGACAACCATGATCATTACCTCTTTAGCCAAGCTCTATGCGGCAAGTCTCGCTAAACCCCTGCAGTCGTAGCCTCTTAAATAGTATTGTACATCTGCACTGGAAGGATTCTCTTTATTAAGCTGTTTCCCTCACGTATATACCGCGATGAGGCTGACAGACCTTAAGACGAAAATATGGCCCTCGCCTGTACGCCCGCCCTATGGTTCAAGTTCCCGATTCATGCGAGTCGAAGAGCAGGGAGATCGATCCTCTGATGCGGACTGGGCTGAGCTCCGAAACATTACACCCGAGCGACGCGCGATGGATGACAGCAAGCATGAAGAGGATCAAGGAAGAGGCATCGAAATGACTATCACACAAACATCAGGAGCAGAAGTCCAAGCGTCTACCAGAAGATGGTATGCGCAAGGTTGGCGCTTCGGCGCTTTAAATTGCGCATGTTCCGTCATTATGGTCTTCTTCATTAATTTCTCTGTCTCATGTTGGGTTTCTGCACACAGAAATGCTGCATCTGAAGAGACCTTCGAAGAGGAGTGCCACAAAGGTTCGCATCATCTCGTATCAAAATAACAAACACAAGGAGTATATACTAACTGCAAACTCGATGCAGTTAGCAAGATGAATATGTATCTACATCTTGCGATCAATTTGCTAAGCACGATCCTTCTTTCGAGTTCGAATTACTGTATGCAATGTCTTTCAGCACCTACACGAAAGGAGGTCGATGCTGCGCATGCAAAAGGGATTTGGCTCGACATTGGAGTCCCTAGCATACGGAATTTAAAGTACATCGATCGTACAAGGGTTGTTCTTTGGGGCTTGCTTGGATTGTCATCATTACCTCTTCATCTCTTGTAAGCGAATCAATGTCTATATTGGGGGTTGTCTGACCCTACTCACAACCTATAGTTACAACTCTATCGTGTACAGTTCAATTGCATCGCACTCCTACCTCGCTCTCAACGTCAATCAGGCGTACCTTGATGACACCGACTGTTTCCATTGCGGAGGAACCGGAAGCGATACGCAAGCTGTTGCCGTAATGATGCACGAGAAATGGAAGAACGGCACTCTCGAACGACTAGAAAACGAAGATTGTATCAACAGGTACGGTACAATGATCCAGAGTAATTACCGTAATGTGCTCCTCGTCTCAAGCAACGATCATACGGAAGCCATAAGCGACCGTCCTGGACGTGTTCTTAATGGTACACATGTCTTTCAGGTCACAACGATCGATGCAGGGATAGCTGAGGACCCATCTCGTGCAGCTACCATATACGATTGGATCTGCAGCCAAGATAACACTACCGACTACTACGAAGTGGGACTTTACGACCCGTCATGGTGTGCCAACAAACTTGATGGAATAAAAAGAAATGCTTCTTCCTGGACCGTACAGGGATATCCAATTGAGTACTGTTTGAGGTAAGTTTTGTTGTACAGATAGACTTGATATGGGTGTTTGCTAATCTTGCTTCTTATGAGTAGTGAAGTTGCGCCACCGATGTGTAAACTGCATGTATTCCTGCCTATTTCATGGTTGGTTACAGTTATGAACCTTATAAAAGGTTGTGTTATACTGTATACAGTCCTCATAGTCAAGGAGAATCCACTAATGACAATGGTAAGTAGGCATTCCTTTCTCATACAATGCGGACACTGACGCACGGGACTTTTCTGTAGGGGGACGCTGTATCTTCATTTCTAGAAGAGCCAGATCAGACGACAAAGAACTTGTGCTTGTTAACCCTAAAGGATGTAAAGGCGCATAAGGGTTTTTCCCCAGCTGGTCCGAAGCCATGGACTGGTGCTAAATACAGGTGGAAAGATGTCACGTCCAAAACTCGTCGAACCACTACTTTCACATTGTAAGTCGTATCTCCTGCCGAAGCTATCATGTACACGCGGTATCCACGCTTTCCATATCCATTGAAGCGACGCCTAACCTCAGTATAGCTTTGGGATAGCACTCGTGGTCGTTTTGTCACTCCTCATCGTCGGCATCCAAGCCTTAAAAGGTTCGATGTCGGTCACACTCCCAGCCCTTTTGAAACTGGGTTTCGGTGCCATTGTAAGTTGCCTTCATGATACGTCTAGAAATCTCAAACACAGACTAACGATGTTTGCTTGGCATAGGACCCACGTACCGTCATTATATGGCCTCTCATAGGAACCATGTCCAATATCGTGGTCGCCAACTTGGCACAGACTATCCTCTCATTCCTGTATTTTGCATACAACGGCCTCTTCACCTGCATGCTCCTTGGCTACGAATGGTCACAATACGCCCACTTCCGTAAAGGTCTGCGCGTCTCCCATGGACGGCACGGTGCCCAGCGCTCAACGTACTTCCTTCAACTTCCCTACCGCTACTCCATCCCATTGATGGGTCTTTCCGGTATACTACATTGGCTTGTCTCGCAATCCATCTTCCTTGTCGCTATTGACCTATACAGTCCCTTGGGGCAGCCTGGTGGGGCTTCGCTGAGCACGACCAGCTGGAAGAGCTGCGGATACTCGCCTATTGCTATCGTCTCAGTTCTGATCCTGGGAATTTCGATGGTAGCTGCGGTGATTGGAATCGGGTATATACAGTATACTTCGGGAATGAATTTCGCAGGAAGCTGTAGTGCGGCGATGAGCGCTGCTTGTCACCATATCGAGTGGGATGAGGTGGATGGGTACGAGGCTGCGAGGAGTAAGCTTAAGTGGGGCGTTGTAGGGAAACCACAGACTGAAAGTCTGGAATATAGAAGGGAAGATAGGATAGGGCATTGTGCCTTTTCAGGTAAGGAGGTAGGGTTTCCAGAGCAAGGAACGATGTATGCTTAATAAGAAGAGTATAGTAATGTAACTGGCAAGCGAGCGACGCAGGTACCGTGCCCATGCACCCAACGCGTGCCTCTGCACCCAAACCGCTCCCCCAAGATTGAGGCTATAGAGCCACACACAAAAGCAATTATCACGAGATTTTCTAGTGCCTTAAATTATGGGCTTATGCAACAAATTTTATCACTCAAACTTTTCTGTATGCTTACTGCGGCGGCCACGGCTGCTAAACATGGATGGAGGAGGTGGGGAGCGCGCTGCGGCCGGAGAAGCACACCTAACACCCCCAGCACCACGATTTTGCTTCTCCTTTGCTGCTGGCTGCTGTGAGACCTTGCGCTTGCCTATTTGGGTCAATTGTATAGTTTTTGCAGCGTCGTTAGCCTCCCTCTGACGTTGTTTCTCAGCCTTGCGTTCGGCGACCTGTTCAGCCTTCTCAGCTTGGCTGCCTCTCGCTCCACACGCCTCTCCTCCTTCAGCTTCTCATTAAGAAGCTTGTTGATCTGAAGCTGCTTCCTAGTAGCTTTTACCCGCTCTTCTTTTTCTTCAAGGCGCTGCTGTACATCCCATCGCACCTCCGCCTCCTTCCTCAATCGAGGTGACCACTGCTTCGCACCCCCATGATACTCAACCTCATGTGACATCAACGGCAGAACCCGCTACTTGTTCTTATGCTTCCCCTTCTCAGTTGAGGCCTCTTTCGCGCCGTCACGTTGGTACTGAAGTAGCTCATTCTGTGTTAAGAGGTGAAGAAAGACCCTCTCCCCAGGTGCCCGCGCCTCTACACTGCCTTATCCTTCACTACTGAGCAAAGCAGCAACTTAGCTTTGAGCCAGCTTGGTTCTCTAGCATCTGAAGTTTAAATAACTTCCGCTTCTGTTGGTGCTGCCTTCTTGGTATCAATCTGTCGAGTATAACGTTGCGGTTAGGTAGAAATATACCTATGGCTTTAAAGGGCTTCGGAATCAACTCTTCGGTAAAAGCTGCCACCCAGGTCTTTTATAGTAGAGGAGAGAAGTCGCTTATCTTTACTGGCACCCATCCTTGCGTCCTATGAGTGCGCATATCAAGCTCTTGAGAGTAGTTTGACGATAGAGGCTTGAAGCACATTACGTCGAGCAGTTGCAGCGTGTGGGTGAATGTGGGGGACAGATCACCAATAGCATCTTGTTGTCGTCGTGGTACCTGATGAAACCCTTCGTTACATAACTGCTGTCCGCGGGATGGGCGGAGTGAAGGTCTCCCGCCGATTACTATCATGTGATAGCACTATATAGAAGCTTCTACCACACACCTCCGTCAGCTGCCGTGCCCGTCAGTTATTGATAGCTGCCAAGTCCTTCGAGCTTTCTGCTTAGTGTAGTGATGAAACACCTTTTAAGCCACGTAAGACCGGGCTGTTATTCGTCCAGCTAGTGGATGATGTAGTGAAGTGGATAGAGTGCTTCTTTGGGCCTATTTCACCGACCTAGCTCTGTTGTACAGGTCGGCCGGCTACCGCGTAGATGTTGCCTGTGGCGGAAGAGCTGTAACATCAGCACAAACACATGCCAACAACGTTACCCACTCGCGATTGCCACCATGGAGTGGCTGGCTGTACTGCTTCTTTCCATACAGTGTCTTACTGAAGATCCTCTTTGACCTGCCAACGACTCCAGTCGCGAAGCTTGGCTCTGCTGCATCCGCCTCTAGCACAGCACTCGTGCGGTTCTGACCTCGTTTCCCTTTGCCTTTAACCTTCTGCGCAGCATCTTTCTCGACGCGCTTCTCTCGTGCCACCTTACGCTCCTCATAACCCATGACCTTGGTCTTGCCTAGTACCAGCGATTTAGTCGACCGTCGCACGTTAGCTTCGTTGTTGATTGTCAGCAACAATCGAATATGGTTCTGTTGGAGTGCTCCCTTGGCAAAAGATAGCTGCGCAAACAAGCGTTTCGAAGAAAGGGTATTCATTGATGGAAGGAGTTTCTGATGAGGGTGGTGATGTGAACTGTCAATTGTAGTACTATGAGAGAGCGAATATCTACATCTTGCCGAAAGCGGGCGCTAGTAACGAGCTGGCCAATGAGAACGCAGCCTGTGCGGACATGTATGTTGACTAATCACCGCCGAAATCTGGTATCTGGTCGACAGGAATATACGGCTGAAGCGTGAGTCAGAGTCGCCTCCTTCTGCGAGGTCTCTCCACTGTATATAAATACCTCGTCGCGGGATAGACCTGCTTGCACAGGTCGAATCAAGAGCCAAATTTGACCATGTCTACTACTCCAGAAAAGATGTACACTACGATCCGTATACCCAAAAGCTCTGGTAGTACGCATCTCAATGCCCTAGCTACCAGATTCCGCGAATTCAAGCTTGACGCGCTCAAAAGCGCCCCAGAGGCTTTTTCAGCGGAATTCGATAGCGAAGCTCGGCTCCCACAATCGACATGGCTCAGCAGGATCACCGAACCAAGCACGACGATTCTGATCTGCGTTGCGATAAGAACGGACACGGACGAGGAATCATTAGCACCTGGCAATAGGCAATTGAGAATCTTGCTAGATGGCGAATGGATAGGAATGTTCACCATGATTGGCCCAGTATCCCGAGACGACTACATTTGGCCTGAGTCTTGTCAACCAGAACCAGGACCCGAAGGCTCCGAGACCCGCTGGCAACTTACCAGTCTGTTCACACTTCCTGCGTATCGCGGCCATGGTATTGCCAAACGGCTTACCGAGGCAGCAATCGAGTTCGGGAAACTTGCATCGGGCGAGATGGGGAGAGCGTCTAATAGAGAAATTTGGACGCGTGTTAGGCTTGTCGTACATCCTAAGAACACAGGCGTTGTTAGGATGTATGAGAAGTTTGGTTTTATAGACAGTGCGAGGATGACGGTGGCGGAGGCTTGTGTTGCGAATGGAGCTGCGGACATGGTACCCAGGGATGCTGATCCTGAGAAATGGCATAGTAGATTCGGCGTGGCCATGGAACTTTTAATCTAGTCAAGAGTCAAAACCAGTGTCTGTCATGTGCATCGTTTCTGTTAGCTCCAAGGCATCATTTCTTTCGCTCTGTGCCTTGTTCGTGTTCAGGTACAAGCTGTGCGTGGTGGTGATGACTCTTTCAATGGTACGAAGCACTATAGGACATGCGAACTTGGCACCAAGAATTTCGTCATCAAAATGAGGTAGCTCGGGATCCGACAGCGTCTTGGAGGTATTGTCAAGGAGCGGAGGAGTGGATTGGCGCATGGGGCGAGCTGTCTGCGAAACGTGCTCGAATGCAGATGTGTCAGACGCGCAACGGCCCGCTCGGAATCAATGCCAACACAGCCAACATGTTCGTGGCTTATGTTCGTACCGTGCGGCCAGGCACCGAGCGCTGGCTAGCACGGGTGGTCGATCGCCAGTCGGAGCTCAGCCTTTCGCTGCCAACTCGCCAAAACGGCGCGCAATCACGGGAACCTCATGTAGTTAATGACATTAGCTTGCACCACACCTCCGACTCTGCATCTTTATAAGCATCTAATATTGCCTGGCCTCGCCCCGCATTATCGCACACCTACGTGGATGCTATGTGCCGACCATCAATCGACCTCGCTCTTTCGCTCGTATTATTCCAACGACCGGGCCTCCGATTTCCTCGATACGACGAACAAGCAGCTTAGCGAGTTGTGGGGCACATCACAGTCACCCAGACGACCTTTCGGGAGGCACTTGGCATCCCCCCAACCCAGGCTCCTTGGCTTACTGGGTCATCAGCGCTCGCAAGCGGCTTGTCCGTCATAATTTCGGGCCCATTAGCCGACCTTGCTCCCCCGAAGCCCCTTATAATCAGTGCCTTTCTGTGGGGACCAATATGGAATGCAGTTACTGTGACGGTACTGAAGATAATCGGTATTGGGCAATGGATATTGAGGTTCACTGAAGTTGTATTGTACTCAAGCCGTGTGGTTATATACTGTGAATGAACGGAAAGAAGAACTGACCGTGAAGCTGTTATGTTACTGATACTGTTTGAAGGAGTCTGGTCCAGTCGGTCCTTTTACACAACCTCATACAGTGCTGTAACATGACCTCTTACTGTACTGCGACAGTTACTGCCGTGGCTATCAGCCCGAATCTTAAAATCCTATTCTTTGTGGCTCGAGTCATGAACGGCCTCGCTGTCGGTGTACTCGTCACCACTTCTATGAGCATCCTCGGACGGGTGTACAAGCCCAGTATTCGCAAAACGCGTGTTTTCCTTCATGGCTGCCGGTTCGCCGCTCGGTTTCTGGACCGGATGCACGCAAGGCGGGGCTTTAAGTGCACAACTATCCTGGATCTTTGGAAGTACTTCGATCTTTCTTGCCATGTGCTCTTGCTGCCCATCTCACCGTTCCTCCTCTACAATCGGCCAGTGACAGTCTCACTGAAGAGGCACCCGCTTTACGCCAGTTCGACTATGCTGGCGCCTTCCTCTCATCTACAGGCTGTAGCTTAATCCTCATTGGAATTACATAGGGCTCTTCTGCTCATTGGAATCCGTATACATACTGCGTAATTATTCTTGGATTCTTGATACTTGGAGGGTTCTGTTTAGTGGAACAACGTGTCGCCCGTCCCAATGTTCCCAATGGACTTTGGCTGGCTCGGAGGTTTGCTGCACTTCTGGTCTCGTACTTCCTCGGGGGCAAGGAGCATATAGTAGGTTCTTCATACTTCCAGGTTTGACGCCGTAAGATCGTCTTATTAACTTTTGATGTCAGATGGTGATGGCAATTCTACGCTATTCAATCTTGGCAGCGGTTTCAAGGAGCAACTCCATTGACAGTAGCCCTATATCTTCTGCCCAACGGCATCGTCGGTGTACTTGCTGCCTGGCTTGTTTCCAAGACGTTGCACGTGGTACCAGGCCATTGGATTTTCACTGCAAGCATGGCATGCTTCGCGTTAGGGCCCGTCTTCTTCCTCCCACAGACTCCCAACTCCAACTACTGGGCGCTATCAATGCCAGGAGTCACCCTCGCAACATTTGGCCCAGATATGGGCTTTGCTGCAGCGGCAATCTTCATCACTTCGAGCGTACCCAGATCATACCAGGGCTCCGCTGGGAGCTTGCTGGTCACTGTACAGAGTTTGAGTACGGCCGTCATGACGTCCTTAAGTGACTCAATTGGGACAAAGGTTGAAGCACTTCCCACTAGAGAAATCGGATTGGATGGCATCAGGGCCATCTGGTGGTTTGGGCTTGCCTCCACGCTAGTTGGAGCGCTAATTACCGGCATCATAGTTCGCATACCGAAAGCAGAGGAAAAAGAGTACGTGCAGTGATCAATTGGAAGTATGAAGTTGCGGCCGCACCATGTGGTCTTAGCCGAACAGTTGTCAACAAGCAAGCTGGCTTGTTTAACTTGATTGAGTTGATTGATAAATAGTGAGTCAGTCAAATCAAGCATCTACGCCTATTTTTGTAAGCAAGTCAAGCCTCGTGCTACCGCTTGATTGGTATACTTGACATGATTGGTAACTCCAGTAGCTATGCGGTTGTTATGACGACTTTTGTAAGGTTGTAGAGATGGCTGCATACGCTCTATCGGAGTACTTTCAGTGGCAATTAGCGCTTCTAGCCACCTATTGGCGCGTGCTTACTGCATTTCTCCGCGTTACTCAGGCCTCATCGCAGCTTTTGGCTTACTTTTCCGCGCATCAACATCCATCATGCCCCTCAAAGTAAGCGATAGAGGCAAGCGACACGCTGTTGAGGTAGCTGAGGCAGCGGCAGCTGGAGAGCCAACAGCAACAAACACCGCTACCAACTCAACTAACCCGGCGCGCGTCTCCTCCCATCGACGCGCTATCGTCGCCATCAGGGCTATCTCCACGGGCTACTCTACGCTGCTAGCTGCCTCTTCACTTGCTGTTTTCGGTCTCTCCCTTGGTGAAGGTGGCGCCATTCAAATCACAAGTACGCGATAAGCATGCCTAATGCGAGGTAGAGCTGTGATGGCGCAAGGCGCATGTGCGCCTGTAGTGATATTTGTTGCGGTATTAATCGGTCCATTGTGACTTAAAGCAAAGACCCTACTTTGCACAGCAACTCAGGGTAATGACAGTACAGCTGTCAGATCACTGAAGCAGTACATCCACCACCTTTGAGTGCAGAGCCAGCTACTTCAACACCAGATTGATGGTGCGCAATGGGCCCTAAGCATGAAGGAGAAAGTAAAGGATAAACAGCAAGTGTTGCCCTTGTTTGCGCACAATATTGAGTGGCATGGTGGTGCGCAGTGGTGGAGTCCTTCATCCAAGAAGGAGGCAGATTGTAAGGGTATATGTGACAGCGAGCTCAGTAGCAGTAGGGAATTGCGTAGTAAGATTAATTGCTGCCATCCTTTTCCTGTTGTGTGGCAGATTATCTATGCTCTTGCTTGCTCATGCCACGCTAGTGTCACGATGGGCTAGCGCCATTGCCCTGACACGTGACAGCCTACTTCACTGCAGCACTGTAACCCCGTTACACAGATGCAAGATGGAATGCAAAACAAGCTTATGATGTGGAACAAGATGATACAAAAGCTAGTAGACGTGAGCTACATCACACACAAAAGCTTATTAAAGCAAAGCAGAAAGAGCTGAATACTATGCAGCGTGCAAGAGAGAAGGAAGAGCGTGACCTGCAGCGTGCCCCAGAGCGCCAGGAAATTGATGCACGCAAAGGTCAAAGACAGCATGAGAAGGAAGCCCGCAACGCCAAAAAAAGCCATACAATTGCCTAAAACAGGCAAGTGCAAGGCCTCACAGGATTGATTGATTGATTGGTTTAACGTCCTATCTGAGTCTAAGACTATGGAAGACGAGAGGAGCATTAGCCCCTCTGGTAATGCAACAGGCCTCACAGGAAGCAGCACCTAAAAAGAAGCAGAATAGTGGTGGTGCGGCTGCGCGTATTTGTTGTGTTGCTGCACCACATTCCCCAACTCCCTCACCTACATACAACAGCCGTGGCTGCAAAATTGCTCCACTCAAAAAGTTTGAATAAGAAAGTTTGTTGCATAGGTCAATGAAGTATTCCCCCAGTTTCTTGTGATAATTGCTTTTGTGTGTGGCTGTACAGCCTCATTTTTGTAGTGCCTGTGAAGGTGTTGGGGTGTGTGTTGGCTTGTGCATCGAAATTAGGTCTTATGGACTATCAAACACTTGTATACTTCAAACCAAAGTCCTCCACATGACCATCGTGGCAAAATGCTCAATTTTCAAGGATATTGATGTCAACACTGTCAATCACTTCTCTTTCACCCTGGCGTTTCTCCTGGGAAGGAAAGACAGGATGTTGAAAGGCTAAAAATAGTGGACGCTTAGCAATTGTTGGAAAGCTGAGATAATCCAATATATCATCAATACTTGGGTAGAGGATGAGGATGTCAAGGAAGGTGGCAGGAAGCAGCCAAAGTTGAAGGGATTGAGATAAAATGGCAACTGTCGTCCACCGTCCTTGGGCTGCTAAATTGAGTGAGAATGTTAACAAGCCTCCCAGTTGAGATTCTGGGTGTCAGAAGGGTGATTTGGAAGGTGGTGTAACCGGTATGATATCATTTGGCGAAGACTCACGCATCAGTCATTGGCGACTGAGTATATCAATTATGTGGCGGCGTGGGCCACTGTGGTATACTGATAGCTACGGTAAACAATACCGTAGCATTAAAGTCGCTACCTAGCTAGGAGATGATGATATATACTGTCCCTGTAACGTGCTAGTACAGAACAGTCTAAGCAAGGGTAATCGGATCTCGTAAGGACCGACTGACACCGCAACAAATTACATTGATTGCAACTTGAAGTTGTGCTAAAGAAACATTGCAATGTTTTGCAAGGACGAGACAGTGTTGTTACTTGGATTACACTGTCAGTTGTCAAACATAATTGTTGCGGTACTAGTTGGTCCATACGAGACCCTATTACCCTTACTTAGACTGTTCTGGATTAGCACGTTCCAGAGTCAGTATATAGTCGTCTTCTCCTCACTAGATAGCAACTCAGCGCAGTATTCCATCGACCCGATAGTCCTACGTTATTATTTACCGTAGCTATTAGTATTCTACAGCGGTTCACACCGCTACATAGTCGTCTCCTCCTAGCTAGATAGCAATCCAGCGCAGTATTACATCGACCCGATAGTCCTACGTTATCGTTTACCGTAGCTATCAGTATTCTACAGCGGTCCACACCGCTACATTGAATCTATAAAGGATTCTGTTGCGGTTAAGGGGTGATGTTACAGTTGCTCCAAAGGAGCTAAGTATCAGATCTTTGGTTATGGTAATCACCCACACTGTCACGAGTATTCTCCTTACATGTACCGGCCAGCCCTCGGACGTACTCCGGAGCTGGGCCGGAGGCTCACAGGCTACCTGTATATATTCCCTACGAACCTTGAGGCTCAGCCATCAAGGATTCGTCTAATCTCATTCCATTTGGCCTCAGACGGCCCCAATCCATCCTGTGTCCGATTGCCTGCCTACAGTGACTTCACACACACCTTCCAAAATAGTATCAAGAAGTGGTGTTTCTCGACAGTGACCCATTCCAGAGTCTTCTGCGGGCGTGTAGTTAGTAGTATCCTTACTATTAGGCTAGTTAATTCTATATTGGTCCCTATGAGAATATACCGAAGTCATGTGGGCAAGAAGTCGAAAATCAATAATCATGCAAGACCTTATTTGCTGAGCAGTAAGGAGGTTGGACATTGGAGTTCCTTATTTGAGTTCTAGATTACCAAGCCCTTCTGATGGCGATTAAGAATATCAGTACGGGGTACGATGAGCTTCATAAACTAGCCACTGTGTACTTGTCCAAGGTTCTTCCTCCAACCCTATATCCCGAGATGAACTTCACTACTGCTTATCAAACACCTGGACAGCCGCTCTTGCGGTGCTCTTCGAGCTCTGCGGATTCATGCCGGTCACAATCCTTCCGTCGACGATGTGGTAGTCATCCCAGACACCTTCGGACCGAACATCTACACCAATCATGTCAGCACAGATCATACACAACGATATTGGGAAGGCGATAACTTACACTCAGCACCGAGTATCTTTGCATGCTCATCAACCAGTGGCTCTTTCCACGATCGAAGCCCGTCCATGACCCCCATCTCCTCCTCAGCTTGGGTCGTGAAACCAGTGATTTTCTTACCCTGAACTATAGGCTTGCCTGTAGCGGGGTCGAGAAGGCCAGCAAAGATGGCTGGGCCATGGCAGCTATAGTTCTGTCAGGTACTATCGCAGGATAGAGTGAGTGGGAGAGGAATGGAGACTCACACAGCGGAGACTACGCCACCGTTCTCCCAGACTTTGGCCGCGATCTTCTTCAGATTCGCAGCATGGGGGTAGTCGATCAAAGCAGCATGCCCTGCAGACGCAAAAAAGATACCATACTGCGACCGCACAATCAGCCTCCATCTAACAGGAGATACTTCAAACATCAGCATACCTCCTTCTCCAACAAATCCTCTGCCTTCACATTCCGATCGATCTCGCTGCGGAAGTCACTGCTCTTGTCATCATACTGCTTCCTCTCCTCATCGCTCAAGAACCCAGGCTGGAGACTGAGCCAGTCTTCTTTCCACGTCCCCTTCTCAGAGGCAATATCGACTTCAAAGCCCGCGGCTTTGAGGACGTTGTACGGATGCAGGGCTTCGCCGATGAAAACACCCGTTTGGTGGCCACCGCCTTCGAAAAGAGAGGCCTGGGCGGAGGTGATGGCGATGAGCGCGCGACGAGATGGAGACATACTGAGTATAGTGACGGGAGTGTGATGAATTAAGTGCAGTGGGAAAAGTGCTCTCTGGGTGAAACAGATGGGTGTGTCTGGAACGTCCGGAGAAGAGATGAGGAAGCTGACTTATATTATCCTGAGTTGAGGATCTCATCCCGTTATATACTTCGTCAGGCGCCCGTATGAGTCGCATGTCGAACATCGCATCCTGAAATGAGCTACGATAGACCACCAAAGAATCCTCCAATGCAGTAATCGATGGCATTATCTCCAATCAAGCTTCATATACCAAAGCTAGCCCGAGAGCTTTGCATGTAGAGGCGCTTTATCTGTTGATATTGTTTCAACTAAGCGGTTACTAATGATCTAGTGCTTACTACGCCGCAGCATCGTTGTCGACAAGTACGGATGATAGGCGCAGTTTCCGGTACAACTGAACCGAAGGATTGTGAAGTGTGCTGCTTGTGGTAAAATGAGTCGTGTATGTGTGCATGTCGTGCGGGGCTTCACCGGATGTTTGTGCGTTGGCTTGAAAGTCCTGAATGTGAATAGCTGGCGCTTCGTAACGGCCATTACCCTCAAAGTGCATGACCATGTTAGAGTACACATAGACACACAACCTCTTGCGGTTTGGAACTCCAAAACTCTGAAGGTTTCAAATACTCCGAAAACTTCCATGTATGTTGATTCGTCCCAGCGGAGCAAGGCTGGTGAGGAGTATGGTAAGCCTTAGGCTGATTGGAGTTTAGTGTATTTCATTTGGAGACGCAGGATAAGGGAACAATTAGGATGCCATTGGATTTAAACATCGGCGCAATGAATGACAAATAACCAGTGGAGACATGACTTCGTTCGGATATGATGTTGCAAGCAGCAATGTGTGTTCACTTGACATTGCAAACAAACAGGTAATTGACTCCAAGTGATGCTAAGATGCAGCTCCTTGCAAACTCGGCCTCACACTTCGCAAGCCCAGAATTCTTGTAGGAATCATGCTATGCTCGGATAAATCTAACCTAAATGTTGCGGTATCAGTCGGCCCTTACGAGACCCGAGTACCCTTGCTTAGACTGCTCTGTACTAGCATGTTACAGGGACAGTATATATCGTCATCTCCTAGCTAGGTAGCGTGGCGCAGTAGTTGCAATAAACGAAGGTGTAACCGCGCAGGGCAGTCGGTCAGGGGGAAACCGCGCGAAGCAGTAGAATCAGTGTATATATTGTGCTGTTCTTGTCCAGTGTTCTGTCTCTCTCACCGGGCCATCAGGGTCTGTTTTCATGACGCATCTGTCGTTCAGACAGAGGTGGAAAGGGCTTGTTGGAAAGGGCAAGAGCACTGCGCCAACACACGTGGCACATGACCTCTATACTCCATAAACCGTCACATAGCGACTCAGCGCAGTCTTCCATTGACCTGATAGGCCTACGGTAGTGTTTACCGTAGCTATCAGTATATGTCACGGTTTAGACTACGTGAGGAGAAGCCGACTATATACTGGCCCTGGAAGTCGCTACCCCAGAACAGTATATACCAGGGTAATAGGGTCTCAACCGAGACCACAACATATTTAAACACACAGAATAGTGAAATACAACCTCAGTTCAATCCTGCAATTCTTCCCACATGCGTACGGATCACTCACAATCCACCGCGACAGTATACTACAGTGGCCCACACTGCCACACTAAATTAAGTGGGCCATCGTCCAATAGACAGCTTATTAGTCCCCCAGTAGCCAGTTTACAAAGATCGCGCCAATTGAATCCTTCGCCCTAGCCAGTTCGCTGCTTCAAAAGCTGACCAGCTCCTATCTCCTGAATCTGAGTGTGGACTACCCCAATACGACTGGTTTCTACAAAATTTGGTAGCATGCAATGTGGCGCCTACGTACTGGGGTAGACAATCAGTTCGACTCTGTATGCTTGCACCACGTCAGAGCCTTTATTGGCTAGTTCGCATAATGAATGACGCCAAAACATAGGCATTGCTAGCACATTCGATCCCATGTCAGTGTACACATATTCTCAAGTCACCAAAATGGGTGGTTGCAGTCACGTAACACGCTCACGTATGATTTGATCACAGAACGCAAATCCCGGAACTTTGCCCCATAGCTTTACGTAGCAGGAAACTTTATATCATGCATTGCCTAACTAGCGGACCTGGCGCGTCCTCGACGGAGTCTTCCAAGCAAGACAAGAAAGTGCTGTCTGACAGATTACATGCTAATGAACAACACCGGGAAATGTACACCTAGCAAACATGGTAATATAAGTACTAAGAAATTGGACAAGTCCTACTCAAAACGTATTTAAAGAATGCTGCGGTATCAATTAGTCCATCCAAAGTCTGACTATACCCGTAGCAGACTACCTTAATCTAGTGTGTTACAGGTCAGGTATACACTCGTCTTCTCCTAGCTAGATAGCAACTCAGCGCAATATTCCATCAATCTGATAGTCCTACGTTGTCGTTTACCGTAGCTATCAGTGTACTACAGCGGCCTACACTGCCACAAAAAAAGCTGGACTGCAATATGGTAAGTTCCAATGGTGTCCCTGCCGTCCGCAGAATCTTATCATGCGCATCATGGCTCATTCAAGCAATCTCGTAACCATTGAAAATCCTTGGTCTTAGTTCCGCAACATCTGTACGTCGCTAATGATGGAAGACATTGCATTTGTATACAATATCAAAAACCAGTGCATACAATACCGTAGCTCTGTTACTGTACAGGTAAAACATACATATATCTCCTCATTTACCTGCACCGTGTTTAGTCGTTGCAGCGGCTGGCAACGTGTTCATAGGGAAATCTGCCACGACCAGGTTCGTCTCTGGGTTCGGCGCCGCAGCAGCCTGCCACTCAACCTTGATCGAGTTGTCTTTCGATAATTTGACGCCATTGTGCCATAGTTCAAAAGAGATATCAGCGGGCCCGAGATTGACCTTGACAACGTAGGTGATGCGGTGATACTTTGTACTCTTGTTCCACCAATGACGGTTCTTGAGTTTGAAGAGGGAGAGCGGGAGGGCCGAGAAGTCGGATTCGACTTTGCATAGGGACTGGCAGGCTGAGGTTGTCAGTAGGCGCTTACAGTGGTGAAAGATCATAGGGCATAAGGAAAGAAGAATGGCTTACATGAGTTCATGACTATTGGTAGCATACTCTTGTCCACCTCAGAACAGACTACTTCGGTTGGGAAAACGCGCGGTGGATCGGGTATCAGTGCAGACGCTGGAAGGCACTTGCGAGTGAAACTCTTGACAATGGGGAAGTCGCTTGATACCGGCTCGCCCTGCTTTCTTTCAGCTTGCTCATCCATCCAAGTTAATGTTTGAATGGTCCTACCTGCTTGATGAACCAGTCAATGCAATCCATGACATACAGCTTCCCGTCGAGTGCATCACGTTCTGTCCTTAGACCGAAGTGCTGTGGGTTCTCCGGATCATGCAGCATCTTACACATCGTTCCGTAAGACGCACGACAACATCGCCAACCGAGGACTGATTGGCCACTATTAAGCTTTTGCACGCGATCAGCGACATTGCCCTTGCAGACGACCAGCTGTGGATCCGGTGCCACGCGTATCTGCATACTGCTGGCATTACAGTGTGACGTGTTTCCAGACGCATATCGACTGTGTAAACATGTTTGTAGGTACGCGGAATTGCCTAAGCCACCAGATAAGACTAGATGGGCAACTTGTTGATTGGGATGCTTCTGCAATAGACGGACGAGCTGCTTATCGATCATATCGAAGAGCTTGGAAATTTGGACGTCGAAGAAGGCCTTGAGATCATCCCTTCGGAAGTGCATATCACCGTCGCTTATTCCGTACTGGTGGTTGACATAGCCTTTATCAAGTCTAGGAACGCGTACCGCAAACGTAGGAGTATCAGCGAAAGACTCCTCAGAGCCGTAGTCGCACTTTGCGTTCTGGTACTCCTTACTAATCCTCATTTCCCATGCGGCTTGGCTGAGATCTCCTAGGTTCATGGAACGGAGTCCATTCGCATACTGCAATCGCTCCAGGGCGGCTTTCTCGAAAAGGCTGTCGAGTTGTGCAGCGCCAATGGTTGCGCCAAACACCACATCGATTTGTTCGAGGTTGAGTGATACCCCAAGGGTGTTCTTCACCCGGAACACCGACAGATCTGTCGTGCCGCCGCCGACGTCGCAGACGAACAGAATCTCGTTCTCCTTGAAAATGCCTGGCATGTTGCGTGCTGTATGGACGGCTGCAGCCTCAGCTTCGGTCAACCCAATAGAGGCGATATGACTTGGACACGATCCAAAACCAGCCAGGGATACGATGTTCCGAAACCGCTCTACGGTAGGTACCGGCTTCCAAGTAGTAGGCACGGAGAAGATGAATTCGATTTTGGCGTCTTCCCACGTACTTGTGAGTTCGCTTTTCAGTCGCGCTTCGACGGTTCGATAGAGGAACCGAAAGTAGTCTGTGTACCTGAATTTCGGTTAATCAAGCTCAAAGGGGCAAGACCGTTACACTCAGAACTTGCCATTTCTCGACTTCATTAATCTGTGGGACACTTGCAGAATCGCTAACAGCCTTTCGCATTTGTTCCAGAAGCTGTTCGTCTAACATGGTTTTGAACCACTCTCGACTCTCGTGCTCCGTACCGCTCACCTCTTGGGCTGTTTCCGCTTGAAACCCCCACGATGACGGCCGGGTTGAGTTTTTTGGGTATATAAGTAATGTCGGAACCTGTTGAAGACAACAAGCTCAGTATCAATGCTACAGACGCTGCTGGTCCATACACACCTTATTCTCATTTGCTTGAGTTCTCCCTGGCCACCTCTGTATGTGTCGGACATGCTCGGAGCCAGCAGCTACATTGCAGTACGCGACACCAGTGACTTAAAGAGTTAGCTGGTAGAAAGATTATGAGGCATCTTATACGTGCAGGTCATCCCGAAGTCGATTGAAACCACCAGGTCAGGCCTTCCCGTCATTTCCGCCATCGACAAAGATGTATACAGCTTATCCTCACGAGAAGTCCTTACCCCCCAGAGATGTGTTGGAGATGAATGTGAAGTGCTGTAATCCTACCCTGCCATGGACACAGAAGGAGTGCATTCACTTATGGAAGGTGCAAGGGACGATCTACACTTTCACCTTAGGCTCAAGTAAAATAAAATATGACACAGCAGTCCGTGCCGACCATTGGAAATCATCATTGCTAGCGAGTAGCAACCGAAACATTTTTGTGCGTAACCCATGTAAGATTCATTAGTTCCTAGCCAGGGCCCCTGACTCGTCAACTTAGCGCTTACAATTGGGACCGCATAGGGTGATGCCCAGGCCGTTGCCGCGAAGCATGCTTCACGGCAGATGGGCGAGCGGGTGAAGAACCTTGCTTAAGCTAATTAAGCATTGCACAAGCCTGCGTGGACGGTAACGGTTCCCGGAGGCGGAGAAGATGGATAGCCTAGCGTAGTCGTAGTCGTAGTCGTTGGCGAGCATATAGAGATTCGTCTGACAATCATGTTCTTCATCACAACTCCCTTTTACAGAATTTCACAATAATGTTCAGACGAAGTGGAGATAATCCCAACGCTCGCCGGGGGCCTACCGCTTATGCAACAATTAGCACCAACACGATCCAAACTCCTGTTCAGCCTACGGAAAGCACGAACCCAACGACAACCGCAGCATCAGCTAAAGATGGACTCCAAGCTGGGCCAGTCGCAGGCATAGCTGTTGGGATGTTGATTGCTGGAGCAGTAATTGCCGGTCTTGTGTGCTTCTACCTGCTGCGTCGTCAAGAGAAGAGGCAAGCTGCCGCTGTCGCCGACCAAGCCCGTAATTTTTCATATGGTGGACGTATGGCAAGGCCAGAGAAGGATATCAGCACGGCTGCTCGCACCGTTGCACGCAACATCGACGACATGCTTCCTCAGCCAGTGGCAGACGACAAGATCATAGATGATCTTTCCAAAATCCGAGATAGTGTCAAAAACCATGTCCGAACCTTCTATCACTCCAACCCTATCCCAGCCTCCGAAATCGATGAGGTGGCGCTACAGGATGTTGCAGCCGATGTGGGTATCAGCACCTCTCTACTCGTATCCTCGTTGTTGGATCCATCAGCAAGAAATAGCGCTATTCGCCTTGTGATCGGCCGCACAATACTCTCAAGGTGTGATGAAGAGCGGGATCCGAGTCTTCTTCCTCATCAACTGGCTAGACTAGCCAGTTCAATTCCAGGCAGACACGATTGTAAGTAAAATCCGAACATGCAACAGGATCTAAGAGCTAAAGCAGATTACAGCCCAATCAGCCATGTACAGCAAGTGGAAGGCAATCACCGGAGCCTTGCTCCAGCAGCAGTTCGGCAAGCAGTCCCAAGGTCTCGCACAAAACTTCGCAGACATCATCGCAGAACTTGATGCTATACTGGCTCCTTTCGTCACAGGAATTGTTGACGGTAGTCAGCGTCGCAAAAATCTCGAAATGATACTGACGCGTTCTGCGAACCTTGCATTTCTGCTCTTTACCCAACCGGGTTCTTTTCGCTTTGACTTTACTAGTCAACATGTCACCCTGGTCGTGTCTCCTGCATTGGTACAAACGGTCGATGATCGAGGACATGTTTTGAGCCGCCCCAGGGTTCTGGTGGACAAAGAGGTTGCTACATCAGCATGACGACATCGGTGTGAAGGCGGGTTGGAGATTTGCCTTCGGCGCATCTCAGTTATTGTCGCGACCAGCTAGTGGAACAAAGTCGTTATCCCCATGATGGGGCTCCAACGAGGTGCAGGAGGGCAAAGGCTGAATGGCTGGGGCTTTTGTCTTGTTAGGCCTGTATGCGCTAGAACAAAACAAGCTTTATGGACGGGCGGCCCCACTGTAGCGTCAGCAGTATCCACATTAATTAGGCGTCCCAATAGAAACCACTCCAGTTTTGAAATACGGCCGGACAAATGAACGTCACGTGTAGCGTTGCTAATGCAAGCGACCAGCATGTGAAACAAAGGATTTGTCCTGCGTAGAGATGTCCGGCCATAACATGACACGCTACGTTCCTCCAGTAGCTGTGAAGTCAGTTCAACTCAAGGCAGATCTCAAAGTGGTTGTTCAGTGGCTGTCACTGTGCACACTGCGTTACAGCTAGGTTCTGATCATGGAGCCTTTCAGCGCAAGTGCGGTATTCGCCAGCATAGGTAGCGCTTTCAAGTTCGCAGATTTAGCAGTCCGGATCGCCGAAGTCGGAAGCGAGAATGAGGTCTTCGTGCGGACTATCCACGTAGTCCGAGAAGACCTCAACGAGGTGAACCGACTTTTGAGCACCGAATCGATACAAAGGAAGCTCGCAAGCATCCCCGGAAAACTGCCTTGGATTAAAGGCGCGGTTACCAACACGAAAACTGCCTTGAACGATATTGGCCAAGCGGTTGAGCGTGCCCGTGCTGAGAAGCAGGCAACAGGGTCTATCAGATTTGAGACTCGTGTTCGGTGGGTATTCAACGATCATGAGAAGATCATAAATCGGACGAGCGAGTTATCGATATGCCACCAGCAGTTGTCAAACGTTCTAGGCTACTTGATTCGCCTGGAGGACGTACCTGACCGCGTGGAACCGCCAGCTTATCAAGACATCACTTACTTCGACGATGTTGTAACGCGGCACCGTGGAAGGGGTGCTTTGGCATCGCCAGAACACAGAATGCTTAGCCAAAGTAAGTGCCTACGCGGTTTGCGGATCTGCCTTCTCCCAGACCCTACGGCAAGCTAACGGAAATATTCAGGACTATTAAATCCTGTCGAACCCCCCAAGAATATGAAGCCCGAATGCAACGTTGGCATCGGTGTAGACATCGAACACATGTCAGTATTGCATAATCCCCAGCAAACTGCATCGGCAGACGTACCCTTCAGTCGTCAAGAGTACATGCGTACATCCTCGTACTCCGTATCATCTCAGACGATTTCGACTCCCTGCAGCCCGGCCCCAACTTACACTTCCGTTGCGCAAGTCGATTCGATGGTATCGCACCACTCATTCGGGCATGACCAGTGGACTGGTTTAGAAGCTCTCGATCTGGAGGCAGGTGATCCGACATCACAAGTAGATACAACCCCCACGTGCTACTCTTCAAAACTGCAACTGCCACCGTCAAAAACCGAAGAAATGAAGGAGCGGGCCCGTTGGTATTCTCAAAGCGAATTTTCGTCACCAGAATTGGAAGGAGACATTTTATGTCTCACTGCTACGAACTTGCAAGGGCCAGTCAACCCTTTCGAATTTGATCCTGATCCACAACCTCTACTTGTTCCTATCGTACCTAAACTGGAAGATACCAAAAGGTTATTTGAGTTGCCGGGAAACCCCCTCGTTCCTGTTGAACCACCTACCATCAATGATAGACTCCCGCTGGTCTGTCTTTCAAAAGAAGAACACGACTTGACATATGGCACAAAAAGAAGTACAGCAATAGGTGGATATATCGGTTCGACACATGCAGGGACCATTTCCAAGTCAACCATAGTTCCAGCACGTACACGAGTGTTCACTAATGCGGCTATGGATTGTACAATCCCGTGCAACGAGCTGTCATCGGAATCTCCTGCACTCGACGTGAACGACCAAGATTTAAAAGAAAAAGCAACCTCTAACGCACCTAAGCATGGTACCTCCACTTTAGGGCTTGCCTCATGGTCTAACACGCCTCCCAAAACCCCATGTCCTCTTCCGCATGGTCCGAATGATACCTCGAATACGTTAAATCCGTCTGTTCCACCGCCAAAAACTGTCACGCAGTGCCACTTGCAGTTTTGTTCTCCTGAGCAATCAGGACAATTCTTGTCGCTCTCGCAGAGCGTAGCCAATCTGAACCAACAGTCGCAGTATTCTAAGCCGCAGGATCCAGCCATAATTACGCGCATGCGGAGCCAGAAGCAAATGATAGCCCTTCTCGAAAGCATCGAGACTTGATTGTACACCATTACTGCTGTTCCTGCGTATCTATGTTCGGTTGACATACATCTGCCCTAAACTATGTATACACGAATAGAAGCGTTACGCTTAGTTATTAAGACTAAAGTCTCCTTTCTCAGATCCCTTCTCCCACGAGTTCGTGTGTCAAGCTCACATGCACAGCCTTTAAGAATGGAACAGGGTTTGTCGTGGCGGCGAAGACCGCTGTAATGTACTGGGAGCCACGGTGAACGGTAACATAAGGCTAACGGGTCGATTCAATACTGCGCTGATTTGCTATCCAGCAAAAGGGGACGATGTGTACCTGAGCTGAAATCGACTAGACCAGAGTGGTCCTGTTGTGTACCATCAAGTTACTGATGTTCAGCTTCTCAATCAACTAATACCGTAACGTTTCTCAGGGCCTTAAAGATCGTCTGTACATTAGTATATTGACCAGACATGCACCTTGAGCTCTTCAAGAGCTCCAGCTGTGCGCTATGCTTAACCCAAGCGCTTTTGTTTCCTTCTAGCCTCCAGGTCAATAAGTTTTCGACAAATACAATGATAAATACGATCGCATAGTATATCCCGCTCGCTGGATCCTCCGGTGCCAAATCCTCCCCCAAGCAACCTCGTTCACGTTTGTTTTAAGTTTTGATCTATGTTCGTAATGTTATCGATTTATGTCAAACACCACTCAAGAAAGCAGACGGGTAATCCGAGTGAGCATACTCGTGTTTACATATTTACTAACGTAGATTACAAGCGAGCCGCGTATACAAGCGAGTCGCGCACCCCACCAACTTTGCCCACCTCTCCTATCTCATCGTACAATGGCTCCACGCAACGTTACCCAATCGCTATCAAATGAAGCAGATATTCAGCTTGCTATCTCATCTCTCAATACACGTCAAATACAGAGTAATCGACGCGCTTCTGCAGCCTTTAAGGTTGCTGAAACTACGCTACGCAACCGATGTGCTGGGAAGCCTGCACAACGTGATTGCCAGCCCAACTCAAGGAAGCTTACCCAGCTAGAAGAGGAGGTGATTACATGTTATATACTGGATCTGGATTCTTGTGGATTTGCGCCTACGTACGCAGCTGTACGTGATATGGCTGATAAGCTGCTTGCTGCGCACAATGCAGGTTTGTGAGAGGGGGCCAGCTAGGAATACCAACTGCTCTCTGAGATGGAAGGATTGGTGGAAGGAAGGTTCAGGCTTGTTGGAGATAAGGGTGTAGAGGAGACCAAGTGTGGGGATGCCACAAGTGGTAAAAAGGATAAGTGATACAGAAGGGATCAAGTGTGGGGATACCACATAGGATCAGTAAGGAGTGAGTTGAGGAGTGAAGGTTGAAGTATTGAATTGAGTTGCAAGCATGAGTGAGAACTATCTAGAGGTGGGAAGAAGGGGGTTCATATACCTAGATGGGTGGCAAGCTGACAAATGGGAGCTGACAAATGGGTGCTGACAAATGGGTGCTGACAAATGGGTGCTGACAAATGGGTGCTGACAAAT